GTAGTCAGGGTACAATGTTACACTAATACAGCCAGGTCAATCAGTGTAGTCGTGGTACAATGTTACACTAATACAGTCAGGTCAATCAGTGTAGTCAGGTACAATGTTACACTAATACAGCCAGGTCAATCAATGTTGTCAGGGTACAATGTTACTCTAATACAACCAGGTCAATCAGTGTAGTCAGGTACAATGTTACACTAATACAACCAGGTCAATCAATGTAGTCAGGGTACAATGTTACACTAATACAACCAGGTCAATCAGTGTTGTCAGGTACAATGTTACACTAATACAACCAGGTCAATCAATGTAGTCAGGGTACAATGTTACACTAATACAACCAGGTCAATCAATGTAGTCAGGGTACAATGTTACACTAATACAGCCAGCCAGGTCAATCAATATAGTCAGGGTACAATGTTACACTAATACAGCCAGGTCAATCAATGTAGTCAGGGTACAATGTTACTCTAATACAGCCAGGTCAATCAGTGTAGTCGGGGTACAATGTTACACTAATACAACCAGGTCAATCAATGTAGTCAGGGTACAATGTTACACTAATACAACCAGGTCAATCAATGTAGTCAGGGTACAATGTTACACTAATACAACCAGGTCAATCAGTGTAGTCAGGGTACAATGTTACTCTAATACAACCAGGTCAATCAGTGTAGTCAGGTACAATGTTACACTAATACAACCAGGTCAATCAGTGTAGTCAGGGTACAATGTTACACTAATACAACCAGGTCAATCAGTGTAGTCAGGGTACAATGTTACACTAATACAACCAGGTCAATCAGTGTAGTCAGGGTACAATGTTACACTAATACAACCAGGGCAATCAGTGTAGTCAGGTACAATGTTACACTAATACAACCAGGTCAATCAGTGAAGTCAGGGTACAATGTTACACTAATACAACCAGGGCAATCAGTGTAGTCAGGTACAATGTTACACTAATACAACCAGGTCAATCAATGTGGTCAGGGTACAATGTTACACTAATACAACCAGGTCAATCAATCTAGTCAGGGTACAATGTTACACTAATACAGCCAGGTCAATCAATGTGGTCAGGGTACAATGTTACACTAATACAGCCAGGCCAATCAATGTGGTCAGGGTACAATGTTACACTAATACAGCCAGACCAGGTCAATCAATGTAGTCAGGGTACAATGTTACACTAATACAGCCAGCCAGGTCAATCAATGTAGTCAGGGTACAATGTTACACTAATACAGCCAGGTCAATCAGTGTAGTCAGGGTACAATGTTTCTCTAATACAGCCAGGTCAATCAATGTAGTCAGGTACAATGTTACTCTAATACAGCCAGGTCAATCAATGTAGTCAGGGTACAATGTTACTCTAATACAGCCAGGCCAATCAATGTAGTCAGGTACAATGTTAATCTAATACAATCCAGGTCAATCAATGTAGTGAGGGTACAATGTTACACTAATACAGCCAGGTCAATCAATGTGGTCAGGGTACAATGTTACACTAATACAGCAGGGCCAATCAGTGTAGTCAGGGTACAATGTTACTCTAATACAGCGAGGTCAATCAATGTAGTCAGGGTACAATGTTACACTTATACAGCCAGGTCAATCAATGTAGTCGTGGTACAATGTTACACTAATACAGCCAGGTCAATCAACGTAGTCGGGGTACAATGTTACACTAATACAACCAGGTCAATCAGTGTAGTCAGGGTACAATGTTACACTAATACAGCCAGGTCAATCAGTGTAGTCAGGGTACAATGTTACTCTAATACAGCCAGGTCAATCAATGTAGTCAGGGTACAATGTTACACGAATACAGCCAGGTCAATCAGTGTAGTCAGGTACAATGTTACACTAATACAGGCAGGGCAATCAGAGTAGTCAGGGTACAATGTTACTCTAATACAGCCAGCTAGGTCAATCAATGTAGTCAGGGTACAATGTTACTCTAATACAGCCAGCCAGGCCAATCAGTGTAGTCAGGGTACAATGTTACACTAATACAACCAGGTCAATCAATGTAGTCAGGGTACAATGTTACACTAATACAACCAGGTCAATCAATGTAGTCAGGGTACAATGTTACACTAATACAACCAGGTCAATCAATGTAGTCAGGGTACAATGTTACACTCATTCAACCAGGTCAATCAGTGTAGTCAGGGTACAATGTTACACTAATACAGGCAGGTCAATCAATGTAGTCAGGTACAATGTTACACTAATACAGGCAGGTCAATCAATGTAGTCAGGGTACAATGTTACACTAATACAGCCAGGTCAATCAATGTGGTCAGGGTACAATGTTACTCTAATACAACCAGGTCAATCAGTGTAGTCAGGTACAATGTAACACTAATACAGGCAGGGCAATCAGTGTAGTCAGGGTACAATGTTACTCTAATACAGCCAGCTAGGTCAATCAGTGTAGTCAGGGTACAATGTTACTCTAATACAGCCAGCCAGGCCAATCAGTGTAGTCAGGGTACAATGTTACTCTAATACAGCCAGGTCAATCAATCTAGTCAGGGTACAATGTTACTCTAATACAACCAGGTCAATCAGTGTAGTCAGGTACAATGTTACACTAATACAACCAGGTCAATCAATCTAGTCAGGGTACAATGTTACTCTAATACAACCAGGTCAATCAGTGTAGTCAGGTACAATGTTACACTAATACAGGCAGGGCAATCAGTGTAGTCAGGGTACAATGTTACTCTAATACAGCCAGCTAGGCCAATCAGTGTAGTCAGGGTACAATGTTACTCTAATACAGCCAGCTAGGTCAATCAGTGTAGTCAGGGTACAATGTTACTCTAATACAGCCAGGTCAATCAATCTAGTCAGGGTACAATGTTACACTAATACAGCCAGGTCAATCAATGTGGTCAGGGTACAATGTTACACTAATACAGCCAGGCCAATCAATGTGGTCAGGGTACAATGTTACACTAATACAGCCAGACCAGGTCAATCAATGTAGTCAGGGTACAATGTTACACTAATACAGCCAGCCAGGTCAATCAATGTAGTCAGGGTACAATGTTACACTAATACAGCCAGGTCAATCAGTGTAGTCAGGGTACAATGTTTCTCTAATACAGCCAGGTCAATCAATGTAGTCAGGTACAATGTTACTCTAATACAGCCAGGTCAATCAATGTAGTCAGGGTACAATGTTACTCTAATACAGCCAGGCCAATCAATGTAGTCAGGTACAATGTTAATCTAATACAATCCAGGTCAATCAATGTAGTGAGGGTACAATGTTACACTAATACAGCCAGGTCAATCAATGTGGTCAGGGTACAATGTTACACTAATACAGCAGGGCCAATCAGTGTAGTCAGGGTACAATGTTACTCTAATACAGCGAGGTCAATCAATGTAGTCAGGGTACAATGTTACACTTATACAGCCAGGTCAATCAATGTAGTCGTGGTACAATGTTACACTAATACAGCCAGGTCAATCAACGTAGTCGGGGTACAATGTTACACTAATACAACCAGGTCAATCAGTGTAGTCAGGGTACAATGTTACACTAATACAGCCAGGTCAATCAGTGTAGTCAGGGTACAATGTTACTCTAATACAGCCAGGTCAATCAATGTAGTCAGGGTACAATGTTACACGAATACAGCCAGGTCAATCAGTGTAGTCAGGTACAATGTTACACTAATACAGGCAGGGCAATCAGAGTAGTCAGGGTACAATGTTACTCTAATACAGCCAGGTCAATCAATGTAGTCGGGGTACAATGTTACACTAATACAGGTAGGTCAATCTATGATGTCAGGGTACAATGTTACTCTAATAGAGCCAGACCAGGTCAATCAGTGTAGTCAGGGTACAATGTTACACTAATACAGCCAGCCAGGTCAATCAGTGTAGTCAGGTACAATGTTAATCTAATACAGCCAGGTCAATCAATGTGGTCAGGGTACAATGTTACACTAATACAGCCAGGTCAATCAGTGTAGTCGGGGTACAATGTTACACTAATACAGCCAGGTCAATCAGTGTAGTCGTGGTACAATGTTACACTAATACAGTCAGGTCAATCAATGTAGTCAGGGTACAATGTTAATCTAATACAATCCAGGTCAATCAGTGTAGTCAGGGTACAATGTTAATCTAATACAATCCAGGTCAATCAATGTGGTCAGGGTACAATGTTACACTAATACAGCCAGGTCAATCAATGTAGTCAGGGTACAATGTTACACTAATACAGCCAGGTCAATCAATGTAGTCGGGTACAATGTTACACTAATACAGCCAGCCAGGTCAATCAATATAGTCAGGGTACAATGTTACACTAAAACAGCCAGGCCAGGTCAATCAATGTAGTCAGGTACAATGTTAATCTAATACAATCCATGTCAATCAGTGTAGTCAGGGTACAATGTTACACTAATACAGCCAGATCAGGACTGGAGGAGGGTGATGGTGAGTTGTTCCCTACCTGTGTAGCTGCAGACACCTGTGTGCCAGGGTGTAGAGGGACTGGCGGAGGGAGATGGTGAGTTGTTCCCTACCTGTGTAGCTGCAGACACCTGTGTGCCAAGGTGTAGAGGGACTGGCGGAGGGAGATGGTGAGTTGTTCCCTACCTGTGTAGCTGCAGACACCTGTGTGCCAGGGTGTAGAGGGACTGGCGGAGGGAGATGGTGAGTTGTTCCCTACCTGTGTAGCTGCAGACACCTGTGTGCCAAGGTGTAGAGGGACTGGCGGAGGGAGATGGTGAGTTGTTCCCTACCTGTGTAGCTGCAGACACCTGTGTGCCAGGGTGTAGAGGGACTGGTGGAGGGAGATAGTGAGTTGTTCCCTACCTGTGTAGCTGCAGACACCTGTGTGCCAGGGTGTAGAGGGACTGGCGGAGGGAGATGGTGAGTTGTTCCCTACCTGTGTAGCTGCAGACACCTGTGTGCCAGGGTGTAGAGGGACTGGCGGAGGGAGATGGTGAGTTGTTCCCTACCTGTGTAGCTGCAGACACCTGTGTGCCAGGGTGTAGAGGGACTGGTGGAGGGAGATGGTGGGAGCAGGACACACATGTTGGAAGAGGTCCGATGTCCACAAGGATGACAGGGACACTGGACGTGGTGTAAGATCCTTCACTGAACTGTCCTCCAGGATCTGAGCCAATACAATACAAATTTTAAAGACACAAACTAACAATACATTGCAAATTAATGTACCTATAGTGACACTATCCTATTGTTTTTACGGAGCCTTCTTTTCAGTGCATAACCTCTCATGAGGGACTTTCTCCAGAATATACTTTGGCCAAAGGATATTCTTTTGAGATGGGGACACAGACAGGAGAGGGGACTTACTGTAGTGAGAAGGTTCAGGGCCTCTAGTTCAGCATCCTCCAGGCCTAGCTGCCTGTACTGCTCTGAGATGTGGACACAGACAGGAGAGGGGACTTACTGTAGTGAGAAGGTTCTGGGCCTCTAGTTCAGCATCCTCCAGGCCTAGCTGCCTGTACTGCTCTGAGATGTGGACACAGACAGGAGAGGGGACTTACTGTAGTGAGAAGGTTCTGGGCCTCTAGTTCAGCATCCTCCAGGCCTAGCTGCCTGTACTGCTCTGAGATGTGGACACAGACAGGAGGGGGGACTTACTGTAGTGAGGAGGTTCAGGGGCTCTAGTTCAGCATCCTCCAGGCCTAGCTGCCTGTACTGCTCTGAGATGTGGACACAGACAGGAGGGGGGACTTACTGTAGTGAGGAGGTTCAGGGCCTCTAGTTCAGCATCCTCCAGGCCTAGCTGCCTGTACTGCTCTGAGATGGGGACACAGACAGGAGAGGGGACTTACTGTAGTGAGGAGGTTCTGGGCCTCTAGTTCAGCATCCTCCAGGCCTAGCTGCCTTTACTGCTCTGAGATGGGGACACAGACAGGAGAGGGGACTTACTGTAGTGAGGAGGTTCTGGGCCTCTAGTTCAGCATCCTCCAGGCCTAGCTGCCTGTACTGCTCTGAGATGGGGAAGAGGCAGGAGAGGGGACTTACTGTAGTGAGGAGGTTCAGCGACTCTAGTTCAGCATCCTCCAGGCCTAGCTGCCTGTACTGCTCTGAGATGTGGAACAGAGCTAAGGGAAAGTTGAAATCCTCCTGTAAGGACTCTCGGAACATCAGAACTGCACAATGATGCAGACCCTGTAACCAAACATACCTACATGAGACACTCCCAACAGACAAGTAGATCGGAATGTAAACACAAGACATGACAACAAGACAGATTGGATGATTTATGGTATTCATACCAATATCACAGTCCGGGATCATTACAACTGGAATGAGTGGGCAGGGATTAATTTTGATTTGAACATTATCTCATTAATATGCTACTCAACAATTCCTAAGGACCAAAATAGTCATCTTTTGTCGAAGGTGTTGTCCTTTCCAAATGTTGAAGAGCTTATCACAGCAAATCAGCTCAAATTGACTCAATGTTGGAGGAATCTTGAAGTTTAGTGCTTTGGTGAAACTCTTAATCAAGGCTGTGAAACAGCTGACAGGCCAAAAACTTTGATCAGGTGAGTGCGTGAATCAAAGCCCTGACCACCTGATCCAGGCAGCTAGGGGACATAACTCTGTACACTTAGTCGCTGCACCACCAACTGGCACCAAGTTATCCATGCCCCAGCAAAACAAGACATATCCTGAGGGCTGCCAGGTAGGATGGGCTTTGTTTTTATTGAAAATTTGTATTATAACATATATTGTTTTTGCGGGTTTGAAAACACAGGTGTCTCTTTTCAAGATGCAGTCACACCAGGAGAAATCTTACCAAATTGTGCATTTCCTTTTTCGCCAGTTCATATTTTACATACTATCTTCTATGTTATCCCATGAAGACAACAAAGCAGGTGGATATGTTTCTAAATCTCTTAATAAGGATCCTGTTGATATAATATGAAAATTCAGTTCAGAAAACAAATAGAGCCACTGTATTTTGTTTTAACTACACACAAACTATGAGAATATGTGTTACAAAGTGTAGCACTTCTAAAAACTCTTAAAACAAGCTCAGTGTTTTCAGGAGTGTTCTCACAGAATTGGAAGCTGGTATTCCAAAGGCTGCACAGACGATGCTCCTAATCCTTGTGTGAGTATGGAAAGGATGTAGCATATATTGTCACCTTGTGAGCATAGCACTGGCCCATCAGGTGGAGTGTCCTGGCCCTGGATGCAGGACTTGAGGAGGTCCGGTGTCTGGCGGAGTCCAGGACAGAGATGCAGTCATCAGCCTTACCCTCCTTCAGGTAACACAGGCCTGAGTAGGATGAACATGTGTGTATTACCTCACAGAACAGGCATGATAGGTCAAATTGCAAGAAGAGAATACAGTTATTTGGTGTACTCAATTGTGAGAGAGAGTGAGTGAGTGAGTGAGTGAGTGAGTGAGTGAGTGAGTGAGTGAGTGAGTGAGTGAGTTGCTCACTACAAGCATAGGTTGCTGAAGACCAAGACTAGCCCTGATCTTCACAGGTATGATACTAATGATTATTAGTGAGTGAGTTGTGTTTAACGCAGCTTATAACAGCATCCCAAGTTAGGTCATGGCAGGTCAGATTAATATTGGAGGAAAGCCTGAAGTGATGCAGGTCTCAGACATTTACTGAGTGAGTGAGTGAGTGAGTGAGTGAGTGAGTGTGTGAGTGAGTGAGTGAGTGAGTGTTTTGTTTGTTGTTTAACGCTGCACACAGGATGCGCAACGATCTACACAATTGGGATACAATGACATACAACTGACCGAGCCTGACCACCCGATCCCATTAGTCGCCTCTTACAACAAGCATGGGTTGCTGAAGACCAATTCTAACCTGGATCTCTAACCTGGATCTTCACGGGCGAGTGAATGAGGGTGAGTGTCAGAGAGAGAAAGAGTGTCAGAGAGAGAGAGAGAGAGAGAGAGAGAGAGAGAGAGAGAGAGAGAGAGAGAGAGAGAGAGAGAGAGAGAGAGAGAGAGAGAGAGAGAGAGAGAGAGAGAGAGAGAGAGAGAGAGAGAGATGAGCAAGGGTATGTTGCTGACAAGTGAGTGAGTGAGTGAGTTTATGCTTTACGTCACATCGGCAATATTTCAGCCACATCGTGACTAAAGGTCACATGACATATTTGTGAGTAAATACTCAATGGTTCAGAGAATTATTTCAGCTTACAAAATACTATACACTACACTATTGACACATGCAAAGAATTTATCATTGCGTTTAAAAGTAACAAGGAGTCATTTTGGGGCCATCGGAATCGGTTTCTACAAGATGGTGACTGACCAATTGTACATTCCAGAGTTTTTGGGTCCTGCAAATCATTTTATAACCATAACCCACCTATGATGTATGTCACACTAGGCAGTAGGCTGTCACTATGTAGCCTTGTCAGGCACTCCCTACTCGGCCCCCACTGGGCCAGCTTGTAGTGACACAGCCCCTTCAGGAGCCCCACGAGGTCCGGGGCAGACAGGGTCTCCATGTTCCTGGCTCGCTGCTGTACCCCGTCTCCGTGCACCGACACACAGAGTCGCAGTCCAACAGAACTCACTGTCATCTGGAGAAAACAGGTGATTGAGGGAGGGAGTGAACTGAGCTCTAACAAGAGATGTAAACCTTAACTTGGGGCGAGAGTGTGTATCTGGGATGAATGGGGTCTATAATTATATACATGTAACCCAAAAAAGCACAGGCCGATTTTTATTAACCACAAATATAGAAATATTTGCACAATGGACCAAAAGTGTTGTGATAAAAAGTGAGTGAGTGAGTGAGTATGTTTTTACGCCGCTCTTAGCAATATTCCAGCAATATCACGGCGGGGGACACCAGAAATGGGCTTCACACATTGTACCCATGTCGGGAATCGAACCCGGATCTTCGGCGTGACGAGCGACCGCTTTAACCACTTGGCTACCCGACCGCCCCTGTGATAAAAAGACTGACCAATACTTTGCGAAACACTGTACAATCACACCAGATCACCATGGCACAGAAGGGAAAAGTGACAGTTGGAAAGAACATTATTTGGTAGCCTTTCCACATCTATTAAAGTATGGTTGTGCAACTGAATCCGTTGCACTTGAGGCTGTTGTAATCACCGGTGTTTGCCTAGACTCCTGTGCGAAACTGTACAGGTAATGCTCATGCCCTTTTCATTATGGGGATCATTTCCCCACAAAAATGTCACAAAATTACATTTGTACTTTATTATCATGCAAAAAACTTAAGGCTAAAAAAATAATAGTCTTGGTTCTCAGGCACCACCACATCATCATAAAGTCCACACCTCACTTTTCTTTTTCAATTTCCATTTCCATTTAATTTTTTTTACAAAATCCTAATACTTAAAAAGAATGTGATCCAATATACCACATAGTTACTTCCCTTTACATGCGCACTGCTTTACTGCACATCTTGTGTTAAGGTCATGACAGCAGTAGGAGTTTGTATGCTTGTTTATGTCGGGAGGCCCTTTCCCAGGTTGATGGTACACAACTGTTTATTTGGTTACATACTAGTTTGAACAACCACAAAAAAACAAACACTGCCTGCACTATATTTTGAAAAAGTTATTGCCTGAGAACCAATTCTTCTCATTTTTTTAAGCCTAAGTTAAGCTTACTTTTTGGTTATAGGTTAATATCCCTAAAATATACCAATGTAGTATGGATTGAGACCAGTGGAATCCAACCAAACGGATGCAGAAACCCTTAATTGTATCCATAGATGTTTCAACCAGTAACTGTTCGATTTAAGGGTTCCTTGGCTAGCAGAGTCAAGGCTATTGGTGAGGGTTCCTGGGCTAGCAGAGTCAGGGCTATAGGCGAGGTGAAATTATTGTTCTTAAACAGTGCTGTGCTTGCACGTGTGTGTGCCGGATTTATAGTGGTAGCCCATGGATACCGCACTCAGACACAGCATACAGGCGACCAGGCACCCAAGGCGACCAGTCCTTGTTTTGTCACCTTGTGTTGAGTGCCAGGCAGAGTAACAACAAGTACCATCTTTTACCATCTTCTAATGTGGAAGAGGATTCAACCACTGACCTTCCGCTCTCTAGGCAGATGCTCTATCCACTAGACCACTGAAGTGTCACTGTTTGTACATGTTGTAAAGCTTTAATCGTTCTATCACTAGTTATTTGTCAAAGTGAATAATGTGTTATTGCTGCTGTGAGCAATATTCCAGTGATATCACTGGAGATGGTTGAGTCTGGACCAGGCAAACCAGTGATATCATGAGCAACAAGGTGAGGTGAAAAGGGGGCTTAACGTCGCCAGTTTTATAGTGCTAGTCCACTGAGATACCATGCCACAGTTTAACATGAATACCCCACTCAGACACAGTATACTGACTCCAAGCCGACCAGTCTTTATTTTATCCCCTTAATGCCGAGCACAAGGCAGGGTAAAAACAAGGTCCACCTTTTAACATCTTTTGTTAGGGATCGAACTCCCGACCTTCTGCTCTCTGGGCGGACACTTAATGGCTAGACCACAGAGGTGGTCCTGGAGACATAGGCTACAATCCATCAGGGTACATTGATACTCAATCGGCCAAGTCAGAGAATGGGACATTCAACAACCAACATCCCTCGAGGATTAATCTGGCAAACATACAACACAAAGTACTATCAGTTAGACAAGGCAGAGGTTCAGTACCTGTGATGCATCTCCTGTCTGGGCCAACATCTGTGTGAGAGACTCCAGGCACGTCACAGCTTCTTTCTCCTTCTGGGCAAGCATCAACAGACAGGACCACGCACAACCAGCAGCACAGAGGGGGGATGTGACCCCATACACTGGACACAAGAGAGAGTGTGAGTGTGAGAGTGTGTGACTGTGTGTGTGTGTGTGTGTGAGAGTGTGTGTGTTAGTGTGAGTGTGTTAGTGTGAGCGTGTTAGGGCGTGAGCGTGTTAGTGTGTGTGTTAGCGTGAGAGTGTGAGTGTGTTGGTGTGAGCGTGTGAGTGTGAGTGTGATAATGTGAGTGTGTTAGCGTGAGAGTGTGAGTGTGAGTGTGATAGTGTGTGAGCATGGTAGTGTGAGAGTGTGAGTGTGTTAGTGAGAGTGTGAGTGTGTGTTAGTGTGAGAGTGTGTGAGCGTGAGTGTGTTAGTGAGAGTGTGTGTGTGAGTGAGTGTGTGTGTTAGTGAGAGAGTGTGTTAGCATGTTAGTGTGTGTGTTAGTGTGTGAGCTTGTTAGTGTGTGAGTGTGTGTGAGAGCGTGTGTGTAAGTGTGTGAGTGTGATAGTGTGTGAGCTTGTTAGTGTGTGTGTGAGAGTGTGTGTGTGAGTGTGAGTGTGAGTGGGTTAGTGTGTTAGTGTGTGAGTGTGTGAGTGTGTGCATGCATGCATTTTAAGAAAGAAATGAAGAAAACAGTATGAAATGACAACCCAAACGAGAAACTTCACTGAGGTTAACCTTGCAGTTTGTGACATTATGAAGAATGCATGATGTCAGATCACATTGTTAGAAACAATAAAGGAATATGATGTCATATCATCTGACCAATCAAGATCGAGAATCACTAAAAATATTGCAAGTTTATTTATTCTCACCTTGTAGAATCTGGGAGTACTGGAGAAGATGATGTAATTGTGACATGACGGCTTGGTCCGGGGAATGAGCAGGTGTACTGGGGCATGGGAAGTGCTTTACTGCTGCCAACACTGAAACATGACATGACATGACGTTACATGACATGACGGCTTGGTCCGGGGAATCAGCAGGTGTACTGGGACATGGGAAGTGCTTTACTGCTGCCAACACTGAAACATGACATGACATGACATGACATGACATGACCACTTTGGTGAAACCCACGAGCACAGTATGGTGCTGACAGCCATCTTGTATGAATGCAAAATATATTTGAATGTTTGAGGTACTTGAAAACTGTATTGTGTACAACACAAAGTGTGCTCTTTCTGACCACTTTCTTTAAATAGCAGTCATTAAATGCCCATGAAGGGATTTGAACGACAGACCTTCTGAGTCAAATCGGATGCCTTGTCTGTTGACCAAGCACGGCTTACTCATACTTTTGTAAAGAATGTTCCAGAAAAACTAGAGGTACAACTAGATCCATCTGACCATTCTGGTCAGGAAGATGACTGGACAATGTGATGAGATATAACCTCACACACATATTTCAGACTAGCACAGTAAACAAAGGTGAGCTAAAAAAGTGATTTATTTTGCTTATTTTGCGCAGCTGATCTAGTCCTCTGCATCCTGTCCTCCATGTTTATCACATGCTCCTACAGAAGACGAGGCCTACCTCTGGCCAGACTGTTGCTGTATGCAGCCCCACACTGGGACAACACCGTCTGGTCGTCACTGCCGCTGCAGCGAGAGTGAAGCAGCAGAGTCAGGTAGACACTGTTGTACACGATCGTCATCTCTGTCTCCATGGTTACCATCTCGGGCGGGAAACCTGCAGACGAAGACACTCATTCATTCATTCTGTCCCAACCTCCACTATCCATGTCATCCACTGTATTGGGATGTATAGCCTGAGCCCATTTGCTACCATAGCTTATAATATAATCGAGGGGTAGTATAACAAATAAACCACTTGGGGCGCATGGTTTATTCTCCCTGCATTGTTTTATTGTACAATAAACAATGACCATGAGTCGTTTATTTCTCATATGAGATATCAACATTATTTACAGCCTCTTTAAGGACGTTGATAAAACATATTTACCCAAATCATAATGATGATGACTCCCTGAATAGAATCTGACCTTGGAAATGTCAGACAAGTCCATTTTATGCACAGGTGGATATTTTCCGGACTTTTCTCACCATCCTCACATCCATCATCTGTACCTTTTCTCACAATACCAATTATCATATCTCTCCCACTTTTGGATGCGATCATTCAGTCATCGCGTTTATCTGTTGCCCAGTTACATGTATGGGGAACAACTCACTAGACACTCCCCTCTCAATTATAATATTGTCCAATATTAGGGCTGGGATGGGTACCCAGGTCGGGTGGGTACTGAGTAGGACCCAGGTAACCACAGGACTACCCGGACCCGTGGTTAGTCACATGATTATATTGCTCAATGGCAAAAATTATCTTGAACTCTATGGTAACACTATAAGTGATAAATGTTCACATTTCTTTCTGACTTTGCACACATTCCTTCTGACTTTTTATGTTTGCATGATGATAAAACATCAGTCAACTTCAGTGTATGCATGACCAGATCGGTTTATACGTGTATCTAAATTTATTTTGACAGAAGTATGGTCAATCTATTCCAAATCGGACATGTTTTACCATCTCTTGAGATCTACAGCAGGTACCCGGGTAGGGTCGGGTAATAAGGAGGTGGGTACCTGGGCAGTAAATTGGGACTTGTCCCAGCCCTATCCAATATACGTCATCAACTTGCGAGCACATGCTTCGAATCTCCAGAAATGTCATTATGGTAGAACAATGTTTTATCGTGAAATATGCCAAACTTTGTTCTTCATTGTTCTTTACAAACTATGGCGTAGCTATCTTTATAAATATATCAGTTACTGATAAAAGAGATGGACATTGTGACTTCAATCCTCAAGCAAAGCTATGGTAGCATTCAGGGCATTTATTATAATGAAGTCAGGACATAATACACTAGACAATCGATGTTCTGATCCAGGTCAAAACGGTTCTAGGCAAGTAACTACATCAACAAAGTAATACATAGACATGATAGAAACACAGGGGTTTATCTTGGTCAGTCTAATAGTGACTCCCCTCAGGAGGTAGGGGACATTATAGGTAAAACTAGAAGCCAATTCAAAACTTTATGAGGGAACAATGATGATTTTCTATTTTACGCTTCTATGACACACAGTCATGTTTTGACCATCAGCTCCCTTGATGTGCAGAGTTGCATCCCTTGGCTGTCAGGATCCATATCGCCCAGGCCACTTGTGATCTAGAGGAGGATCTAACTGCCCTTGGCTGGCAAGCGAATTGGGAATTAAAAAAAATCCAAATTGACAATTTGTGAAAAGTCATTACTTTCTGAAATTAAGATAAATGGTGGAATTCGGTCCTGTGTACACTGCATAGGCCACAAATCAAGTGAAGTTAAGCAACATTATTTGCGGAGACTAGTTGGATGGGTGCTGGAGACTAATTGGATGGGTGCCGGAGACTAGTTGGATGGGTGCCGGAGACTAGTTGGATGGGTGCCTGAGACTAGTTGGATGGGTGCCGGAGACTAGTTGGATGAGTGCCGGAGACTAGTTGGATGGGTGCCGGAGACTAGTTGGATGGGTGCCGGAGACTAGTTGGATGGGTGCCTGAGACTAGTTGGATGGGTGCCGGAGACTAGTTGGATGAGTGCCGGAGACTAGTTGGATGGGTGCCGGAGACTAGTTGGATGGGTGCCGGAGACTAGTTGGATGGGTGCCGGAGACCAGTTAGATGGGTGCCAGAGACTTAGTTAGATGGGTGCTGGAGACTAGTTGGATGGGTGCCGGAGACTAGTTGGATGGGTGCCGGAGACTAGTTGGATGGGTGCCGGAGACTAGTTGGATGGGTGCCGGAGACCAGTTAGATGGGTGCCAGAGACTTAGTTAGATGGGTGCTGGAGACTAGTTGGATGGGTGCCGGAGACTAGTTGGATGGGTGCCGGAGACTAGTTGGATGGGTGCCGGAGACTAGTTGGATGGGTGCCGGAGACCAGTTAGATGGGTGCCAGAGACTTAGTTAGATGGGTGCTGGAGACTAGTTGGATGGGTGCCGGAGACTAGTTGGATGGGTGCCGGAGACTAGTTGGATGGGTGCCGGAGACTAGTTGGATGGGTGCCGGAGACTAGTTGGATGGGTGCCAGAGACCAGTTGGATTGGTGCTGGAGACTAGTTGGATGGGTGCCGGAGACTAGTTGGATGGGTGCCATGTTTGGCAGCTTGGCTCCTGAGAGTTTCTAGGGCTTCAGTCCTGCCCCACACTGAAGCACATGTAGAATATACAGTGTCTCCTTGGCAAGTGACTTTGTTTGAAATATGCCTCTGTTCACCCAGCAGTGAATGGGTACCTGGTAGGATAAGATGGTAATGTGTACTTTCTAGCGCCGTACAGGCAGCTTGGGTGGTAAAATCCCCAGAGGGCTGAGTATGAAATTCAAGTGCACACTGATCCATCAACTGGGTAATAAGAATGAAGTGTCATAAAAACTCACTTGGTGAAAGGAATCTGGCATATTATAAATGGATTTATTACTATTTTATTAAGAAGTATTTTAAAATTGCAGTCATTAATATTAAATGCAATAAACCCTTATTTTGTTCAATTGGTGCCAACTTTTCAGTGAAAACGTTCCTTTCGCCAACTAAAACACTGGTTATAATCACAATAATCTGAAATGGAAAATTGGGATTTTTTTTACATTTGGTGAAGAACTGGGGCTGAATACCAAATGGTTAGAAAGCCTAGATAAATCCCTGTGAGTTTAATTACCATAATCAATATGATAATGAATGCCATAAATACAAACTCTGTATTTGGGTAAGATAATTTTCCAGCTTGTTGAGAGAAGTCCTCAGAGTCTTGTCAACATCCGCTGGGGAACTGGACAGAGTCTGAAATGATTGAGATGTAGAACAATGAATGGGTTGAGCACAATGGGTACGAAGCAGACAAACTAAAAACCATATAATCAGGGCAAATCTAGATATTTGAATACACTATCATGAGATTCTTATAATAACAAAAAGGGTTTGCATTACATGCAAACACAGAAGCAGTGCCATTCCCACTTTTTCCTGAATGCCCCAAAACTTTCCCATAACAGAAAATTGTATCAGGAACCATTTTAACTTTATGTCAGGTGACAGCTGACCTCACAATGTGTTACAACTTGGAAACAGAAAATCATATGCCCCCAGCTACCTTAATAACAAATCTGAATGCTCATTAGTTGACCCCGAGTGACCTTGACCTTATAATTAAAATTTATGAAATTAGAGCTTATGTATACAAAGTTTATTAAGTTCCCTTCATAAATACTCAAGTTATCGTGTACACAATAATTTTATGCCTATTTTATACCAAGTGACCTTGACCTTCAATGTCAACCAATCATAAGTCAGAAAAGTTCCCCAGGGAGGTATATGAGAAGTCAGAAATCTCTAACATCTGTCATAAGTGCATGGTTCAGAAAACCAATCGCGGTGGTGGCAAAGCTCAAATCCAAGGAAACACATACTAAAACAACAAAACTTTCTATTTTAACACTATAAAGTCCAATTCAGGATCATCCCTTCCGTGTCAATTCAGAAAAATAAAGACTCTGGAAGGTACACAGAGAGACAGATAAGAATTTTCGTTTTCAGATTTCATTTGTTTTCCACTTTTAACTTCTCAAGGTTCCGCAAAAAGATTACAAAAATCGTTGCCTTTGTTTTAACCCTGATGGATTACCATGAGAAGCTGGCAGACAGCCTTGTTGGACTGTACTTGTACTTGTGATGGCTGGAACTTGCCATCTTCACACCCCGCCAGGTACTGGACACATTTCCTGTATCTCCCACACAGAAAGTCCTCCAGTAGATCCACCATGGTGGATAGTGCTGAAACATCAACTTCACTGTGGTAGGGGAGCATCAAAAAGTGTACTGGCTGTTGAAAATGTGACATACTTGTTTTCTTAAAAAAAAATAGATTGTGAGTAGAGCTTCTTTGGCCTGAGCAAGAAGCGTTTTTCAGGCAATTGACTAATTTAACTGTGAGGAAAACATTGAACCTTAATATTTATAATAGTCAAACAGATCAGCCGCTTAGGTCATAAAGGCCCAGCCCGTAGTTACAATGTCCAAGCATAAATTGGACAACTACTCATGATATTTATAAACTATATTAAGACAATCAACTATGATTTCATTCAATTTGTCTAGTATATTGATATTCTGACAAATATTCGTCTAGATAGTAAACGATCACAGATGAAAGGAAGACCTATGAACTCTTCTAGTGTCGTCTTTGACAGGCATATAGAAGTTGGATGAACATGAATAAATGACACATGATGGAGCAAGAAGTAGCTTTGAAACGTCGTGACAAAGAATAAAAAGAAGATGCTATCCACAAAAAGGGTCATGTATTCATCTTCTAGTGTCCCATTTAAAACACTTATTTTCAATGAACAAATGTCATTAAATGGATGATACCATAAATAAATGATAGTATTACTTTGCAAGAGGTACCTATTGCATTGTCAGTTGAATGTCACGATTTGGAAGACGAAAAATCAATAACTCTCAAACAGCATGTTCAAAACACAAACTTTTGCCGCCATGATGATTCTTTGCGAATCGCTTAAAACATAAAAACAAAACAATCCCGTTTGATATATAAGGTGTTATCAATTCAAACTTTGACAATAACTTATATGGAGCTACTATCGTACCGTACATAATTCATGGCTTATTAAATCGGAAATTAAAAGAGAAAAACTTATTTTGCAAGTGCTTAAGGGGCAATTAAGATGCTACTAACTCAAAACGTTCAATATTCATCATTGAATCTAAACATTATTGCTTTTTTGTAATTAAAATAAAAAGATATATTAACTCAAACATATTTTACTCATATGCTTTTTATTTTTAAATGTGTATATGAATTATATGTTAATATAAATAGACGATATGCAATATGAAACTCTCTTGTGGACTGTTGTTAAATATCTGTATGCTGGGAAATACTACAATCAACGGGAGACAACTGCCCATGTAATTCCAGCGGGAAGTTTGCATGGGATTGGTTGTGACGGGGAAATTTGTCGAAGAGAAGGAAGTGTTCGGAGACCAATAAACATGACAAGCACGAGAGAAAAGCATAAAATTACCAACACACTTGTGTGTCTGTTAAAGGCCATGGAAGGTGTAAAGACGACAGTTGAATTAAGAAATGAAAATTCGGTACATGGCCAAATCTTGATGGTTAGCGGACAGATGCACTTGACTATGGCAGACGTCGTTTTTAGACCTGTCAAAGGACCCGAGCAAAGGTTCAGTGATTTCTTTGTTCAGGGCCATCAAATTCGCTTTGTTCACATACCTGATCATATAGATATCAGAAAGGCAATGGAGAAGATGCTTCTTACTCGACAGTCGGTGTTTTCTAACATATCTAAAGCAAAGGAACAGCGACAAATGGTGAAGGAGAAGATTGCACAGAAGAGGGAGATTCAAAGACAGAAACGGGAAGAGAGAGCCTTGAGGGAAGCTCCTCAATCTATTCAGACTGTCACCAGTAACAGAAGTGATGTGTAACTGTTTAGGAAATATGCAACAGAATTCAAGGCATTATTACAATAATAATACAAAGAAACAATATATGTTTAGTCCTTGTTTGAAACCGCTACCAGAAATGATGTGGAACTGCTGAAAGGAAATGCAATAACTGTCTATTGCTTTATCATATTAGACATTGTTTATTTTTTATTAAAAAATAGTTTTTGTTTGTTCTAATGTGTTACAATATCTTTAGTCTGTAAGTTAACATATGATGGTAAGGGTGCTGTGACATAGAGTGTTAGTGAAGTATCAGGGTTTTACCTCGACATTGGTCATGATTGATGGATGAAATAACAGACCCCCATCACTGCTCTTGATGCGCTGTAAGTACAATAAATATTATTGTGCATCCCACTGGACACAGTATATTTTATTTCTGCGTCCATTCTCGTCATGTTGGCATACTGGACACACATTTGTGTGTTGCTTAAAACCCTGAAGTATTATTACTCTGTAGATCATATAATAGGGTGCAGGCTAAAACAGCACTGATTTCGTCTGGCGAAAACATAACCTTATGATTGCACAAAAGATTTGTGTAGTAGTATATACCCAGATAGTACAACAACATTGGGCTGAGATTGTACACAACATTGGTCCAAGACTGGAAAACTTCATTGGACCTACAGCAGGCTAGCATCGGTCAATGCTATCACTCCAGCCCCTCTTTTACAAAACCATCCTGAATCCCTCTCCAAACCTCCATGCAACACTATTCCAATGAAGTATTGTCAAGTATGTTATGGTTGCCATCAGCTGATTTGTAATTGAAAAACGCATTGGTTGACCCAGCATAACCCACTACATGACAAATGTTTTATCAAAAGATGTAGTTTTTTTATATGATAAACTAAGCACAACTACTGATGTCACCAAGGTCTGGGACTGGGATGAGTCCAGATTTGCCTCTCGGGTACCAACTAAAGATCTCAGTTGAGTACAGAATGTCCGATTGGGAATTGTTTTACTGAAGCCCTGGCAAAATCTATTTACATGTATATAACGATCTGATCATGCATATACTGAAATTGACTGAAGCTTTGTCTTTACTCAAACATATAAAAGTCAGAAGAAATGCATGCATAGTATGAAATAAATATGGACGTCAGCGACTTGTAGTGTAGCCATTGAGTTACATTAAACAGTATTATAAGCTTGTCGTAAGAGGTGACTAACGGGATCGGGTGGTCAGGCTTGCTGACTTGGTTGATGCATGTCATCATATCCCAATTGTGTGGATCGATGCTAATAATGTCAATCACTGGAATGTCTGGCCCAGACTCGATTATTTACAGACAGCCACCATATAGCTGGAATATTGCCGAGTGCGGTGTTAAATAACAAACAAACAATCAATCATTAAACAGTATATCATGTGACTAAGCACAGGTCAGGGAAATCCTGTGGGTACCTGGGTTCTACAATTACAAATTAATTTTAATTTCGCAGTTTCACATATTTAGAAGTATGTAGATGGATTTCATATGTAATACAGGGATCCCTCGCTATTGTGCTCTTCGATAAAGCTGTAACGCATGGCTCCCAAAATTTATGTACACTTTTATTACTGAGAGTTTTACACAGACATAATTGTATTGTTGTTCGTTGTTCATAACGCTTCTCATTGCATAATCAACCGTTTATCGCTGAATGGAGTTCTAATAATCTGTAGTGTGAAAAATGGGTCACACTTTTAACAGAAGCAACAGGGGTAGCTTATTCCTGAAGCTGCAATGCCAGAAGGTTCTGATAAGTTTTGTTGTGCCTGCCAGTGTTGGCATGTTAATGCTAATTTCTAATGTAAAAGTGTTGAAGGAGATTAACATTCACAATTTCATGACCAATTTGAGTTTTCATGTAAAACTGTGAGTTTGATTATATTTATCATGTTTATTGTTGGTTTTTAAAACCAACGTAAAGAAAAAGTAAGGTGCCGTTTTCACTTCCCAATAGTAGCCGCTTTGGCATAGCAAGGTACCATTTTCACCAATAAGTGTCGTTTTCACTTGGTGCCAATTAAGCCTACAATAATCATAATAATTTGGTGAGTTGCTACTCCAAATACCTTTTCAATATGCAAAATTGGAGGGCCAAAATATTTGATACACTATCCCATTCAGCATGTTTAGCAATTTGCAATAAAAATGAGGTATGAGACTAAGACATATCTTTAACAAATGTATATTCTTTTCACCAACGATGATTGAAAATGAAAGTATTTCAAGACAGTGTCTGTGAGTGTTGTACAGGAAAGTAACTACATGTATTCCAGGTGTCTTGTTATCGTGAAGTATAAGATAAGTAGTCGACCTTTTTTCACCAAGCAGGCAAGTGGTCATTGTCCTGCTAGACCGTTACCATGGTCTCGTGGTAGAGCATCTGGCCGGAGAGCGTAAGGGAGGGGTTCAATCCCCATCGTGTCATACCTAAAGACGTGAACAGATGGTACCTGTTGTACCCTGCCTGGCACTTTGCATTAAGGGGCTAAAACAAGGACTGGTTGACTCAGAGTCGGTATATTGTGTAGGTGCGAGGTGCCAATCCTTTGAATTGCTGACTGTGACATACAACATTTGCTCTCACTTCAGTTTGGTCTACATTCAAAGGAACACAAACAAAACAATAAATTCAGCCAATCAGATCCACAATTTACTGATCCTAAGGCTGCTAAGTCAGTTAGGACTGTGGTTACAAATCGGTGTACGACACAAAGAAATATACTCTGGTCGCCCCAGAACCTTTTGAAAGTGGACCACCCAGAGCAAAGCAAGAAACAGTATGCAATCCGGCCCTCTAGAGAAGTACAGGGGCATGCAACCCTTGAATAGTTTAAAATCCAGACTGCAAATGGTGTAATTGGGAGCAAGAATTAAATATGTTTCAAACATATTTTTTGTTGCATTTTAAGCTGGATAAATTAATAGTTGTCAAATCAACAAGATGAACAAAGTCTGGACAATGTGTAAACAAACACCACTACAATGTTCTTCCTTATCCTTCAACTTATTCATCATAGACAATCGGTCTAGCTCAGTTTCTCACACTGTTGACTGATCAGAATTTTGATAGCCACGGGCCATAGGTCAACCATTCATTTTGCACAATATGCCATTGGGATGATTCTGTGTCGCTGTATCCAGATGGCGTATTACATCTATTCTGGTGGCTACTTTGTTGATTCAGCTGTGTACAGGCAGATATAACATAGCTGTGGACCCGTGAAGATCCGGGGTAGTGCAGGTCTTCAGCAACCCATGCTTGCAGTAACAGGTGACTATGCTTGTTGTAAGAGGCGACTAACAGGATCGGGTGGTCAGGCTCGCTGACTTGGTTGATGCATGTCGTCGTATCCCAATTGTGTGGAGAGACCTGCATCACTTCGGGCTTTCCTCCCACATTAAGCTGACACGTCGTGATATAACTGGAATATTGTTAAAAGCGGCGTTAAACCCAACTCACTCACTCACCAATTGTGTGGATCGATGCTCATGATGTCAATCACTGGAATGTCTGGTCCAGACTAAATTATTTACAGACAGCCGACATATAGCTGGAATATTGTTGAGTGCGGTGTTAAACAACAAACAAACAGCTGGGATAATGAATCTGTTGTCTAAACAAAATTCACTCACTTGCATGCTGTAATTCAAACCTAACTACCCACATTACAGGCGACTGTCATAACCCTTGAACACTGTTCATTTACTCGCCATGGGGTTTTCAGCTGCAGGGCATGGAGTCTTCCCACAGATGACATCCTTACTTTGTCAACCAGCTGAAGGGGTCCGAGGGTCCATGGTTCGAATCCCATCACAGGGCTCAGGACATGTCATGGACATGTACAGTGTGCCTGCCTATACATTCAAGCCTCGATCCTGAACCAAAGATTGTAATGAAACACCTGTTCATAACAGTTAGTTGCTGTTGCTCGTATATTTAAGGACTGCCTCTGTGGTTTTGTGGATAGAGGGCCCAGTCTTGGCTTCGAGCAGAAGATCAAGATCTATGTCACACCAAAAAGACATTCAAATATGGAAGTTACTCTGCCTGGCGCTCGGTAACGATGACTGGTTGGCTCAGAGTCAGTCTGCTGTGTCAGAGTGGAGAATCCATATGAAACGGCGGCATGGTATCTCGGTGGTAGAAGCAGCCACCCACTATATAAGCGCAATCTTAAATGCAACGTTAACCCCACTTCACCTGACCTGTATATTTAATTGAGTTTGTAGAAAAGATGACCATTTGGCTTGACGAAAACAATATATGAATATTTTAGTGTATATTCCCAGTGGTAGGTTCAGAATTAAAAAAATTAAAATAGTGAGGGTTTGTAAAGAGTTTTTCAATTTATTTTAAAAGTGTTTTCACACACTATCACCCACCCCAATTATGTTCAGTTTAATACACACCAACCCTGCCGTGGTGCTATTGTTGCAGGACCACTTGCATTCCTTTCAACTGGTTGGGAGAAGTAAAAACTTCACAGACTACAGGCTCACTTGGCGCCTTGTTGACACTTGCCTACAGATAACAAAGGTTTCTGTTGATGAAAATGCTGATTTTATTGCTTTTGAAAAATAATAACATTCATCATCAAGACAATACATATGAAGTGTTATGGTAATACTTCTTACAATAACAGTTTTGTGAGATTAACGTTTTAAGTAATGGTGAATATGCTTGAAGAATTTTGTTATGCATAATTTTTATGGACCACACATCTTGTGGATATAGGTTGCCCAGTTGTCTTGGGCACTGCAATCTGCTGTGCATAGTTGTCTCTTAGGTGTGCCATCATCCTATGTTTGTGTGCATGGGTTTGAATCCAAAATACACTGTGTTCATGATGCTTGGTTTGTCTGCATCAATTTGTGCTTGTCAGTTTCACCATAGCGACGAACATCTGAGATCCGTATCACTTTGGACTACTCTGTCACATCAAGCCGACATTCCGTGACATAAAATACTGTTCAAAGTAGAGTCTCAACTCACTCCACAGATCATGTTAAAATGACTTTACAATCTGTATTTCCATAAATAACCCATGAACCTATGGCTAAAAAAAATAATATTCTTGGTTCTCAGGCAACGCTCACATCATCATAAAGTTTGACGCATGTTTCGTTTTTTATTTCCATTTTAAAATAATCCCCCCCTAATCCTTAAATATTTTAAGTCCAACAGTAGTCAAATACTGTATTCCAGTATTTTGCTCAACAAGGAATAGAATCTACTTTTTTGTTGGGAGGCCCTTTCCCAGGTTGTTTGTACATAACTGTTTATTTGGTTACACAACTGTTTATTTGCTAACATACCAGTTTGAACAACCCCATAAAAGGAAGAGAAAAACACACTGCCCGCCCACACTATATTTTAGAAAAAATAGTACTCGTTCACTTTCGTTCAAATACCCATCATTCAAGGAATCATTTGTTCAACAAACAAGTGTCTCTGAAGACCACCACACCTCATCATTCAAACATTCAACTGATGTGTTCTACACACAATATCACATCAATTGGATGCAAACCTAAATTGTCAATCAAGGAGGATGAAGGCCTACACTGTACTAAAGCTAATTGGATGTATATTACATCAATAAAAACCAAAATGGCACATTTTTCTTAAATTGTCCTTACAAACCCATCTTTCCGAGGCAAGAGAGTTGACCGAACAAGGCTGGAATTCCTGGGCTCGACCGTAGCGCCACCAGTGGTCATTACGTGTTATGTCCCTTCTAAGCCTCTCCTATGGGCCAATCAGATTCCACCTCTCGTATCACTTGCATTTGTTTCAAACAAAATGGCAGTGCCCTGTCAAGACGATCTGATCAATAAGCAACATCTATGTTATGATAAAACGGGTCTAACATCGCGAAGTGAATCAAATAACATGAGAACCTTGATTAAAAACATGAAAAGATTTGGAAAATATCTGCTGACAAGTTGGTGGTGCACATGCAGTGCAAATACTGCAATCAACCGAAATCTGCACGACAGTTTACGAACCAGATTTCGTTGCACGATTTTGATTGGACTCGTTATTCCAGCCAAAATGTAACTCCATAATACCAACCTAGTTCGGCAAGGGTGGAAACTGGACTTTAAAAGTCAGTCAACTCTCCCTCGGGAAGATTTTAACAACCTGATCTCAAGTAAAAACATGACATGTCTTTTCTCAGTATGAAAAAAGAGAGTTTAAATCAATTAAAAACTATGAAGACCTTCCAATAATCCTCTGCTTTTGAGTCAAATGCGAAACAAATTAAAAAGGAAGAAAGACCTGAAGCTCACCACATCAATGTCATGAGATTTTATAAGCATGGATTAAGACTGACTGGGTAGGACAGAAGGTGTTCATCAGTGTCAACAACACAACAATAAATAGGGTGACCGGCACCTGGGGAATGTCAGCATATGACACATATACACATTAACAATCTTATACCTGCCTGCTCCGACTTTTGCAGCTTGTCTTACTACATTATATGGCTTCAAATTTTTAATATTCAGCTGTGGAAATGTTATGTAAATCACATTATTTTGAATCCTTCATTTAATTCTTAATGTTGGGTAAATGGGCAATTACATAATGTTTGCATGTTGCTGTGCAAATCTGAGATGACAGAAAACTAATTTTTTAAATATTGTAAGTACGCTTTTTCTGCTTAATCTGGCCCTGAACTTAGTGCATCGGTTGGCCTTGCTCTGTGGTGTCATCATGTTAATAACTATGGCTGCTGTATCTCATAGACTTGGGGACCAACCATTTGTGGCATTTTGATATACTCTGTGTGTCTCTGTGCATGGCTGTGAGTGTGTGTGTATGCCTGTGAATGTCATTGTGTGAGTGTGGAATGTTTGTTGTTTAACGCCGCACTCGGTAATATTCCAGCTGTATGATGGCGGTCTGAAAAATAATCGAGTCCGGACCAGACAATCCAGTGATTGACATCATGAGCATCAATAAACGCTATTGGGAATATGATGACATGCATCAACCATGTCACCAAGTCTGACCACCCGATCCCGTTAGACGCCTCTCACGACAAGCATAGTCGCCTTTTACGGCAAGCATGGGTTGCTGAAGACTTATTCTTCCCCAGATCTTCACGGGTCTGTGTGGAATGATTTGGACTGGGATTTCTTTCTTTTTTTAAATATTTTTCCTGAATTTTTGGTCTCAGATTTTACATACATGCTGGATGCCCTGGAACAAACAGAAGTACCCCACCCCCACCCCCACCCCCACCCCCCACCCCCTCATGGTTGCTCCCCTAGACAGTTGTAGTGTAAAGATTGTGAACAAGCTTCATCCTGAGAGCAACATTGACTGGATCCTATACTGAATATCTACAGTCTTGCCAGTCAAAGCATATCACAGTTCTTCATGACTCAGACACAGAAGTGGCAACTTTTGACATGACTGACATTAGGAGGATATGTTGGCACCTTTGTTGTAAACAAAATTGAAATAGACAGCCCTACAGTGTAACACTGTAATCTGTACCATACCGTTCTCACTGAAGGAACGAATTCATGTACTAGTGCATTATTGGTACAGAGTAATGTCCATTGTATACAGTGGAATCTGTCTAATCTAGACTCTGACTATCAGTCGCTTTTAGCAATATTCCAGCAATATCACGGCAGGGGACACCAGAAATGGGCTTCACACATTGTACCCATGTCAGGAATCGAACCCGGGTCCTCGGCGTGACACGCGATCGCTTTGACCACTATGCTACCCGACCGCCCCCCTCATCAATAGACGATGTGTTTACAATGTAGACTGATACCCAGGATGTCCTAGATTCAGCAGTAAACATTCACCAAAAAACTATTTAGTACAGTATTTTCCATAATGGTACTAATATTAAAGCTTCCACACTGAACTGCCACTTGAATCAGTCCAGCTGATTGAACCATACAAGTCCGACCCTCAACCTTGACAGAAAAATCTTCTTGTAAAATCTTAATCTCTTTCGGACTCGAGACTTGGTCTCACACTGGTTTTGGGAGATTCTGACCTATCCTCATTCCTAACGGTAATACCAGTAATCGCCCAGAAAGAGGGGTGTCCAGACTGACAAGGTTTCATTGTATATTAAAAATATTTTTGGATAATAAACGTTTTGACATCAATTTAAAAATAACAAGTTACAGACATATGACATACACAGAACATAAAATAACTACAAGGTTGAGCGTGAGTATAAAAAGTGTAAAAATAAACAATGCATGTCATCATGAGTCATTTTAAACATTTCATACTTTTATGGAATAAATCGCACAGTACGAGGCCACTTGTGATGGGGGTTATTAGAAGTTTTCCTTGTTATAGAAGAATCTTGTTCCATTGTTGTCAGAAGAGTATTTATTGCAGAGCTTGTGAAGCTGTGTAGATAGTTCCTTCGGTCCACAGAAGAACACTCCCACGCTCACCCTGCAGTAGATGGTAACACATGGTCAACACAAGGAATAAGACAACACTTTTGTAGTGTATGTGTCCGACTGACCGTCGTCCAAAGCAACAATCAGAAAATAAAACAAATAGTTAATATTCATTAATATTTGCACTACCATCTACAGGTATTGATTAATAAGCAAAACAAAATGTAACTTAACTTTTAATTAATATTTAATAAAATGAATTTTTTACGCAGCAAGTAGTGAGACAGCAAATAGTGGACTGGTCGCAAACCTTACGTCTGAATCCTACATGAGTCAGAATCTATAACTACCATATATCACCATCAGTAATACCCCTCAATCATAATGCAACCGCCTGAAGAAGTTCGAAATCAATGCTAAATGAAATAGCCCCAAAGGTACCAGTTTTACCAACCCAGGATGTTGCTGTGCTAGAGATGCGAATACCCGGTCCCATTGGGGGCGGCCATAATGAGTCTTCTGACTCAGTCCTGTCACAGGGTCAAGGCCATTGTCGTCATCATGGATCATAATGTTCTTCGCCTGGAGATAAAACATGTTTAAGTGAGTGTTTGTTGAAACTTGTAGATTTGCAAATAGGTGGATCAGAGAACTCATCTCCCACAGATAATGCTTTTTGTGGGGGAGAATCAAGATCAGAAAAATTTGTAGGCGATGTGAAATGGGATTTAATGTCAATATTATTTCACTTATATAGCAACGTGTATGCATGTGTGGCTGCTTGTACTAGTCTGGAGTAACGATGATTTTACAGTACTAGCTGGGTGAGTTACCATGCCACAGTTTAACATGGATACCCCACTCACGATATACTGACTCCAACCAGTCCTTGTTTTATCCTCTTAATACATCAGGCAGCACAACCTTTTTGAATTTTAGGATATGTATATGTATATATTTATATATATATATGCTTGTGTACATGCGTATATCATGGTATGCCCATGTGTCAGTGTCTACATTTCCATATTATTCCACTGAAACCACTGATTTGAGGTTTGAGATCTCTCTTTGAGAATATAATATATGTGTGTGTGTATGAGAGTGCTTGTGGCGTCCCTGTGTGAGAGCGTGTAAATGGTGTTTGTATGAGAAGTGTGAATGGCTGTTGTGTTCCATCATGTGATACATATATGCAGTAAATCATTTATTATCACTGGTAATATCAATCATCACATTACAAATGATGTGCAAACAGTTAATGTATTAATATGCATTATATAGTGTACAATGTATTCTGAACCCTGAATAAAAAAATTATACATCAGGCAGGGTAACAATAAGTTCCATCGTTTAACATCTCCTGGTATGACAGTCAGGGGACTGAACCACAGACCTTCTATTCTAGAGGCAGGAGCTCTATCCCCTAGACCACAGAGGCAGATAGAAACTTGTGATCTACAGAATAACAAGTCACAAACATGAAGTGGACAAGGGTCTTATTGTCTTTCAATATATATGATACCTGGTCAAAATCTGCTGCCATATCACAAGGGAGTTCAAGAAGGACTGCATGTGGGAGACTGAGTCTTGGGTTATGATCGCAAGCCCTGTAACAGTGTATGAGAGTGGCTTCATGCCACACGATTGAAGCACTATCATAAGGGGGTACAAGAATGGGCTTCGCACATGCAGTTAATCAAACATATGTGTTCTGTTATCTTCCCGAGGCAAGAGAGTTAACTGACTTTAAAAGTCCAGTTTCCACCCTTGCCGAACTAGGCTGGTATTATGGAGTTACATTTTGGCTGGATTAACAAGTCTGTGCATAGTCAAATCAAATTCACACACCGAATGCGGAAACTGTCGTGCAGATTTCGGTCGATTGCAGGATTTGCAAAGCATGTGCACCGCCAACTCGTTGTCAGCAGATATTTTCCAAATCTTTTCATGTTTTTAATCAAGGTGCTCACGTGATTTGATGCATTTCACGATGTAAGACCTGTTTTATCACAATATAGATCTTGATTATCGATCAGATCGTTTTGACTGGGCGCCACCATTTTGTGTGAAGCAAACGCAAGTGATAGGAGTGGTGGAATCTGATTGTCCATAGGAGAGGCTTAGAAGGGACATAACTGGTAATAGCCACTGGTGGCACTACGATCGAGCCCAGGAATTCCAGTCTAGTTCGGCAAGGGTGGAAACTGGAATTTTATAGTCAGTTAACTCTCCTGCCTTGGGAAGATGGTGTTCTGTGTGGTGAGCCAGCATCCTATAACTACCTACCTGGTTCGAGTCCCAGCCTCGGGTCAGGTAGATGTTGTGAGACAGGAAGTTGGCATTGCCACGTTCGTACGTCTGCTGCTCTATAGATTTGAGGAGATCCTGGAACCACTCGAAGGCGTGAGTGTCGGGACACACCCAGAAGAAGTGCACCTTTTTCAGCGACATCTCTGTGTTGACATCACAGTACTTGTACCTGAATCCCAATAATCAATCGATTTTGAAAATAATTTAGTAGAGTGATTAAGCCAGTAGGGCTTGGCATTAGTTTAACAATGTGTAGCAATATCAAGAGATACAAAGATCTGACTTACAAATGAGTCAATGTTGGGGCAAATGTTGTCTTCAATATATTTTTGCATTTATTGAGGTCTAAACATAAACAAGAGTAATCAGGGATTACATATACACCCAGTCTGGTGCAATTCAGAAATGGAGTTTGGCTACTTATACCCCACTTTTGGTACATTGCCATTGGATACCTTCAGTTCAGTGAAGAAAACATAATGCTGTTCAGTGCTTTTCAAAATCTCAAATCATTAAAAGGCTTCAGTTCACCAGTAGACTGATCTGAAGAGCAAGTTTCACAACGGCTTTGGAGTTCAGCTCCGGAAACGAGCACTTCCCTCATTTCAGTAAAGCCCAACTTGTCATGAAAACATAAAAAAAATCAACAACAAAAATCCCAAATCATCAAAAGGCACCAGTTCACCACTAGACTGATCTATACAGCAAGTTTTAACAAGAAATATATTTTAAGGTTTTGGAGTTCTTCTCCAGAAATGGAAAACAGACGGCTGACAGTCGGACAAACATGGTGATTGCTATATCCCCATGTTCCAAACTGGGGGGATAAGATGTGTGTGAGCATTTTATGTCACCATTTTTTAAGTTTATACCTCCATAAATGCACACAACACACACAGGACCAAACATATTGACAACCAATCCCTATTTCCGTAGGCTCGTACAAGAACAGGACAGTGATGGAACATCTGCCCATGGGTAACAAGGGTGATTGAAAGACAAGTGACAGTACCATATATTCTTCAAAACAGCTGCAAATGGTGTGACTCCTATCCCTGCACCGATCAGCACTGCCACCTCATAGCGGAAAAAGTCCTTCAAAGAATAGACACACATTCAGCTGTCTGAACAGACTTCAAATGTCAGTCAAATGGTTGTGAGCCTGCCAACAATTTATCAAAATAAATACTACCTTTGTTCATTTTGAGTGAGTGTTTTTAACAGTATTTCAGTTATATCATGGCATGGTGGCTGAATGTGGCAGTATTGCCAAATTGACAATGTTTATCACTGAAACCCACAAGCAGAGGTATGGTGCTAGATTTGAACCCCAAACCAGTGTATTCGGGGACAGCAAAGGGAGACAACACCTTACACAGGCAATCTGCGCCCTTATACAGCCATAATAATGATGTTGATGATCTATGGTGAAAGTTAGGGCTTACCTCCGTGGCAGTTCCAAAGGGGCCATCCACAGCTAACCTGGTGGGTAGAGGAAGGAACACTAGAATCATCTAGCCTAACTATGCAAGCTTAATACATGTGTTCATAGACTTCTCTATTTCCCCTATTGCCATAGACTTGCTGACTTTCTGGCGTTACGACATGGACTTTCACAAACACTATAATATCCCTATAGCATGTGTATTACTGGTATCAGTTATACAGATCCGAGAACGATACAGAAGGCAATAGGCCATAATATAGTAGGTATCTTCTGAGTGAGTGAGTGAGTGAGTGAGTGTGTGAGTGAGTGAGTGAGTGAGTGAGTGAGTGAGTGTGTGAGTGAGTGAGTGAGTGAGTGTGTGAGTGAGTGAGTGAGTGAGTGAGTGAGTGAGCGAGTGAGCCTATCTGGGCATCTTCCACACCCTAAATGACACCGGCCCTTCTGAGTGAGTGAGTGAGTCTACCTGGGCACAGTGAGTGAGTGAGTGAGTGAGTGAGTGAGTGAGTGAGTGAGTGAGCGAGCGAGCCTATCTGGGCATCTTCCACACCCTAAATGACACCGGCCCTTCTGAGTGAGTGAGTGAGTCTACCTGGGCATAGTGAGTGAGTGAGTGAGTGAGTGAGTGAGTGAGTGAGTGAGTGAGTGAGTGAGCGAGCGAGCGAGTGAGCCTATCTGGGCATCTTCCACACCCTAAATGACACCGGCCCTTCTGAGTGAGTGAGTGAGTCTACCTGGGCATAGTGAGTGAGTGAGTGAGTGAGTGAGTGAGTGAGTGAGTGAGTGAGTGAGCCTATCTGGGCATCTTCCACACCCTAAATGACACCGGCCCTTCTGAGTGAGTGAGTGAGTCTACCTGGGCATAGTGAGTTAGTGAGTGAGTGAGTGGGTGAGTGAGTGAGTGAGTGAGTGAGTGAGTGAGTGAGTGAGTGAGTGAGTGAGTGAGTGAGTGAGTGAGTGAGTGAGTGAGTGAGTGAGTGAGTGAGTGAGTGAGTGAGTGAGTGAGTGAGTGAGTGAGTGAGTGAGCTTATCTGGGCATCTTCCACACCCTAAACGACACCGGCCCTTCAGAGTGAGTGAGTGAGTCTACCTGGGCAGAGTGAGTGAGTGAGTGAGTGAGTGAGTGGGTGGGTGGGTGGGTGAGTGAGTGAGTGAGTGAGTGAGTGAGTGAGTGAGTGAGTGAGTGAGTGAGTGAGTGAGTGAGTGAGTGAGTGAGTGAGTGAGCGAGCCTATCTGGGCATCTTCCACACCCTAAATGACACCGGCCCTTCTGAGTGAGTGAGTGAGTCTACCTGGGCATAGTGAGTGAGAGTGAGTGAGTGGGTGGGTGGGTGAGTGAGTGGGTGGGTGAGTGAGTGAGTGAGTGAGTGAGTGAGTGAGTGAGTGAGTGAGTGAGTGAGTGAGTGAGTGAGTGAGCGAGCCTATCTGGGCATCTTCAACACCCTAAATGACACCGGCCCTTCTGAGTGAGTGAGTGAGTCTACCTGGGCATAGTTAGTGAGTGAGTGAGTGATCGAGTGATCGAGTGAGTCTACCTGGGCATAGTGAGTGAGTGAGTGAGTGAGTGAGTGAGTGAGTGAGCGAGTGAGCCTACCTGGGCATCTTCCACGCCTCCTGGAACTCCCCCTCATCAACATGGCAGGCTTTGGCCAGCTTCTCCGTCCAGTCCCCTACACTTCGGACGTGCACGGACAGGAAGTCTTCGTTTGGAGACTGAGGAGACAACAGAACATTATAACGCTATAACTGGTGCAATGGGATTAAACCTGAAGTAATGCTCATTTCCAGGAATGTGTTTGAATACTATTGTCTTAGCACTATGACTGTCATAATCAATATTCAAACATGGGAGTTACTATTGTCTTAATGCTAAGCTTCGTTTGTTTGTTTGTTTGTTGCTTAATGCCACACTCTGCAATATAACAGCTATATGACGGCAGCCTGTAAATAATCAAGTCTGGTCCAGACAATCCAGTGATCAACATCATGAGCATCAATCTATCTACGTTGACATGCATCAACCAAGTCACCGAGTCTGACCATCTTACTGCTAAGATCACTATGTGGAACGGGACCAAGTAGGGGTATGGTGCTGACCAAGGATCATAATCAAGGTGAATCTGGGATTCATTCAAACAATCAGCAGATCCTGGCATGACAAAGGGATGCAACTCTGCACTGTAAATTGTGTCACTTTAGACCATTGGAGGGAGGGAGGGGGGGGGGGGGGGGATAAGATTATTCATTTCTTATTCAAGTTAACTTTCACAAGGAAAAATGTTTTCTGGCTACGGCACTGAGACGTCACAAGTTTATACCTGTTCAATGATGAGTTACATATCTGTTATGTAGGCGAGAATATGACAACTTGGTACAATAAGGTCATGAGAGTAATGGATGCACTGGTAATCTCATGGTGGTGGGTAAAAGTTATTCAGGTGTCAATAACCTGGGGACCTAACAATCTGAAGCCCTATATTCCAGATAAAGATGCTACCTACGGAAGTGAGGGTGAAGGGGTGCCACTCCAGCCGGGAGATGGACGAGCACTGCAGGAACACATACTGCCCCGGAAGCGCGGAGAAGCCTTTCTTCATCATCTGTAGCTCAAACACATTGGACTGATGTTTCACGACCTGAAAACGCAAACAGTCTATGGTCGGATCATAACAGTTTTAGGTCGCTTGGGGTGATGGTCTGATCACAATACATATTAAATTGAAAAAAAGAAGTTTTTGCAGGAGTGTCTACAAAGGCAGACGGTGCCTTGCACTCAGCAATATCCCAGCTATATGACGGCGGTCTGTAAAGAATTGAGTCTGGACCAGACAATCCAGTGATTGACATCACTGGGATACGATGACATGCATCAACCAAGTCAGCGAGCCTGACCATCGATCCCGTAAGTCGCCTCTTACGACAAGCATAGTGGCCTTTTATGCAGGCATGGGTTGCTGAAGACCTATTCTACCCCTGATCTTCACGGATAAATATTGGCTAGGTGCTGTAGAGGATAAAAAGAATAGATTTATGCATGAACATGATGCCATCTCACCTTTGTTATAACAACAGTCTTCAAACTACGACAAAAGCGTATAACCCTCTCTATGATGTACAGCACAACAGGAGCCAACACCCATATCCAGGTCTGAAAGTGAGTGAGTGAGTTTGATTTAACGCCATTTTGAATCGTGTTTCAGTTCTGGCATCCTTAATGATGGTGGAAACCCCAAAAGATTGCCGTATTTGTATACATCACATAACAGCAAGGGAAGTACAGCGTTAACATCAAAACAAAGTATCAAAGTGTTTAAGAAGCTTGGATCACTGAAACAAGAGGCTCAGAAGGAGGCTGTACAGTGACTTCTGAGCTATCTGCTTGTGAAAGTTTTAAGGGCACAGGTATGAACAGGGCAAGGATCATAATCAGGGTGATACTGGAATTCGATTGCACAATTAGCAGATCCTGGCACAGCTAAGGGACACAACTCTCTAGTGATTTGTACCCTCTTAGACCCTATTGCAGATTCAAAATACTATTGATGTATTTGATGAGAGTTCCACAAGACCAAAACCTACCTTTGGTGGTGAGCCTGAAAACTGTGGAATGGGGCACTCCCCACTGCCCCACTTGTCATACCTCTTGTAACACTTGGCAGGATCATGGATGGCTGTGTTGGTCTGGCCCCGGATTATTCCCCTGGAGATACAGAACACAAACAATCAGTACAGATTGTGATGGTCTTATTGACTTCTGGAACTTCTGTTTAGGAGGTTCAACTTTCTGGTGAGTCAAAAGCACATGTCTGGTTTATAGCCATGTTTAATCAACTAAAGGGGAATAACTCCCAATGATCTACAGTACAGTGCTGGTACAACAATTAGCTATAATAACTGTGTACATAGCACTCTGGTTGAACATGCTATAATGTAAACACATTAGATATATTGACTTACTGCTACACAGGTCATTACAGTGTACATCCTTGATTATTCAGGGTATTATATCTCCATTCCAGTTTGATCAATACCCTGGATCTATTCGCCATCAAAGCTTCATTAAGAAGTGATGTAGCCAGTGTTGGTACCTGTATATTAACATGAGTACACATATCTATATTAAGCATGGAAAACCCTGGGTACCCATAAGGCCTAGCAGCTACCCAGCAAGCCTCTGTACCCTGCCAGAACCAGCCTGGCATTAAAACACATGAGTAACTTCAAATCCTCATTGGACAATGTTTTCAGAATGAATGAATGCTGTCAATAGCACAACAACCAACCAGCTCCATTGCTCTTATCACTAATTTCGCACATCATTTCTCTTGCTAATCAGCTTGAAATCAACAACCAATCAAAATGCCTTCTGAATGAGAGTTCTACATAAAAAATTGTGTCCTCGTCCATGCAAGCTTTGATATACCATATTTTCTTAAGTATAGTGCGCAACCCCCCTCTAGCGGATTCAATATTTTGGAAAAAAAGAAATTTGAATGTTATGCGCAGAAAAAATTTACACCGTACCCCTTCAGCGAAGTCCGGCAAACGAACGGGTGATGAGAAAACTTTGTCAGTACAAATTCGAAATTTGAGATAAAAAATCACCAGACATGTTGATTTACCATTTAAATGGTATATTTTGTTCTACTAGGCATTGTTTTATATCCAGGGATTAAGATTACGTTGTGTATTTTCTCATAAACTAAGCCGGACACAGCAATCAGCTGTACACATGTTTTCTTGGAATCTACCGGTGATTTGGTCAAGACACACCCAATGATATAACTTTACAGCATTTTAATGCAAGGATCGGCAAAAATTGTATTTGAAACTATTTTTTTATCAGGAATAATATATTCCAATATCTTGTTAATTTAGATGCAGCTTTTACTAAACATATTTAAAATAATAATAACCCTAAGCGAAGCAGCTGATCGCTATTGCCGGGTATTATTTTTTACATGGAACCAGTCTGACCGGGGTATCTAATTCTTCAAGAAGACAGGGAAACATTATCCCGATGGAAATTTAGTTTACACCTCACAAATGTCTGAGCATCTGTCACAGAAACTGATAAACTTGGCTTAGACGATCCTACAAGGAGACGAACGTCCTAATCCACGGAAGGCGAGACATCAGCAAATCCACTGAGTGGAAAGGGTAGTGTTCCTTCCTGAACCGAGGGATCTGAATAGAAGGTCGTAAAGCCAGCATCCGGAGATCAAGCCACATTGGCGACTAACTGGTCCCAGGGGAGGAGAACATCCCAGAATCCGGGACCCTGTGTTCCAGCATGGGGGAGCCACCTTGCCCAGGCGAAGCGAAGGGGAGATGATCGACTAGCCAAGCAGGCATATCTGCAGGTGTAAGCTTCCCGTCTGGGGGTGACTCAGTATCATCCGAGTGGCGGCGATGATCAGGGAAGGTGGCAGACTGGCATTGTTTGACAGGAGAGGAAGACTGATCCCGGTGCTGAACGTCTGAAGAACAGGGAACAACCGAGGACCTGAGGACCCGAGGACCCGAGGCACCAAGTGCCAAGTCGCCAGAGGGAGAGGAGGTGATGCTCTGAGCAGGCGAACAGACCTGGTGGCAGTGATCAGAAGCATGAGACAATGCTACGGCCTAGCAACTTTTCAGCAATAGTTGGCAATGTCCAGGCAACAACTGGCGACATTCCAGTGACATTTGGTGACCTTCCAGCATCAACTGGCGATGACGCTTGGTGAAGTCATATTGGAAATTGTTAGGTGTACGGGAGCCTGCAGACCAGCGGGAAGAAGTGTCCGATGAAGCCCAGCAGTGACGATCCAGTGCCAGACAGGAGCTGGCCACATCCGTGCCAACAGGCAGCCAAACCAGGTCGTCAGGTTGATGCTGAAGCAGTTGTTCCTAAAGAGCATGGATGGATGCTGGATTCAAAACTGGGGTGGAAGACCAGGAGGCATCAGCATCGGCATTGACATAGAGGAGGTCTCCCAGGTCACAGCAGGAGGCAAGGGGATTGAATCTGATGGTGGCGGAGAGGTCAGCAACTGCTGAGGACCTGGCATCATCTTCAGTTTTGCAAGTTGTTTTGGGCACCAAGCAAGAGCCCTTCTGTAAGATGCAAACCGATGGCAAACAGAGCATTGACTGGCAAAGAACACGCAGGGCCAAGATGATGTGGGTCTTTCCACAGCTTGGGTCTGTTACACAAAGGACTACACATAGAATATATTCTGCCAAAAATGTAAACAGCGTATAAGATTACCAGTATCAAATGTTAAAACATAACAAGTTACTGGAAAAAAAAGTGAACCACGCACCCAAACACAACCACAGTTTGGAGAGTGCCTGGCAGACCTAAATATTGGGAAATATGTCAACAGAAAGTCACTTACAAGCAAATAAATGAGAGATTCACAAAATAGTTTATAAAATGATAACAAAAATGACATTAACCCTACCACTCGTAAGACGAGACGTGTCAAAAGCAAGATGGCGACCAAGGCGCGAAACGTTCTAAGTTACGCGGTTGTCGTAAACATAGAATTAAACAAGAAATGTACCTAAAATAAGTGGAATCATATATAAGGGAAAGGATATATGGATGAAACACCACCAGATAATGTCCAAAACTTATGAAAATCTAAGCTTAGATGACATTTCCAAATCACGTCTGTCGTAAGGCAGACAGAGAAGAATATGAGGGATTTCACGCCAAGGTGGATAACTTGTGGGTATCGGGGCACGGGCCATAGTCTGCTTCATACTGTGTTCCAGGACTGTCTGTTTGTGAAAGGTAGGGAAGCTAAAGCATTATGCAACATCAGGTAATGTAAAACCATGAATTATCCAAACAAAATTTCCTAAACTCTATGACCATTTTCTTTATTTCCTTGACATGCAATTATCCTTACACATAAATATAAAAGAAGAAATTTAATTTCTGTACTCTACTTCTGAATTATTTATAAGAAATACAAGTGCAGCGTCATCCACAAATTTTACAGCAAAACAACAAAACGTTCAAAATTGTACAAATTGAATAAAATGGGCGAGATAACAACCTTAAGGGTCCCCTGTAGAAGTGTAAATAAGAGATGAGCAGTTGCCACTTGCAATGACAAACTGTGGCCTGTTTACAATAACAGATTTCTGTGGTGATATATCAACGAAGGTTGAAACAAACATCTGTCTTCAATCAATGACCTGAGAGAGGCAGACGAAGGTTGAAGGCGAGATAACAACCTTAAGGGTCCCCTGTAGAAGTGTAAATAAGATATAAGCAGGTGCCACTTGCAGTGACAAACTGTGGCCTGTTTACAATAACAGATTTCACCCATTTGACAATATTTGAGTAAACACCCATGTTAAGCTTTTGCATAAGTTAGTGAGGCTGTATGGTATTGAGAGCGGATTTACCATTATCCATATGGCTTTAGATTTTCAGGAGTGTCTGTGTTGTGTCCTGTTGGGTCTAAATGCAAATTGCAAAGAGTCCAGAATATGCGTTAGAACTAGAAACAATTTCTTTTTCGGTGAGCTAAGACAGGGTTTGATATTGTACTTAATCCCATCGATCAAAACTGAAAATGACTTACTGTAATCCATGGACAACAAGGCCGATGTAGAATATTACAAACAGGTGATGTGTGAACCAAAAGACTTCAAAATAGGAACGTCTGAAATGTAAAATATAAGACACTTGGTTGAAATTTGCAGTGAAAAATATGAACCATTAATAGTTTAGTCTTTGAAAGGCATTTAGAAGTGATACACATAAGGAAGAGAATATATGGATGTCAGCTTCTTTATTATGAGGAACATAACTATTTGGAGTATATGTGAACTCCTTCACCTGATGAAGGAGTAAGCTTATACAAGTACTCTAAAACGTTGATTTCCTCATAATAAAGAAGTTGACATCCATAAATTCTCTTCCTCATTATAGTTTAGATCTGAAGCTGTATTCCATTGAACAACCTGAAGAGACTGTGACATATAGATATGCTTAAATCTACCGGTATCTTAGATGTTTTGCAGCAACTCTTGCTTATATAGTTTCCATCCTAAAATATTAATAACAAGGTTGTTTGGTTGAAATGTTACCAAATGATCAATACTGCTAGTATAAGACTGATGCTACTAACCTGACCACATCCGTTGAAGATGTGACAATAAGTATGAGACACAGCGTGATCACCACGCCTGACACGCCTGCCACCGTCTTGAACACCTCTTGAGTGGGGTCCTGAAGGCATTACATCACATGGATATATCACCACATAAAACACACATCACAAGAAGAATGTGAAACATCACCCTACATCCGTCTTCAATCAATGACCTGAGTGAGACAGACGAAGGTTGAAATGAACATCCGTCTTCAATCAATGACCTGAGAGAGACAGACGAAGGTTGAAACGAACATCCGTCTTCAATCAATGACCTGAGAGAGACAGACGAAGGTTGAAACGAACATCCGTCTTCAATCAATGACCTGAGTGAGACAGACGAAGGTTGAAATGAACATCCGTCTTCAATCAATGACCTGAGAGAGACAGACGAAGGTTGAAACGAACATCCGTCTTCAATCAATGACCTGAGAGAGACAGACGAAGGTTGAAACGAACATCCGTCTTCAATCAATGACCTGAGAGAGACAGACGAAGGTTGAAACGAACATCCGTCTTCAATCAATGACCTGAGAGAGACAGACGAAGGTTGAAACGAACATCCGTCTTCAATCAATGACCTGAGAGAGACAGACGAAGGTTGAAACGAACATCCGTCTTCAATCAATGACCTGAGAGAGACAGACGAAGGTTGAAACGAACATCCGTCTTCAATCAATGACCTGAGAGAGACAGACGAAGGTTGAAACGAACATCCGTCTTCAATCAATGACCTGAGAGAGACAGACAAAGGTTGAAACGAACATCCGTCTTCAATCAATGACCTGAGAGACGCAGACAAAGGTTGAAACGAACATCCGTCTTCAATCAATGACCTGAGAGACGCAGACAAAGGTTGAAACAAACATCCGTCTTCAATCAATGACCTGAGAGAGACAGACGAAGGTTGAAACAAACATCCGTCTTCAATCAATGACCTGAGAGACGCAGACGAAGGTTGAAACAAACATCCGTCTTCAATCAATGACCTGAGAGAGACAGACGAAGGTTGAAACGAACATTCGTCTTCAATCAATGACCTGAGAGAGACAGACGAAGGTTGAAACAAACATCCGTCTTCAATCAATGACCTGAGAGAGACAGACGAAGGTTGAAACAAACATCCGTCTTCAATCAATGACCTGAGAGACGCAGACGAAGGTTGAAACAAACATCCGTCTTCAATCAATGACCTGAGAGAGACAGACGAAGGTTGAAACAAACATCCGTCTTCAATCAATGACCTGAGAGAGATAGACGAAGGTTGAAATGAACATCCGTCTTCAATCAATGACCTGAGAGAGACAGACGAAGGTTGAAACAAACATCCGTCTTCAATCAATGACCCGAGCGAGTCAGGCGAAGGTTGAATGGATATTATATGTTTTCCTACAATACCTGGATGGTTTCTTGTGTAATTGTTTATTCTGCATCGTCAGCAGTAGTTCTTGTACAGTGATGTAAATCTATGCTCCATCACATAGCTACTGAGCACATTTGTAAACTATGGCTATCTGGAATACAACAAAGGAGTCCAATGTCCACAGTTTGTCAGGAATGTATACTAACGGTGCCGGGTCTCCGGATAGGGTTGACGTAGCTGCCGTTTGTTGATACGGAGAGATGAGTGATGGCCTGCACTGCAGGGTCCGGGCTGTCGTAGGCTCCAACAAGGTATTCAAAGTCAAAACAGTGTGCCACGATGTGGATAGCTGCAGGAAACAGAGTTCAAAGTAGTAAATAAAATAATTTCGTGGAAAATAGAGCCAAGTTAAAATAATTGTTGAGAACATTACACACACCACTTCTACGTTCTTCATTATCCAGATGTCACATGTAATATATTACAACTATAAGTCCAGATATACAATGAACATGTTGTTATTACCAATGTAATAATAGGGCCAATCAGAACTCGTCATTCTGACATGGAGGTATGATTAAGTATTTTATCAAGATCACGTGGGCCAATCAGATCTCGTCATTCTGAGATGCAGGTATGATTAAGTATTTTATCAAGATCATGTGGGCCAATCAGATCTCGTCATTCTGAGATGCAGGTATGATAAATGAGGATAAACTGAAGCTATGGAAGTGATTGGGTCCAGGGTATTTATCACATTGGGTAATAGTGAGTGAGTGAGTGAGTGAGTTGGGTTTAATGCCGCTTTTAACATTATTCCAGTTATATCACGGCGTGTCAGCTTAATGTGGGAGGAAAGCCCGAAGTGATGCAGGTCTCAGACGTTTACCACTTCGGTGAAACCCACAAGCACGGGTATGGTGCTGCCAAACCTAGAAACATAATTGGGGTGAACCGGGATTCGAACCCACAATCATAGGTTTCTGGCGTGCCCAAGGGACGCAAATCTGCACAGCGAATCGCAGCGCCTTAGACACCTGGGCAACCCGTGCCCCCCATCGGGTAATAGAATGGACACTGGATAATACACGATGCCTCTTATCCTGCCAAGTGACAATATGTCATGACAAAAAGTGGTATTGTAGAGCTTTATCACTGCAGCCAAATTTGCGATTTAGCTTGAACTGTTTACTAAGTGCTGTAATACACATGCAACAATCAGTGTACTGGGTACATGAATAAACTAGCATCTCAATCACAACTGGAATTTGGTCGGGACGTCACTCAACATCCATTGTGACCAACGAATCTCCACTTATACAGCCATGGAGTCACCATGTGAATTCTAAGAATATTACTACTGTTCTAAGATACACACCTGTCATTAGGCAGATCATGTAACCAAGGTAACGGTGATATGTGAGATTCTTGTCCAGCTGACGCCGAGCATTCCGGTGACAGCACTGTGAAAAACAACGATGGAAGTAAAGATCAAGTTTAAAGTAAAAGACATATTTCATTTGTAAAATACTACTTTTGAACCAGAGTAAGTACTCCCTAACAAGGAGGAAAGCCAGATGGTGCTTCCATTTGTAAAACATTCAGAGTTTAATCGGCTTGATGTCACATGAAAAGAGAGAACTATGTGTACTAAAGAACGTCAGTGAGCACGAAGTAAAGAACAATAAAAAACACCAGATGCCGCTGCAATTTGTAAAACACTCCGAGTTTAATTGGTTTGTTCTGCTGTGTATATGATAAGTGCATGCTGAGGTGTAGAATGTATTACGTCATTCCTCGTGCACCCACCATCTGAATATATATATGTACATGCATGTATAATGTATAATTTGTTTATACACCTGATTTATTTCGCTTGTTTTCATCCAGACCATTTATATTCGTGACAAAGACACTTTATGAGTTGATGCTAAAATGTATGCGTAATTAAGGGATGTATGTATCGCAGCTGTGTGAAATATATGTGATGTAATAGGCGTCTCATAACCGGCATACGAGAAACGTGATTTTGTAAACACTATGACTTCAGACAGTTGGTGCTCTGGGTTCAACGTAATACATCAACACCTCAGCATGCAGTTATCATATACACAGCAGAACAAACCAATTAAACTCGGAGTGTTTTACAAATTGCAGCGGCATCTGGTGTTTTTTATTGTTCTTTACTTCGTGCTCACTGACGTTCTTTAGTACACATAGTTCTCTCTTTTCATGTGACGTCTTTTCGTAACATTTGACTATTTTATCACATACTTTTGACCTTTATTTCATCTTCATATTTTTTATCAGCGTCTGTTTGTTTTGTATTTTGGCCTTTTTAGTAACATTTAATTCTTTATTTGTAACATTTGCCTATTATTGTCTACTATAGTCCTTCGTTATTCCAACTTTGTATATTTTTGACCGAATGGCTGCCCATAGAGGCATCTCTAAGTTGGCAATTGGTCTGATGAAGGGTACAAATGCTGATGAACATGAAGGACGTTTTCTGTTTTCAGCAACATGTATACCTGTATTTATTTATTTCTGTCAGAGAGAGTTCTCTTTATAAGGTGTTTAAAGTAGCCATTTACAATGCAGTTATCATCAAGGCAAGGGCGTTAACTGAGGGCGTTTGCTTCAAACAAAATGGTGGCGCCCAGTCAAGACAATGTGATATTGTAATAAAATGGGTCTTACCCCGTGAAGTGCATCAAATCACTTGATGTTGAGTACCTTCGTTAAAAACATGAAAATATTTGGAAAATACCTGTAGACGCCCAATTGACAACACACATGCTCTGAAAATCCTGCAATCAACCGAATTCTGCACAGCAGTCGCCATGTTTATGAACCAAATGTCAATTTCGTTACTGGATTTTGATTGGACTATGCATAGACTCATTAGTCCATCCAAAATATAACTTCATAATTAACGCCCAGGGCGTACCTTACATACTTGGGAGGCAGTGGTGGTAATAAACAAGTTGGAGTAACATGTTGTGTTTTACCTGGCCCAGTCAGTGTCAGTCATGTGATTTGGGGGTCAACATTGAAGTGTATTGTTTTGTAACATGGTATGTATTAACCAATGGAATTACTTACGGAACATGCTGCTCGAATGGATGAGATGAGATTCCTGCAGACAGGTAGGAGGATGAGAAGACAGTTGAAGTTCAAGCATGCCGCACTTGCCCGCGCCCAGCACAAGGCATCCTGGGAACAGGTTTATAACAGATATGGTACATTGTCATCAGTTATCTTGGCATATACTATATCTTTATTCTGTAAAATGATTCCTGCACCTTTATAAAAATAAGACCATGCAGGGTATTGATCATAAATAATTACAACAAATTACTGATATTTCACAATTTTCATAAAACAAAGGACTCAACATCCTTCACTGGAAATGATGACTTTTCTTTGTTTGTTGTTCAATGCTGCACTCAGCAATATTCCCGCTATATGATGGCGGTCTGTACATAATCAAGTGTAGACCAGACAATCCTGTGATTGACCATGTCGACAACAGGAGCATCGATTTATGCAATTGGGATACGATGACATGCATCAACCAAGTCAGCGAGTCTGACCACTATCCCGTTGGTCGCCTCTTATGACAATCATGGGAACCTGAAGGCCTGTTCTAACCCAGAACTTCATCAGAGTGTTGAGTATTTGTAGTGGCATGAATTTACCCAAGTCACAGAGGCAGATCCAGGATTTACCCAAGTCACAGAGGCAGATCCAGGATTTACCCAAGTCACAGAGGCAGATCCAGGATTTACCCAAGTCACAGAGGCAGATCCAGGATTTACCCAAGTCACAGAAGCAGATCCAGGATTTACCCAAGTCACAGAGGCAGATCCAGGATTTACCCAAGTCACAGAGGCAGATCCAGGATTTACCCAAGTCACAGAGGCAGATCCAGGACTTACCCAAGTCAAAGAGGCAGATCTAGGTTTTGGTTTGGTTTGTTGTTTAACGCTGCATTCAGCAATATTCCAGCTTTATGACGGCGGTCTGTAAATAATCATGTCTGGACATGACAATCCAGTGGTTAATATCATGAGCATTGATCCATGCAATTGGGATCAATGACATGCATCAACCAAGTCAGCGAGCCTGACAACTTGATCCCGTTAGTCGCCTCTTACGACAAGCAAAGTCGCCTTTTACGGCAAACATCTTCATGGGTCGGTGATATTTGCTAATATATTGGCTAGTGAACAGTCCCAATTATCACCCCTTTCTGCTTGATCAATGTACACAAGACTTATTTATTCAGGTATAATACGCACTCGTGTGTAATATTCACCCTTAATTATGGGCAATTAAATTCTGGAAAATATATCTGTCATACATAATACGCACCGACTTTTCTTTTGTATCATTTCAGGCTGTCAGCATAAACCACGAAATTTACAATCTTTCAACTCTGTTTTTTTTCCTCACCAACATTATATTCTAATAACAGACCCCTATTTCTAAGTTTGAGAGCACCCTGGGCGCTTATTACTTTGAATACGGTACACACAGTATTCATCCACACATAGATGTGCATGTACAGTACGTACATATATATAACAAGTGGTTTTCAAGAGGATGCAGATATGAGTAGACATGGTAGAAGAACGCATTGTATAATGGGTTGGGCAGGATCTAAAATTACTTTTGGATTACTTTAATAACTTTGGATAGCATTAACGACACATATAACACTGGGGTGAGCCAGTGCAAGTCTGACTGTGACTACACTACCATCTTACCCCGACCAGCAGACGAAGGTAGAAGTAGTCCAGGCTCTGCTGATAGCTGACAAATGTCCCGGCGAAGATCCCCACGTTGATGATCAGCCAGACTCCCTGCACAACAACACTACAGATCTGAATGATGGAGAACGGCTGGAGCATGCTGACATTCGACCACACTAGCTGAGTGTGTCACACGTCTTAAAGGGTCACTCCACTTGACATCATCAACTTCCACTGTAGCACAAGGCCAGATAATGTAATATGTTGTTCTCCCAGCCTTTTTCACAACTAAGTGGGTAGGGATGAGGATGTTGATTTTTAAAATTTGTAATTTCATTTTTATTTTTTTAAAGGTTTTACAGATCTATTAAGTAAATTATATAGAGAATCTCACCCGAGTGTCTTTTAATATCAAATATATCAACACGAGTTGATATAAGTGGAAAAATTACGAGGCTTGCCAAGGATTTTTGCCACTTTTATCAACGAGCGTTGATATATTTGATATCGAAAGACACGAGGGTGAGATTTTATTTATCATCCAACATCATTCTTCCAACTTTTTCAATTTGTAGACAGTAATTAGCAGTGACTTCAGTGTAAAAAGTACTGCTAAAAGCTTCAGTAGCAGAGCCATTAGTGATGTCATTTGTGACGTCATGGTAACCGGTGACGTCACAATGTTCTGCAAAGCATTGTGATGTTATTTCATTGCAGCGATATCTACAGTGTAGATATCGCTTGATCTTATCCAAGCGATATCTCCTGTGGGAGCCAGTTTTGGATGATAAATTCTAATGTTCCACATGACCTCTTTGGCCATAACCCGTTGGCTTGAGTGAGTGATTGAGTATGGATTTACGCTGATTTTAGCAATATTTCAGCAATATCACTGCGGGGCACACAAGAAATGGGCTTCACACATTGTACCCATGTGGGGAATCGAACCCAGGTCTTAGGCACGATGAACGATTGCCTTAACCACAAGTGTACCCCACCGCCCGCCTTTGGCATGAGGAGGTGGATCAGAGGGCAAGGTCACTACAATGTGGTGCTCCAACGAATCTCACTTACTATTATGGGATGGCTTGTGCAAATAGGAAATTTGAGCTGAAAATGTTGTTTCTAAACCCTGCATAATTTCTTTTCATTGATATAAGGGGCAGGGTAATTTTAGGAGCGAGTGATTCATAAGAAACTGTCTTAACTGATATAAACTGATTCCTGTGGTATCAGTCCAACAGATTCATGAGAAATGTTGTTCACCTCATGAAGAGACCTGCTTGAAGGATAACAGAACTGATTGTTTTTAGGCATATCCATATTTTGTGCATGTAGATATGATCTCTTCATATTTATGGCAAAATTAATATTTCTGAACAAACCTTCATTTTGATATTTCACTAAACCTAAAGTGTCTTATTGTTATGATAACTGGTTCAAATCCGAAAAAATAGTGTTCACTCATCAAATAGTAGTATCATAATCAAACCATTTTTACATTATAATGCCAGTCAAATTATTTTCTCATCTTTAAGACAAATCTGCCATAATTTGAAGAGAAATAAACATAAAACACTAAAAAAATATAATTTTCTAAACAATTTCTTTTGTTGACACATTTATTGAACATATTCACCAGCGTCCTTTCTTCATGTGTTCTTAGGAAAACTAACATCAACAATTACATGAATTAACCTGGACATGTACATCCTACTTCTTGGCATTTTGACATCAGTAAACAAGAAATTAATAAGTTTGGCCTACATCATGTAAATTGATGATACATTTAATAAATAATATCACTTGCACAATAAGAGCTTTATTTGTCTATTTATAAATATATTATTCCTTTGGAAAGAAATATAGACAAATGTAAAAAAATTCATAGCATTAATATGTTTGTTGATGTTTGAAAACTTGTCGGATACAGTTTGAACTTCTTAAGTCTTTAATCACGTACATAGGACATGGTGGCCAACACGGCACCAGCTGCCGGCTCTGTGACTTTAACTGAGAATGTCCCGAGTCAGCAGGAAGTCGTGATGTTTCTGGAAGTACATACTTGGTGGGGGCGGAAGTCACATGCAAAACACAAGTGTGGGGCTGGAGGGGACGTAGATGACTTGGACAGGCAGGGGGACACTGGGATGTATGTGATGGAACTGTGTGGTCCTGTTTCACTGACCATACTTACACTGTTACAGTAAGTGCTTTTCAGAAATATTTGTATGTTAGAGTCAAATTGCAATCTCAAGTGATATCTTGTCACGATCTGTCTCTGCAGATTTTCTGTAAATAATGGGACTGTATCATAAACAGAGATTTTGTTGTTTCATTATCTAAGTAACTGTCAGAATTTATCAGAATTCATGTTTCTGTTTTGCAATATAAACTGCACTGTGACAAGCTTGGACTGACAATAGCCTCTGTTATATTATAAACAGTAAAATATTTTATGTAGTTATTTATCAATTTTCATGCCATAAAAAGTAATTTGGTATAGTGGTGTTAGTTATTTTTGTTTTTAATCATTGTTTGTTTCATAATCTAAAGTACTGTCAGATACAAGTACCGGTACTTATCCATTTCTTCAGACTGGTCAAGCCTTGAACAGCACTGACATGTCAAACTATCTTAAAACTAACTGGAAAATTTGGGATGATCTCCTCCATTTAACTCACCAAAGTTGCGATTTCTTAAATAAAATTATTAGAAAAGAAATTGTTAATAAAATAAATTATGCTATCAAAATAATAGTCACCAAAACATCACAATTACTGACAGGTTCAAATTGTGAAAACAAATTCTGTAGCAATATAGAAAATATAGATAAATATTAATAATATTTATATCTATGTGATTTTCATAATCACAAACTTTTTGGACATTTTTGTGTTCTTTGGGAGGGACTTCAAGAAAACAGACAAACACAGGTGTACTGTCTAAAACACTTTGTATGAAGGGAACCATCTTTACACTGATGGATGGAAATCTCAGCTACATAAAAAACAATCTCAATCAAATCTGATCTTTTACTCAGATACGATACCTCTCAGCGTGAAGATCTTAGGAATCCTCCAACAAAAGTTATGTCAGGTGAACTATCTAACCAGCCAATCAACATTTAGGCTTCTAAATCCTTAGTTCGAGTGAGCAAAGCATTCAGATCAGAATATCTGCCTTCCGGAAACAAACTAAAACAACAATTTCTGAATTTAAATCAATGAGGCTGCACATTATAGTGTTGTGGGCATGTAATATATCCTGTTGTTTAAGTGCGTCATGGCATCTACACCCAATTTTGAACAAATCTGAATTTGTAAATCAAGGAGGTAGAGAGCATGGAAAAATGAAGCCGAATCATTTTAGAAAGCTGACATCTTACTGGATCACAGAACCCACAGTAGGACTGCAACTATTACACTATGAGGCAAATATGATACGTTTCACGAATATAGGGTAATGAATACGAATATTTATTCATGAATACAATAACAAGTCAGCAGTTGATGTACTATTTATTATATTCCGTGAAACAATAACAAAATAAATTGTTTGACATGGTTTGACCATGTTGACAGTGTTAATTATTATTATATTATACATTCATATACTGCACTTATCCAGGTACTAGTATCTGCTCAAATGTGACAATGACCAGTGACCACATTACTGTCAAATTAAATCCATAAGAGTGTTGTCTTTTTAAGAAATCTATGCATATGATAAGTTCTTATGGATATTTTTAGGTACAGGGTATGTAGATGCACATGACTGCAATGTTTTTGTTTTTTGTGTAAATATTTGATGCTAGCAACCATGAATAACGAATTCAATTCATGAATCCGAGGTGAATTGTAGCAGCCCTAACCCACACATCCTTCATTTTGATTGGACTGTCAAAGTACACTTTGGGTTCACCTGACGTAACCTCCCATGGAAAGTCCTCAGATCTTAATGAAGAAAGGTATCACTTTGAAGTAAAAGATTTATATAAGCTTTCATATATTCAGTCCCACAAGTCTTCCTAACAAATGGCTGTGATATTGCTGGAATATTGCTAATACCATACTCACTCACTCCTAATAAATGACAGATCTGCAAGCTAATGCTAGCGAACTCAATATAAATATATCATAATGTTCCTTCCAAATAAAACCATATCTTTTGAGATTATAAAATATATGTCCATTATCATCTTTCATATAGCCTAAAAACCATTTGTCATGTTCATCACCCAAACTCTACAAACATATCACAATGTGACAACTTGTTGAAACAAATCATGAGCATGAAAACCTAAAATGAGAATAAAATCTTTTCTGAAAGTCACAAACCCTGCTAACAAAACATGTTGCTCTTTCAGATCTGCTCAAAATAACCTTTGGTAATAATTAGTTTTGTTCCCACTGACCTAGTTCAACTCTCCGTGCCCTTATCTCTGTGTACATGGAGCACAGTCAGTGTGGAATGTTCATCTCAATTGTTAACAACGGCATGGTTGGCATCTGGGTGTTACTGACATACATACCTCACCTGAGTTTTACCTGTGTCCAAATGTGCATAAAAATTGAAGATCTGTGGGGATTCCAGGTAAGCCTACAGGTCCCAAGCAACCTATGCTTGTCGACAGGCGACTAAATGGATTAGGTGGTCTGGTTCAGCACCTCTTACGGCCAGCATCGGTTGTTGGGGACCTATTCTAACCCGGAATCCCCACAGGGTAATCTAATATCACAAGCATGATTCTCAGGCATATTAACCTCATTCTTACAACAAAAGTGATTTTTAAAATCAGCACATCTCTCCTTCTCCATCAAACCTTTTGGAACTATCTATGGTAGAACGACAACCAAATATTTCTCAAGAATTAAAATTATTTATTTATATATTTCTTCTTTCAAAAAGTAAAATTGACAGATTCTAGTACAATTTTCAACAGGGGTACATCTCATAGAGCATACGGTTGGTTCATTAACTTCATCAATTCATTTCTTGTTTTATTTTTACTCAGTTCATATCATAAAATCGTTGTTATCGTTATTAAAAATAGAGGTGCCGTTTTCGCCCGACTCATAGTAGCCGTTTTCGCCAAATGCGGTGCCGTTTTCGCCAGAGAAATCGGTGACGTTTTGCTGAGGTGCCGTTTTAGCCTGCACCCCATTTATACCATGAAACGTTTTAAAATATTCACAAGTATTCTCTGTAACTTAATGAAACATTGCAGTGGTGGATCCAGAGGGTGCATGCAGTCCTCCAAACCAAAGCTCTAGTTTCTTTTAACCCAATACGCCACACATATTGCGACTGCAGTGTAGACAAGCGCTGAGTTCAAACCACGAACTCAACCCAAACCACAAGCACGAATCCGATTTACCCACACGTTTCCTGACATTCACCACCAGAATTCAAACTATTTTGACACTCCCTTGTTGTACAATGCACCCAGGTAGGACGTAATTAGTAATCAACAGGTGCCTGTTCTCTGAACACGAGTCGTAATAAAACTTACCACAATAAACCATTTAGGCCCCTCATTCACCAGCCAGTCACCCATCACCAAATCGGAACAATCTTCTGTCAGCAGGCATCCGTCTGTCACTGTGAATATCTCTAGGATGTAAACAACCACCTGTTCAACACTTCCGCCCCCTGAGTTATGTCCCTTGATGTGTTAATCCTCCAAGAGTTGTCTCCCCCTGGACTTATGTGCCTTGGCTCAGCAGACGTCACGCATACAGGTGATGATTTTATTTGTGATTAATTGATACCCAGAAAATACAAGAAAAATATAGTTATGGTAACTATTTTCATTGAGAAGAAATAAATAAGATATTACTGATGGGGCGTGGGTGATTTGAGCTCCTTATTTATTGATTATAGGCTTATTCAATAAGGGGTGGTTCTCTGAGACAAGTATACTTTACATCTTGATATCCAGTGAACAACTTTAAACAGAAGTTTCAAAGTGTCCGTTTGTTGTGATTGTAACCTCATGAGTGACTGTTCAAGTGGTAATTGTGAAGGCGGGATCGGGTGGTCAGGCTCGCTGACTTGGTTGATGCATGTCATCGATCCCAATTGCGTGGAACGATGCTCATGATGTGAATCACTGGATTGTCTGGTCCAGACTTGATTATTTACAGACCGCCGTCATATAGCTGGAGTGCGGCGTTAAACAACAAACAAACGTGAAAAATGAGTTCTGCTAGCCTAGTTCACTGCTTTCAGACCTGTGTATTTCATTATTTTGATTAACTTTTCTTTCTTGGATTCTAAAATATTTACAGCCAGTTCTAAAAAAATTCAGTTTTCCACATTTATCAAATACCGGTATAACTTCTGCTGTGCAGTTGTGTTTGGAAATGTTACCTGCACTGGGTGCATCCTGGCTGTAAAAGTTACCTGCACTTGCAATGTTTTACCTGCACTGGTGCAGCTTGGATATAGCGAAATTGATCCCTGTATTAGCACTGTGTTTACAGTAAAATCACCAAATTATATTTCCATAAAGACCCCAGTTATGTGTATCTGTTTCAAGGCAACCCATTTGGAACTGTAATTCTTTTTTATGATTTTGCTCTAATCATCTATATACCAATCTGCATGACCTGGGTGGTCCTTGAATAAGTGGTTGAAACTATATGCATTTCTTTGAAACAGTTTTGATTGTTTCAAAACAAATGACACAAAACCATCAATGAGGTATTGATATCAGTTGTACTTGTACAATGTACTATAGGTTATAGACTACAAGATATCTGTCGATTGTTATAAGGCCTGCCTTATTGGTTTTATTTGTCATGGAACTTTTCTGTTATATGTAACTGAATCCCTTTTATCAGCCTCCTTATTTTAAGAAGGTTGTTGGTTACAGTGTTAATAGGCAGCTAGGGTTGTATTTTCCCCAGGGAGCTGAGAATGCAAACTGAATGTACACTGATCCATTGACAAGGGTTATAATTACATGTATGAGCTGAGTTCGTGTTGACCTGGTGTTGGTCACTTGTATGTATTATTATCATGACTGAGAATAGTTTTATGCTGCAGTCAGCAATACCACAATAAGCAACACTGCAGTTAGGTCACAGCAAGCTGTAAGTAATGAAGTCCGTCCAGATAGCAGTCGACAGTGTTGAGGCGATAAAATGTCTGAGTCCCGTGGTGAGATTCGAACCACAGACCACATGACCAAAGAGGTTAACCCTGTCAGCAAGCTGACAAGGTAAGGGTGTGATCTGCAGGAAGACTCCATGACCTGCTACTATAGCATGAGCAGTGATCCACGTTGTCAGGGTACAGTGACACACTCAGCCAGTCACACTCGCACTTGAGTTTTGACCAGCCATAAACTGTTTTTGATTCCTTAGAAATATTTTCACATACAGCAATTGCTCGTCTGTAGGTACTTTGGGACAACAAAATTATGTGATGCGAGATGATTGGGAGTTAGACGGGCAGATGAGGATCTAACAAATTGTTATGGACCAATCTTACAAATTCTTGGATGTGTATCAAGCCACATGGTCGGTATCATGGAATGTATCACATCTCACATCATGTCACTCCTTGTTCATAGCATTTCACTGCAGACAAAAAATGAAAATGTTGTTTGTTAGTGCCTTTTCACCAATCTTTTCACAAGCCATTGTGTTGATTCCAGACAGAATATGTCCGACACTTGTCAAGTGAGGATCTGATGGTTACAATGTATGACCAGGTTAATTGTTGCTCATCAAGCCAACTACTTGATTTTCTGGCCCAGATTTGTTATTTCTTGAATGTTGTGGAATGTGGAATAAAAATGTATCCATATTTTTAACAGTGAAACACATTCTTAACCTGAAAGATCTGTATATCCTTGTGTGTTGAAATCTGACTATCTGAAAGTTTCTACAAACAAGGCATGAGAATATAGGCCACTTCATGATAGCTTTATTAAAGAATGTACAAACAATACAGTATTTACAATGATATTTTCTCAGTGTATGATTCAGTCCTTTGCTTGCAGGTCCTGTGTCCAGTCAAACGGTTTCCACCATTCAGCAAATTCCAGAACTTTCTTGCATTGAACATCAAAGCTCTCCTTGTGGGGCTTCCTCCATAGACCAGGTTCAGCATCAACCATACCACCAACAATCTCCTGTAATGTGTTGGTTTATTTAGTTAAGAAATAAAGTTGGGGAAGGGAAAATACACTACTCAAAAGAAGTTAAGGACCACCTGATTCCTAACTATTATTACAGTTAATCTGTCATGGCACAAGCACCACCCGATTCTTTCATATTACTTAAGTTAATCTGTCATGGCATGACCTATTAATAATGGTTAATATGAAAGAATCAGGTGGTCCTAAACTTCTTTTGAGTGGTATAGGATGAGAAATATATAATTTCAAATTCCCTATGTTTCATTCGACATTTTGGTGAAATGTGACAGGACTATTAAATGTTTTACAGCATACTTGGGAACAAAGCCACACACTGCTTATGATGTACCTGTGATATTGTGAATGGTATTGGTCTTGGCTATAGGTCATTCAGCACATGTCACTTGTTAAAAACAACAACTGAGACATGATATAAAAAAAGTTGAATCATAAGGTATAAACAAGTACCAATTTCTTGTCTAATTTAAATGATATTACAAAACATGATAAGGCCAGCTCATGAAGCTATGGTGGCGATGGGTGCAGGGTATTTATCATAATAGACTGGAGACATAATACCCAGGCTATTCGAGGATTATCGTTATGACAACTTACTCGACCAAAGTAGGGTGGAAAACTCTGTTCATCCTCAATGACATGTGCGAACCCTCCCTGCAGCCCGAAGTCCACGCTGAAGTAGGGAAAACCCTTGGGGATCTGGAAACATTGTCACTGATATCAAGACCAGGTCTCTTGTGACTGACATGATACACAAGTGTTGGAAATTAAGCATGAAAGTTTGTTTGTTTGTTGTTTAACACGACGCTCATCAATATTCCAGCTATATGACGGCAGTCTGTAAATAATCGAGGATGGACCATACAATCCAGTGATTGACATCATGAGTATCAATCTACACAATTTGGATACGATGACATGCATGAACCAAATCACTGAGTCTGACCACACGATCACGTTAGTCGCCTTTTACAACAAGCATAGTCTCCTCTTATGACAAGCATGGGTTGCTGAAGACCAATTCTAACCCAGATCTTTATGGATGTACACATACCTACATGGACAACACTTTGCAGATGTTTAGTAACACTAGTTTACTCCTATGAACACACTTGACATGAATGTTGTTTTATGCCACACCCAGCACACTGTAATAATCCATTATGTGCCTGACAAACCAGTGGTTGATATTATGATCAACACTCGCTCCGTAGGGTTATGGTGACACACAAACAACCAAGTCACCGAGCCAGACCGCCTGATCTATTTTAGCCTCAACAATAAGCAAAAGAGGTTTGAGACCTAATCTAACATGTCAGAGCTCCCTCATATTCTGATGATGATAATCCTAAATACAGATGCAACAACACTGTTTCTAGACCAGTTATTAATACTGATGTGTTCCACCTACAGTTGAATTCAAGAAATGATTTCTATTGGAAAAATGTTCAGCAACAGAAACTACTGACTATCCTTTTGAGACCAATGGCTTGTCTTGAATGTTTGACCACTGAACAAGTGCTAGTGACTGACTGACCGAGTGTCTGATATCCTTGTAGCTGAGATCGACAAGCTTCTTGTTGTTTGACCATTCTGGGCCAGCGTCTTGTATTGCTTTCTGTGGAAAAGGAAAAAATTAAACTGAGTGATTAAGCTTGAATGTCTGGACATGTGTTGTACATTAACATGACACAGTGATCAATCTATCTTCATCACAGACAAAACAAGCAAATAACCACACTTCTGGGGTAACATGATAAAATGATATACTAATGACTAGAATCACGTGGAGTCGGGGGTGGTGGTGCCATGTCAGGGGGTCTCACCTTGAAGTATATGGGCGCCAGGTCCCCCGTCTCCTTCTCCATGGGGATGCACTCCATGCTCATGTGGGGGAGGTACTTCAGGTGCATGCTGGTCTCCATAAACACAATATCCTGGTCCTGGGACTCAAACATCCGTACCAGGCACTTCCGGAAAGTCTGAAACAGAACATTTATGTGTAATAAAGGTATCATTACCCTCATAACCACATCCTCACAAAGATGTTTCTTTTCTAGGATTGTAAATTAATTTCAAAAACTTTGTTGAACTTATTTTCAAATTCAAATTCAACCCATTATGGGTCATTATAGAGTAAATCTGTTTAAAGATCTCGCCTGTAACAACATCGCCTATAACAACACTGCCTGCACCCACCTGCACCTCCTGCCACACATCTTCGTCTACGACAGTCCCGGCTGTGACATGCTGCATCGGTACAATCAGACAGTGACCTGGCGTCAGAGATCGGTGGTTCGGGAGGCACAGATATGCCTGGTGTACACAAACAGGATTAGATAGGTGAGATTGGCCTTATGACTGTTATATTTTGCTGACCCCCATTTTTTCACACACATATCTCCCCCAATACAAGTAACATTTTTTCATGATTATACCATATAATAAATTACTAATCCCTTCATAAGGTTCAAATTAAAACATCTCATATTTGAACAAATAGAACTGTGTAAATTTGTCATGCCCCTAATATAGTTGTGAAATGTTTTGTGGACCCCCTCGTTCAGTGTCATGTTTTCATGGACCCATCCACCTATTATAAAATACCAGTCCCTTACAACACCAGTATATCAAATAAAAATGGTGCTCGAATGACATGTTCAAAACTAACTTGTCTTACCTTAAGACCAATGGCAATAATGAGATGTTTCGGCACCTTGTCAAAGCAGAATCTGCATTTCTCCATTGCAGTCGCCATCTTCCTATGTTCTGAAGTGATATATTCAATACTCTATCTGAAGTAACATACATACATTGGTGCCACTACTCTAGTCTCAAATTACAGGAGTGAGTGAGTGAGTATGGCTTAACGCCGCTTTTAGCAATATTCCAGCGATATCACGGCGGAGGACACCTTAAATGGGCTTCAGACATTGTACCCATGTCGGGAATCAAATTACAGGAAGGAGTTTTACATGCACTTTTTAAGACATTCAGAGTTATCTATACAACAGTTTCATTGTGGGCAGACTTTGCTGACCATAGACATTCAATATACACATTGTTGGAAACTGTTGTTCAATATAGGCAATATTCCAGCTATATGATGGCAGCCTGTATAGTAAACAAAACTGAGTCTGGACTGAAGCAGTGACTGATATTATAAGCAGCCTGCCACTGGGTTCCAATGACACACAGTTAACCAAAACATGCGAAAGGCATTGACCTGAAGACTGTAAAATATTCATCTAAGTCTCACCCAAGATAGACCTGGCTCGATCTTTCTCCTCATTCTGAGCCTCAGACTGTTTCCGTGCAGCTTTGCTAATAAACACATCATCCACTTGGAAGTCCTCATCTGTCTTCTCAGCAGCCTGGTGGAAAACGTAGTATTAGTGAGTGAGTTGGGTTTAACGCCGCCTTTAACATTATTCCAGTTATATCACAGTGTGAGGCTTAATGTGAGAGGAAAGCCTGAAGTGATGCAGGTCTCAAACGTTTACCACTTCGGTGAAACCCACGAGCACGGGTATGGTGCTGACAAACCTAGATACATAATCGGGGCGAAACGGGATTCGAACCCACAACCATAGGTTTCTTGTGTGCCCAAGGGACGCAACTCTGCACAACGAATTGCAGCATCTTAGAGGACTGGGCCACCCGTGTTCCCACGTGGTATTAGACAGTGAGGGAGCAACTTGGGCTGCAATGCTTCTTCTTAAAATATTTTAGTCATGGACATGTCTTCTAGATGTGGGCAGGTCCTTACCATTTATCATCAGTGCGAAAACCAAAGCTAGAGAGTTACTGACAAACAAGAATCAAAGTTGAAGTTGGGTTTCGGACCAATAGCCATCTGATATGGCCACTAAGCTCAACAGATATGTACAGACCCGATGTGCACTGCAGTCCCCAGTATCATATTGCTATATCATGGCAGCTTCATAAGTGTGTATATGTTGGCTTAAACACTGCTTTGAACAGTATTACAGTTATATCACAGCTCATCATTTCAATATGGGAGGAAAACCTGAAGTAATTTAGGTAGTATAGGTTCACCACTTTGCTGACACAGCATGGGTTTGATCTGGTCTGACAAACAAAGGATGGCTGAAATACTGTTGATGGGATCTAAAATTTTAACTCGCTGATTAGAGTGAATCTGTGATTCGAACAAATAATATGATCCTGTCATATTTTTGCCGGACGAATGAGTCTATGTGTAGTCCAATCAAAATCGTGTAACAAGATCGACATCCGGTTTGTAAACAACATGGATTTCAACGTGCAGATTTGCAAAAGATGTGTACTGTCAACTGGGTGAGAACACATATTTTCCAAATCTTTTCATGTTTTTAATCAAGGTGCCCATGTGATTTGATGAACTGCACAAGGTAAGACTTGTTTTATTACAATATATATCTTGATCATCGATCAGATCGTCTTGATAGCCACTGGTGGCACTACGATCAAGCCAAGACATTCCAGCCTAGTTCTGGAAGGGTGGAAACTGGACTTTTCGAGTCAGATAACTTCCTTGCCTTCGAGACTAGATCCCAGAACGTTGCAAGTAAACTTCTAAGGGAAGGAAGTCATTACTGAATGCAAGCCAGGGTAGGTGTCCTTGATTCATGCCTTCAGCAAGTCACTAGTTGTTCAACAATATAGAGGGCTTTATGCTGATAATGTCTTCTAGCCATTGTTCATACAACAGCCTCATGAAGACATTAATCTGACAAATGCAGTACTGCCAACAGAAATAGGAATCTTACCCTGCCTGCCAGCCTGGCAAACATGGCGTTCTGATCCTCCGCCGTCCCCATCTTCTCCCTCTCCACCTGTAAGTGAATACAATCATATATTAAACAGTCAGCTGGCACAGAATTGTTTTGTTTTTGTTTGTTTGTTTGTTTAACGCCACACTCTGCAATATTCCATCTATATGACAACTGTCTGTAAATAATCAAGTCTGGACCAGACAATCCAGAGACTGACATCATGAGCATCGATCCACGCAATTGGGATACGATGACATGCATCAACCAAGTCGCCAAGCCTGACTACCGATCCTCTCACGACAAGCATTGTCGCCTTTTATGGCAAGCATGGGTTGCTGAAGACCTATTCTAGCCCGAATCTTCACGGGTCAGAATTGTTTTGAAATTGTTTCAGAGTATCTCACAGGAATCAATCTGTCACAAGCAATGAGAAACTGAATGTTGTTTTACACCCATGACAAAATATATCATGGTGGCATGTAAATAATAAAGTGCAATCTAAATTGAATTCTGGGGAATCAACATGTTCAAACACTAAATGTTCAAGACCAAGCTACAAGGAATCAAAAACAGCTGGGGGAGATAGTCAGCGAGACATGTCATCTTTCATTCTCTTACTCTATATTGGACAGAACTTTCAGGACAAATAAGTCAAAGTTTTACCCCAGTAACTTAAGTTAACCAATTACTCATAAACAGAGATGCAACTTGGTATTACCAGCAGCTACTTAGCTCACTATCCCAGGAACCCGTTCCACAAAGTGATCTTAGTGCTAAGATGGTCGAAGCTCCCATACCTAATCATAGGCTTACGATCAATGTAGCACTAAGATCGCTTTGTGGAACAGGGCCCTGGGTGCCGTTGTACAAAGCGATCTTAGCGCTAAGGTGATCGTAACTCCCATACATGAACGTAGACTTATGACAGTCTTAGCGCTAAGGTTGTTTTTGTACAACGGCACGCTGGTCAATTTGTCTATTGCTACAGGAATCCTGAAGGCAAAAACACTTTCAGTCTCTACTGGGGTGTTCTCATGTTATTGCAACTTGGGTTCAGGTTCATTTGCATCCTGCATAATTGAGTGAGTGAGTGAGTATGGTTTTTCCCTCCGTTTTAGCAATATTCCAGCAATATCACGGCGGGGGACACCAGAAATTAGCTTCACACATTGTACCCATGTCGGGAATCGACCCGGGTCTTCGGCATGACGAGCGAACGCTTTAACCACTAGGCTACCCGACCGCCCCCGCATCCTGCATAAACTATAGATTAAACAAATTCACAGAATATTTTGTAACAGATCGAGGATACATACAAGAGACTTGAGGCTGTGCTGGTCATCATCATCAAAGTACCGCTCTCGCTCGCCTCCACCACCATGGGTCTGGACCTGGAACAAAGCCACACACCAAGTTTGTCAAAAAAGGTACTTACTGTATAAAGAAAACTTGTTTGATCATCAATAGACACAATAACAAGTCAGGGACAGATCTTTTTTTTATTCTGGCTATTCAAAAAAACTCTCCATTTCTGTAGGTGAATAATAAACATATGGAAGCGGTCATCTGGAAAGGAAATGGCTTGAATGAAAAAGATATTTGTAACAATGCACAGGTAAGACATTGTGACTGTCAAAAACATTAATTGATTGGGGGTTATCCCTTTAAATACTTTAGTTCTCAGGCTCTCATGCTAACAAATGGGTTTTAATGTCGCGTTCAACATTATTTCACTCATAGAGCGACATACATGTGTGTGTGTGTGTGTGTGTGTGTGAATGGCTGCATGTACTAGTCCAGATACTTATTGGTTCGTGGTACTAGCCAAGTGAGGTACCATGCAACAGGTTAACATGGATAAACCACTCAGACTCCGTATACTGACACTAAGCCGACTTGTTTTAGCCCCTAATGCTGATTGCCAGGTAGGGTAACAAGTATCATCTTTGACCATGACCATGATGACACCGATGGTAAATCCTATGATATTTTACACACAAAAAATACTGCAAGGGTCTCACATTCTTCTTCCTCCGTCTCTTTCCTCCGGTCTCTCGGTCGTGTTTAGCATCGGGTAGAGGTTGAACTAGTCCTCCTCGGGTTGTGCGGGTCAGCACGACCTCCTCAGGCTCACCTTGACCTTGCTTCTCACGTTTGGCTGCCAGCTGAGGATTGTCCTCAATTACCTTGCGAGCAGTATCCAGCTTAGCTTTTAGTTGTTCAGCAAGAGCCTAAAGAGATAAAAATAGTCTGGACACTATTCACACAATACTGCAACAGTCAAGTTTTATTTAAACATCCACCGTATGATGCACATGAAAAATTCTTGTCCTCGTTGAAAGTACACTTTTCAAATTCTGATAGTTTTAGCATCACTGTTTGAATAATATAATATGGGTGAGCTCTTCTACATCAGTCTTTCCTATAGCAACAACTCCCTTGGGCACACCAGAATACTATGATTGTGGGTTCGCCCCGATTATGTTTCTAGGTTTGTCAGCACCATACCCGTGCTTGTGTGTTTCACCGAAGTGGTAAACGTCTGAGACCTGCATCATTTCGGGCTTTCCTCCCACGTTAAGCTGACACGCCACGATATAACTGGGATACTGTTAAAAGCGGTGTTAAACCCAACTCACTCACTCACTCACTCACTCAACAACAGAGAATTATATCATTGTGTCAACACAAAAGTAACATTAACAGACAATTCTAAAACAAATTCCAACTAAAAATAGCACTTTTATCTCATAGAAAGTACCAGTATATCCTTATGGCCATCGGTGGTGAGGTGAAATGGGGTTTAACGTCGCGTCCAAGATTATTGCACTTATATAGCGACATGCATGTACTTGTGTGTGTGTGGCTGCTTGTACTAGTCCGGACTGATGCCGATTTATAGTGCTAGCTCACTGAGATACCATGCCGCAGTTTAACATGAATACCCCACTCAGACACAGTATACTGACGCCAACCAGTCCTTGTTTTAGCCCTTAATGCCGAGCCCCAGACAGGGTAACAACAAGTACCATCTTTTAACGTCTTTTGGTATGACGCGGCCGGGGATCGAACCCCTGACCTTCCGCTCTACCACTAGACCACGGAGGCGGTCCTTATGGCCATCGACTTTGAAGGTGAGTGTTTAAACCCAGTGTGTTTGTGTATGGCCCTCAGTCTTCAGTTTGCAGTGATACTTAACTATTATTCCATAATAGTGTTTATCATTAATTTTTACTTCCATCAAAACCTCCAAATGTCTGGTTCATTATTGGAATGAAAGTCTCAAACTGTATTTATACTTATCTTGACTCATACGCTAAAGCAATTAGTATGAGTCAGGATAAGGTAACATCTAACATTTCTTAAAAAGCTTACATTATTTCCCATTATTTCAGCTTTAAGAATTTTGGCTCCAAGGGCATTCAACTCTTGCGGTGACAGGATCTCAACAGCTGGAGTTGTCTCCTCTTCACTAGATGGCGCTGCCTCTGACTCGGAGCTGCTGCTGCTGCTGCTGTCTGTACTGGAAGAAGAGTCTGCAGAGAAACAGAAGTCATTAGAAAGCTGATGAAAAGTTGGATGTCGGGAAAAAATCCTAATTCCTTAAGTTTGGGGAAATATAATCAGTGCGAACTGGGATTTGAACCAACAATCATAGGTTCCAGTTGTGCCCAAGGGAGGCATCTCTGTCCCCCTCACCATAATAGGTAAAAAGAAATGAAATAAAAAGAAGATTGTACAATGAGATGAAACACAAGAAATATTGTGACAGTTCAAAAAGCACCTCTTAGTGTGATGTTGTTCCTCCTCTTGATAACACTCAAGCTGTATGACAAACACCAAACTGTCATCATGGTTATTGTAAACATTTATCATATGACATATTTAAATGTTTATAAACCTCTCACAGATACTGGGACAAGGTCCCTAGCGCCCAATGTTGTAGGATGGTCAGGCTTGCTGACTTGGTTGATGCATGCCATCGATCCCAATTGCGTTGATGGATGCTCATGATATCGATCACTGGATTGTCTGACCCAGACTCGATTATTTACAGACCGCCGTCATAAAGCTGGAATATTGCTGAGTGCGGCATAAAACAACAAACCAATAACAACATTGTAAGAGCCAATAAACTGAGGACTAGTAGGTCACAATGGTCATGATGGCGGCCATGCTGTGTCATCATGACCCAACAGCATGAGACATTTTGCATATCAACCACTGGTTTGCATGTCCAAATTTATTTCTTGACTGGCTCCCATGGAATATTGCTGAGTTTGGACAAAAACAACATGCACTCACTCACTCATATTACTCATGATCTACATTGCTAGGATCGATGCTCACTGGATTGTCTGGTCCAGACTCGATTATTTACAAGCCACCATCATGTAGCGGGAATATTGCTGAGTGGGGCGTTAAACAACAAATAGAACAAACAAAATAAAAAACTCTCCACATTGATTACATTGTTAACTTGGCTGTTTACATGTCAAAAAGATTTTTGCCTAAAAATATAGTTTTCAACATTATTCAGTACAAAATTGAAGCAAGTTCTTAAAAACATGATGACTTAATAGCAAGCTGACACTCACATGACCGAGACCTTTTCCTCGCATGTCTATCATCTCTGGAGTCTCTATGTGACCTTGACCTTGTCTCCTCTTCCCTTGATGATTTAATGCCCCCAGACTTTTCATAGCCTTTCTTCTTCCATCTTGGGACATCATTGCTTGATCTATAATCTGAGCGTGAAGATTGACGGTAGTCTGATTCGCGCAAGTGTCTTTGTGAGTTATCATCTGCTGGTCGAACAAATTGACGTCTGTCTTGTGGTTCCTCATCCTGATCGTCTGAAGGCCGCACAAATCTCTTTGAGTCTCTAGACCCTGAATCACCTCTGTCACCAGGCCTCATAAATGTTCTAGACCTGGAACCATCACTGCTAGACCTATAGTCATCAGGTCTCATGAATGACCTTGACCTAGAGTCATCTGACCTTGACTCACCAGGTTTCATGAAAGTCCTCCTCGGCCCAGAGCTATCAGATTGCCTATCCCTCGTTGAATCACCTGGTTTTATAAAATGTCTACCAGAGTCTTTCCTATGATCAGTTCTAGAAGGAGATCGATCATAATTTGAACTTGGTGACCTTGACCTATTGCTCTGTCTCTCAGGAGATCTGGAATAGCTTCTTTTCCTAACCTTATTTGGAGACCTTGACCTGCTACGTCGAGGAGATCGAGACGACCTTTGCCTATTTCTTGTAGGTGACCTTGACCTTTCTCTCTTCTTCCATCTGGGAGGTGAACATTCTCTGTTAGCCTGTTTCCTCTCTTTTTTCTCTGCCTCAGCAAGCATCTTCTCAATTTTCTTCAAAGACTAAAATAAATACCAATGTCAAGTTTAAAAGTTCTAAAAGCATTGTCAAAAAATGCTCGAACATATCACCTTGCTTATCATCACAAATAGCCACTATGACAATGAGCAGGTTAAGATAATAAATGAATATTTCATGCACACAATAGCTAAGATATACTTTCTGGGAAAGCAACAAGATGAACAGCAACAATTAATAAGACAAAATATTTATATATAAATCCCTGAAGACAAGGTGATTTGGGTTTCTCGTTTGCACTTGAGCCATTTTCCTGTGATCTTTTGCTTAATAAAAATCTGAGGACATCTCATCACAGGTCATGTCAGAAAGGCCCTTCATCCGACCAATCAGAGCATTGCTTACCAGATCGGAAAGTGACAGTTGCAATGTGTTTTCTGATCATGCAATATTGCCTCTCAATATTGGCCATCTATTAGACCTTTCTGAATTTTATTTTATTCAGTTTTCAAACTTTGTGAAAGTCAACTTCTTGTTAGTCATTTCACTGGTTGATGAAAGTTCACGAATGGTCATTCCTGACGTGACCTGTAATGGGATGTCCTCGGATCTCTGTGTAGCAGTAGCAAGCACTTTTAATGAGATTGGGTTTTTTCCCTGCAATCTCACTCAGTGTCAAGTGTCACTGACAATTGGCTGTACGCAATCAGCGGCGAATCAACACAATGGCGGCGAATCAATACAATCAGCGGTGACGGATCAACCTTGTTAAATTTTTATTGTGTTAATCTTATCTGTACATGTAATCTTATCTGTAAAACAAACATTAAACATATACACTGCTAATACAAATCAATGCATGCATTGTGTTTTGTCTTATCCAAGATGGCAGACGTTTCCGAGCGAAAACGTGTATAACAAACAACGGATATAACGAACTCATTCTCTGGTCCCTTGACATTGACTGTAAGCTTAATGCCGGAGAAAGCCCAAAGTTACACATGTAGCCCACCTTTCATCATCAATACTTCCAAGTTTTGTGAACACTACTTCCCTTCATAGTGAGTGAATAGATGGGGTCGCTTTGAGGTGGACTCACTATTTGAAACCAACAAATCCAGCGAAGGCCTGGTTCCAGTGAGAGGACAGCCAGTGAGTGCACAGACCAAAGAACAGTCTGATTACATCATACAAAATATGCCTTAGTCTTGCGCCGGTTGGCTCCACACACTGCCTCAGTGTCGGCCAAAAGTAAGGGTTCATTTGACATCCATGGATCATAAATGGCCTCATTTCATTGGTTGACTTAAAATAGACATGTGTCACTGCTACACTGCATAGCGCCATATGTACTTCGGAGGGAAAGAGGAAAGTACTGTATATGCAAAAGACTGTGAGGTATTGATGATGGCATCTTCCCGAGGCAAGTGAGTTAACTGACTATAAAAGTCCAGTTTCCACCCTTGCCGAACTAGGCTGGTATTATGGAGTTACATTGTGTCTGGACTAATGAGTCTATGCATAGTCCAATCAAATCGCGCAGCGAAATCAAAATCCAGTTCATAAACTGTCGTGCAGATTTCGATCGAGTGCAGGGTTTGCAAAGCATGTGCATGGCCAATTCGTTGTCAGCAGATATTTTCCAAATCCTTTCATGTTTTTAATCAAGGTGCTCACGTGATTTGATGCATTTTGTGATGTAAGACCCGTTTTATCACAATATAGATCTTGATTATCGATCAGATCGTCCTGACTGGGCGCCACCATTTTGTGTGAAGCAAACGCAAGTGATACGAGAGGTGGAATCTGATTGGTCGATAGGAGAGGCTTAGAAGGGACATAAATGGTAATAACCACTGTCGGCGCAACGATCGAGCCCAGTAATTCCAGCCTAGTTCGGCAAGGGTGGAAACTGGACTTTTAAAGTCAGTTAACTCCCTTGCCTCGGGAAGATGTGATGATGGAAACATTTAGCACTTTGTTACTGCCCATTATAAAACCAAATAACATGACTACCAAGCACATGTTGGTCTGCATTCATCTAGCACTTGTCTACTGACAAATGTAATCACAAAATTCACCCCTTCCTTTTTCAAAAGAGCTGCATCCATTTTAGAAGTAGTTTTACTCAAACCTGCTGAATACAATTCTCCTTGGAGCCTAAGAATATCCTTCATCACAAGTGGAGCACCTACCCCCCATCGTTCTGCTGCCATCTCCTCCAGACTACGACCCTCCTCGGCTGCCTGCTGCTTGCATCTCTCAAAGGATGTCCGTAGCCATGACAACCCTCCATCTCCTATCCCAGAATGGTTCCTTTTATGTTTAGACTTGGATGGGTCTTCCTCTGGTAATCCAGTTCCTCCATTTTGCCAGTAGGGGTTCAACTCTATCTTCAGCCGTGCAGCCTGTCAACATGATCAGTGTTGCTTAACAGTAATTTAGACACTGTGGTCATGGTTACCAATGTTTTGTTCTTTAACTCCACCCTCAGCAATATTCCAGCTATATGACGGTGGTCTGTAAATAATTGAGTCTGGACCAGACAATCCAGTGACTGACGTCATGAGCATTAATCCACGCAATTTTGATACGGTGACATGCATCAACCAAGTCAGCAAGCCTGACCACCCGATCCCGTTAGTCGCCTCTTACGACAAGCATAGTCGCCTTTTACGGCAAGCATGGGTTGCTGAAGACCTATTCTACCCCAGATCTTCAAGGGTCTCAGGGTACCTATGACCCCATGAACCAGACATATACGTATCAATTTGTTCCTAGTGTCCAATTACTTTTGATAAGGATATAAATTGGCACTTGGCAGCTTACCCAAAATGTATGTCCAATGCTAAAGGTATGTTGAAAATCAGATTTTTTTAGGGATGTAGCATTTAGAACATTTATCATCACCTTGCAACTATTTAGAAATGTTTACATTTACATAAGATAAGTATTTACATCTGCCTCTTTCGCAATTTCTGCATTCTTCTCCTCTTTGATCTTCATCTGTTTATTTCGGATGTCCTTCCTGGATGTTGATGGTACGTCAAACAACCCCGCCTCCTCCATCCAGCTGTCTCTCTGAAAACATCCACACATACAGATGAGTTTACAGGATAAGTGCTACAGCTAAAACTGCACTCCAGTAGCATTAGACAAGGACAAGCTGAGTCAAGTTCTTGAACCTGGCAGAACCTGCATTGACAGCATCATCTAACAGTGGTACCCCACTTTATGCAAACAAGAGACTACCCAAAATATTGGAAGGTCCCATGGACTAACTCTCTGTGCTGACATAGTGATTTTGTGATTTTGTGATTAATCCCAGCCTTTCAGGACTTGTTTGCTTGTTTGCTTGTTTGTTGTTCAACATTGCACTCAGCAATATTCCAGCTATATGACAGCCTTCTGTAAATGATCGAGTCGGGACCAGACAATCCAGTGATTGATATCATGAGCAATGACATGACTGTATGAGCCAAGCCTTGTAATGCTTGAGACAGTTAAGTTAAATGTCCAGTAAACAGTGACCAAAGGGTAACTCTAAATGTTTCAATATCACACCTAAATCACCATAACCAAACATAACCCAGCATTAGAAACTGGCACTAGTCTTGTAGTCCTTACCAAACTGTCCAATAGTTAAGGTATCATAAGGACTAGAAATTTGCCATTTTTAAGGTTTGAGCTATATGTTATCATTATAAGGACGAGTGGACTAAAACTGATGTTTCTATCGCTGACACACATTTGGTGTGTGAGATTATGGCACAGGAAGACATTTATTTAGGGTTTTGAAAAGATTTAAGCAGTTTCCACTTAGAAGAGGTACCAGTAATTTTCTCTAAACATAGGGTGATGTCATGTAGCTGTGGCACAAAACAAAACAAACAAAAGCACAAGGGAGGGGGGTTATTGGCTAGCATCTTATCCACTAGGATAGAAAGATTGAGTGTAATAACAATGATCATTATCTGGTATTTGCACATGTGCTTTTAGTGATTCTCAAAGATGATTGGTCAGTTCACATGGTTGAGGAGGTACTTCTTTGTTGAGAACAATATCATATGACGTCATCCATTGTTCATGACATCACAAATGCATAAAATCACATCATCTGAACAATAGGCTGACTCCAGTGAAGTTTCTTTGTAGGGTTGACATTGCATATGGGTTTTTTTTCATTTTCTTTCTGAAAATGTCAATGAGTAATACATAGAATAACCAATTTGGAAATCAGAATTTTACAGATTATCTGTCCCTGTGAATAAATGATGTGTGTCTTGTCCAGGGCTGGTTATTGCACCATTCATTCACTCAGGATAGATACTCTGTAATACCTCGTACCTCATATTCTCTATTGAACAATCTGACTTAAACTTATTACCTGAAGTGTAGGTCCCTGCACTGGCCGGACAGGCTCCCTGGGAGCAGCTGACCCATCACTGGACTTCTCGACCCACTGGTCATCCGAATCCGAATCCTGGTACATGAAACACATGTCACTTAGCAATGTGCCCATGACTGGTCATTATCAAGACTTCCTGGTCAACCGGTCTCAATGTCATGGCTGATTATCAGAATCTACCAGCTAAATTAATATCATTCAGAACCTGTACATTATTTTTAATCAATTCAGAGATTAATTTTCATATTGACATTTAAAAAGACAGCAATTTTCTATAACAATTTCTCTCGACATGAACTCCCATAGTTGTAAGATAGCCATGACGTCACTCTGGAATTCTACTGCGTTGTGGTATAATATTATATTAATGTGGTTTTCATTCTCCAGGACGAATGGCATGTGGTTGGTTTTTCAAGAAATATATGTACTTATCACAAAAAATAATCATATGCAGAGAAAAGTCAGACAGTATTCAGGGATCCAGAGCTACAGATAAGCAGCGTATTTGCTTAAAATACCCCCCCAAAATATTCAAAACCCAATTACCTGCATTAAATGAAAAAGTCAAATGTATAAAAACAGCACGCATAAATACCCAATGAAGCTTTTTCAGCATGCGTACAAATGAGCTAATTTCCGAAACACAGTTACAAGCTAATTCACTTTCCAAGTCAAGCCTATATTTAGAACTGTTACATACATCTAAAACATTTTTGTTAATTTTTAAATCTCAAAATGCGTACCCATTTGCGGAAAAAAAACACCAATAGAGTTATGAATAGATGAGTGAAAAAATATAGGTTACCCAATGAAAAAGTAATAACCCAATTAAAATAGAAACCTTTGAGTAAAAACTCAATACTCAAAAAGTTATCTGGAGCTCTGGGATCCAAATCCATCTAACAATTTTTTTTAAACCAATCAGATTGCATAATAACTGATCAAACTGAAATATATGATAATAATGTTTATATAATCATGACAATCAGTAAGTATTCAAGTGCTTCAACTCTTTTAATAAGGGTCTTGTTTAATCCATGCTCAACAGCTATCATAAGTCTATGTTAAAGAAAGGGAGTGACAAAAGTCATAGACCTCAGATTGCTTTATGGAGCCGTACCCTAGATATATTAGATGGTACTATTTCCAGTGATATGCCTGCATTAACAATTTATGTCAGGATTAACACATCATAGGTACTAGGGCTGCAACGAAAAACCTATGAGGCGAATACGATTCGTATCATGAATATAGGGTAATGAATACGAATATTAATTCACGAATACAATAATAAGTCAGCAGTTGGTGTATTATTTGTTATATTCAGTGAAACATTAACAACATAAATTATTTGACATGGTTTGTTCATTATCTATATTATACATTCACATACTGCACTTGTCCAGGTACTTAGTCTTAGTATCTGCTCAAATGCTACAATGACCAAATTCCTGTCAAATTAAATATTATAAGAGTGATGTCTTTAAGGAAACCTATGCATATCATATGTTCTTATGGACATTTCAGGTACAGGGTATGTAAATGCACATGATTGCATATTCATAAATATTTGATTCTAGTGGCAACGAATACAAATTCAATTCATGAATGGATACGGTTCGATTCACCGAATACGCGAGTGAATCGTAACAGCCCTAATAGGTACGTCCTAGTGATCCTTTATTCATAATCAGACGTTTCCAAACAGCAGTAGTCCATATTGTGGGGTGTCCAGACTAAGAAGGCTCCGTTGTACACAGACTTTGAGGCATTGTTTAGCTGATGAACTTACAGAATCTGAACCACTGTCTGATGAAACATGCTTTTTCTTTTTCTGTCTTTTTTTCTTTTCTTTCTTTAATTTCTTTTTCTCCTTCTTCTGTTTCTTTTTTGCCTTTTCTGCAGTCTGAAAGTTCAAATGATAAAGTGACATCTAATTCCCATAAACTCAGTCAATCTGGAGGTGATGTGAAGTGGGGTTTAATGTTGCAGTCAAGATTATGTCATGTATATATCAGTGAGTGAGTGAGTGAGTATGGTTTTATGCCGCTTTTAGCAATATTCCAGCAATACCACGGCGGGGGGACACCAGAAATGGGCTTCACACATTGTACCCATGTCGGGAATCGAACCCGGGTCTTCGGCGTGACAAGCTACGGTTTAACCACTAGGCTACCCGACCGCCCCCATGTACATATCAATGTACCTACATGTGTGTGTGTGGCTGCTTGTACCAACATGTACCAGTCCGGACTTGTGCCAGTTTTATAGTGCTAGCTTGCCGAGATTCTATGCTGCATTTAACAGGATACCCAACTCAGACACAGTATACTGACTCCGAGCCAGTCTTGTTTAATCCCCTTCATTCTGAGGACCAGCCAGGGTAACAAGAAGTACCATCTTTTAGTGCTTTGGTATGACACAGCTTGGAATCAAACCACCGACCTTCTGGACAATAAACAACGATCAATCTGGACATTGCAGGGATACACAGTACCTTCAGCATGTTCAGTGACAAAATATGATGCCGCCAGACATCTCTGCTATCCCTTATTAACAAGATGTTTCAGTAGAGGCTGTTCATCACTGCCCTTGATCAATGCCGCACTCAGCAATATTCCAGCTATATGAAGGTGGTCTGTAAATAATCGAGTCTGGACCAGACAATCCAGAGATTGATATCATGAGCATCGATCTACGCAGTTGGGATACGATGACATGACTGTATGAGCCACCTGATCCTGTTTGTCCAAGCCTTGTTATGCTTGAGACAGTTAAGTTAAACTTCCAGTGAACAGTGACTAAAGGCTCACCCTAAATGTTTCAACATTGTGTTCAATATCACAGCAAAAGCACCAGAACCAATGATAACCCAGCGTTATAAACTGGCACTAGTCTTGTAGTCCTTAGCAAACTGCCCAATAGTTTAGGTATCATAAGGACCAGTAGAAATTTGCCATTTTTAATGGTATTGCTATATGTTAGCATTATAAGGAATAGTGGATTAAATAGCAACTTCGCCACACATCAGAAGTATCTATTCACAGGCAGGGTTCACTCTAAGAATCTACTGAAAATGATGTCAAGAGACCGGTTAACACATTCTGGACAAGACTGATTATTTATCACATAGATTCAAGCACTCTTTGTCAAGGTTTGGTCCACTGAATAATGGAGTGGATCATAACATGATAAGAAATAATGTGACCTTGCTATCAGATTGTATTCTGCCTGTGATGGCTGGCAGCATCCATCGGTCCTCTCCCCGGGCTGCAGCTTCCTCTCGTCGCCTCTCCTCTCTATCATATTTGCCCTTTGCCTGCAAACACAGTAACACATGTACAGTATTTCAATATCCAACCAGTCCACAGTTCGATTTTGGATGAGTGAAAACTAATTACATTTTGGGAGAAAACAACTACTGTACTGTCTTCCCTCTAGATTTTCATCTGATTAACAGACTAGTATGCATTTCTAATCCTGCTGTATGTGTAAAACTATGGAATTGTTTCTGTGAATTTTGGTTAAATATTTAATGATTAACTTTAAGATTAATATACATCATTATTCTTTAGGTAGCAGACAAATATGGGAGTACCAATACTACCACCATGACCATGGAAGGAATATTTATATTCAGTGTGAGTTTTGCTTTTTTTATAGTAAAAATGACCAATAGAAGGTGGAAGAAATTAAATGAAATCTTTTAAGAAAGCTAATGTGACTGGATCAAGAACCCATGCATCTTTCAATCAAATTGGATGAGCAATGTTCACTTAGGATTCACCTGGCATAACCACGTTGGTCAAACAATTCCCAATTGGACATTTTGTACCCATCTCTTGAGGCCTACAGCGGGTACCCGGGTAGGGTCGGGTAATAGTGGGGTGGGTACAGGGGTAGTAAATTTGGATTCGTCCCAGCCCTACCACCTTGCCTACGTATGGTTTATGAGTCGCAGACGTAACGTGTACGCGTGACGGCTCTGCCGTCTCTTGTACGAGAGACGGGTGCGGACGGCAGTACTCAGTGAAGCGCTTGATACTAATTAATTCAATCACCGTGGCTGTGCTGTCACCCGTGACCTCCGCGAAAGTAATTAAAGCGCTATGTACGATCACCCAATGTTTATCAGATCTTCACACAGAAAGCCAAGGTATTGTCTTAATGGCAGTGATCGTGCTGGAGTAAAAAACAAACTGATTCTAATCAGTGTCAATGAGATTGGAACTAGAAGTGCCTCTGAACATAGAAGAGTACTAGGCTACATTTCTTTTCAACCTTTCAGAAACCTAAGAAAGATTATTTGTTTGTCAGATTTAGATGGTTTCACGACTGCGGAGCTGGCGGTGTGCCCATCCAAACATATATTGATGTTGACATGGTTCTCGTCGACGAAAGCTACAACCCTAGCGGCTCTGCACTGATCCACAGCGGAATTTGTGCACGCAGCTATTCACGACGATATCCTTGTCTAAGACTGGTAGAGAAGCTGAGATTCGCCTTTCTAATATGATCCTTGCTATGTCATCTGTAAATCATATTGTTTTATCATCGATATGTCAGATAATTGTGGTTTGACCTACGATTACTTAACTCAGCATACCTTTTCAAGAACCTTTTCCCTCGCTTTCTGCAAGTATTCCCTTTCTTGGTTGATGGATGTTTTGCTTTGGAAGTTTATTCCGTTTATTCCAGCCATTTTCCAGGGGACGTAACTCGGACGACATATAACCGGTGACATATCAAATTACTACCTTATATAATCTAATCAACTCATTTTCATTCAAAGGAGAGCAAACAAATGAAATGAGACACGCTACACAATATCTATCTTTACATGATATAAAGAAGATTATAATCAGATTGTTTTGTTGGTTCAAAATTGTCCTGCTAGATTCCTAGGTAAATAGTAAATCCCACGAGGAATGTGTTTCTTTGTTGTTTACGCCGAAATCAACAATATTCCAGCTATTATGAAGACGGTTTGTAAATAATTGAGTCTGGACCAGACAATACAGTAATTGACATCGATCTACACAAGTGGAGATACGATGACATGCATCAGCCATGTCAGCGAGACTAACCAGCCATCCTGTTCGTCGTCCTTTACGACAGCATAGGTTGCTGAAGACCAATTATAACCCGGTTCTACACACGGGCAAGATAAAATGAGGTCCAATGTACATTTTAGACTAGTATGAACTTTTTTCTATCTTTTAAGTCGAATCAAACCAATTACCTTCCCCGTTGGGGATTCCGGGTTAGAATTGATCCCAGGTTCGTCGTAAGAGGTGACCAAATGGATTGGGTGGTCAGACTTAGTGACTTGGTTGATATGCCAGAGGGCCCCGTCGTTGTTGATTGTTACTCATAATATCAATCACTGGATAATCCGATTAAGTCGATTATTTACAGACTGCGTCAGATAACTGTACAATTCTAATCGACTCTGAGGTGCGACGAACCAGTCGGCCGAGACGCTGTGCACAATGTGATGTGCAAAGTTGTGTCCTTCGATCGGGCCAGGATTAGACGAACGTTTCGATCTCTATAAAATAATATCATAGCGCTCACTACCGGTACACGTCGATTTTTTTTTAACGGTGGCGAGAACGATGACCTGAGTTTTATGAGATTGATGGACGTTCGAATCCCACATTCGCCATGATTATGATCCTTGGTTAATTTGCATAATGCCCATGTTCACAGGTTTTACTAAATAGGTCATGTCGGTCGATACAACAGAAATACACAGCGGCATTAAACCCAACTCACTCACTCACTCAAGACATCGAAATGTAGTTCGCGGACACATTGATCCACTTAGTGGAGGAAATCTGGTAATCGGGCATGCTACATTGACTCATCTTGCAAAATGTATTAATCTGATGGATACAAACGTAGAAGCGTCAAAAACGACACCTTCGTTGCAAGTGGCTGGTAAGTCAGCGACCCCCAGTATCAGGGTCAGTATAGCGTGTCTGAGCGGGGTATTCATGTTAAACTACAACAGTGTATCACAGGGTAGCACTAAAAAAACGGCATTTAGTCTGAACAATGAACAGCATGCACGTCGCTACATAAGTGCAATAATCTTTCGCCTCACCTAATTTAGAACCTGTAGTTACCACCCGTGAACATCCGGGTTAGAACAGGTTTTCAGCAACCCACGCTTGCCGTAAAAGATGACTAAGAGGCGAAGAGGCGAATAAAAGGATCGGGTGGTCAGGCTCGCTGACTTGGTTGATGCATGTCACCGTATCCCAATTGCGTATAGATCGATGCTCTTGGTGTCAATCACTGGATTGTCTGGTCCAGACTCGATTATGTACAGACCGCCGTCATATGGCTGGAATATTGCTGAGTGCGGCGTTAAACATATAAACAAACAAACAAACAACAACAACAAAACCTGTTGTATTCATGAAGACATAGTAGACTTATTCAGTTTAACCTCTTTATACTTCCAATGCAGTTCACTGTCTACACCTGTAATTTGTTCAATCTGTTCTCCCTTTTCTGGCCTCGCCTTGCTCCAGGGGCGGTAGGGTGGCCTAGTGGTTAAAGCGTTTGCTCGTCAAACCGAAGGCCCTGGTTCAATTCCTCATACTTGTGAAGCCCATTTATGGTAGTGAATTTCGTTTAATTGATAAAGCGGCGCAAAATTATATTCACCCACTCACCTATCTACCTGGATCTATCTGCAGAGCATTCCCCGATTTGAATCACTACTTGATGACAGGACAAGAAGTAGTCTTGAAATGTTTGGCAAACACCTGGTGTTATTGCTGTTTCATCGTGATTCATAAACATGCTTATGACATAATCACACTCGGACAATGGACTCTGCTGTCAGCAGAGATTTCTTATGATTATAGAAAGGGATTTACCAGTTATATTTATAAAAAGAATATTGAATTTGAAGATGAAATATAGATATGGGATCTCTTTTACGCCTCTTGATGCATTCTATAGTTTAAAACAGTTATTGGACGCCAACACGTTTGTTTCTGTTATACCAGGAACAATATATCATATAAATTGTATATACTCCCTTGGTTAAACCTTTTAAACCTAAATCATATCAAAACAGTAATTCTTGCTATGTACAAGTATCATCTCATGAGATCCATGCTAATCTCCCAAGTACAAACTAACAGCATTGGAATCGAAATTATAAAGGGTGGGGTGGGGTGGGGTGGGGTGGGGTGGGGTGGGGTGGGGTGGGGTGGGGTGGGGTGAGGTGAGGTGAGGTGAGGTGAGGTGAGGTGAGTAGAGGTGAGGTGAGGTGAGGTGGGTGAGGTGAGATGCGACATAGCCACCTGCATGTACGTCTCTGTATGTGGCTGCTTGTACCAGTCCGGGCCGGTGCCGGTTTTATTGTGCCAGCCCACTGAGATACTATGCCGCAGTTTAACATGAATACCCTACTCAGACACAGTATACTGACCTCGAGTCGGCCAGTCCATGTACATCCCCCTTTGTGTAGAGCGCCAGGCAGGATAACAACAAGTACCATATGTTAACGTATTTTGGTATGATGCAGCCAGGGGATCGAACCTCCGAGCTGACGCTCTATCCACTAGACAACGGACGGAGGCGGTCATTTTTTAATCATAGTTGGTTGGTTGGTTGGTTGGTTGGTTTGTTGTTTAACGCCGCACTCAGCAATATTCCAGCTATATGACGGCGGTCTGTAAATAATCGAGTCTGGACCAGACAATCCAGTGAGCATCGATCCTAGCAATGTTGATCATGAGTAATATGAGTGAGTGAGTGAGTGAGTGAGTGAGTGCATGTTGTTTTTGTCTAAACTCAGCAATATTCCATGGACGCCTGTAAATAAATAAATGTGTGACATGCAAACCAGTGGTTGATATGGAAAATGGGAAATACAGTGATTAATATCATGAGCATCGATCCACGCAATTGGGATCGATGACATGCATCAACCAAGTCAGCGAGCCTGACCACCCGATCCCGTTGGTCGCCTTTTACGACAAGCATAGTCACCTTTTACGGCAAGCATGGGTTGCTGAAGACCTATTCCACCCCGGAATATTCACGGGGATTTTAATCATATCCCCGGGTACCTTTATTTTCCTTCTGACATTCCTGTTATCCTATTTTTAATCATAGATAAGATAACAGGAATGTCAGAAGGAAAATAAAGGTACCCGGATAACGGTGTAAAATTAATTTTTAAATCGGATTCCGCGAATTTTATATCAACGAGTTGGGTTGATCTTCAAAGACGTTTTGATGCAAATTGAAAGAGGGAACATAGGTAGTCCAGTCATTTTGGTCACTTTGTTCCTCAATTCTGTTTTTATGAGTATGAGTATGAAATATAGTTTGTAGTTATGCTTCTACCTGTTGATCAAATCACACATATTATTTGAGAAACTGTTTGTGTATTTATTCACACACTTTAATTGATCAATCGACACAGTATAATGATATGTCCCATGTGCAGATTAAGTCTCGTAAAATGGAGAAAATATCACAAGGCACATAATGACGCTTCACCGTTTCAATCACATAATTTAGAGTTATCCCCCTTGATGCGATAGGGGGCGATCTACAAAAATGGCGACGCATATAACGCGAGGGGAACTCCCGAGTTTGAGCTCAAGAAGTTAAGGTTTAGACAATTATTTACAATGAATGAAGTAGACGACGCTAGTTCTATGAAGGAAGAGGGAGAATTATCTGACGAGGAAGAATATGATGACTCTAGACGTGACCGAAATTTTGACAGAAAAAATAGACATTTAGAACCCCCGAGAAGGGATAGGCAGAGAAGTCCACCATCTTGGTCAAGATGCACTAGACAGTCCGACGAGTTAGATTATCGTTACAGGCATGGAAGAGATGAAGTGGGGTTTTGGGCACCACCGGTTGGCATGTGTCCACCACCACCACCTCGTCCCCCCATGCACTTCTATGACAGTTTACCCAGACCTCATGCTCCACTGCCAGGTAGCCCCCGAAGCTTGAGGATTCACCCGTTAGATTATGGAAGAGATAGACCGCCCCATCGTGCTGACGATTTTAGGGACTCCTACCCTTCATCATATCAATGTATCCAACATGGCTGTGCTGGTATAATAGTAAATAATGGTATAAAATAATGTATTTATTTTCAAACCAAGTGGCAGGGATTTTTCTGCAGCAAATGTAAAAAAAATTCCAATTTGGAACTCAACGTTTTCCAATTCATGTCACAATGTATTAATGTATAAAAGTAATTCCCAATTTTATAGCTTTGTAGAAGTTACTTGTATTCACTTATAACAAGAACAACAAATAGGAACAGGATCTAATGCTTCATTTTATATTATGGCATTAAATGCATTCTCAAAATATCTCTGAATTTAGGAACATATGAACTATATATTTTTTTAACAAAATATTTTTTTTCAGTTTGCCAGCCAGTGGCACTAGTTATCAATTCTAGATAAGTCCATTTATCATGCTAGACTGCGTGACCTTGCATATGTAATGGCATTGGTAGAATATCAGAGAGGCTTGACATTTTCTTTTTTGTGATCAGCTATATGAGTGGTATGTTAATAAACAACAAACACATTTCCATCATAAATATAATATGAATTTGTCTCCTTGTTTGAGATGATGCTCATTTAAAATTGTTATAATGGATATTCAGTGGTCGAAAATGTGTGGTAATCTTGGACCCTTGAACATTGTGTGGAGGTGTTCTCCTGTGTGTTGTTTATTTTGGGGGCTTTCTTTGTCACAAATATTCATTATTAGGGTTATGGCAAGGACCCCTTGACATTCATCTTTTATTTCAAACACTGGACAATGGCACAAAGGTTATTTCAATTAAATTGATGAATTTCAATGTTTTCTAAGTTTTTACCAACAATAGAAAGATATATACAAACCTGCTTACTCAGATTAAAATAAAATGTCATTGGTTGTGTAAATACAACCTTGTGTGTGTCAAAGGTTGAAAGAAGTGATGAAGTAAATAATGATTGTACCTAGGGGTGCTGTATGAATTGTCGAACATTTAAAATCTGAAATTTTGAAAAATGTAACACTGCAAGTTGCTTACCAACGTGATTGCAAAACGAATCAGTTACCTTTGCAAATAATGCGTTCAAGCAAAACTCAGTGTTATATTTAGCTTCACCTCTCACATATTGTCCTTAAGAATTACTCAGCTAGGAAAAACTGGAGATTCAATATTCGTCAGGGACCAGAAAAATTTAAAAGAAGAAACCAGGATTCTGATGAGGGAAACTTTGAGGAGCTGCTGGAGAAATATCGCACAATACAGAAGCAGCTTGAAAACCTGGAAGAGGAGGAAGGGGAGACAACTAGCACTGGTTCTCTCACTGCAGGCTCCGAGAAGCCAAAGGAGCAGAGTGTCAAGGATGGCAAGACAGGGGAGGGGCCAGCTAAGAACACTGACCAGGCAGGGGGGGTCATCGTTATTGACGCCTCGCCAGAAAAGGTTGAGAAGAATGCTGACAGCCTTGAAAATTCAGGGAAAAAAGAACAGGTATTTATTTGTTAGGTTTGTAATGGATGTATTTTCAGGCTTCAAAATTAGCCATTTTTCAGATGGTAGACACTCATTAAATACATGCTGTTACACAGTCTTGACTAGGTGATCTGAATGCTTTATTACGGGAATAGTGTTCTGCCTAGACAACAGAATTCTCATGATAATTTAAGGGCACTGATTAGACAGCAGAATTCTCATGATAATTTAAGGGCACTGATGGCCCAGTCGTCTAAGGTGCTGCGATTCGCTGTGCAGAGTTGCATCCCTTGGAAACGCCAGAAACCAATGATTGTGGTTTCGAATCCTGGTTCATCCCAATTATGTTTCTAGGTGTGTCAGCACATACCTGTGCTCGTTGGTTTCACTGAAAGCGTAAACGTTTGAGACCTGCATCACTTCGGGCTTTCCTCCCACATTAAGCTGACACACCACAATATAACTGGAATACTGATAAAAGAGGTGTTAAACGATAATTTATTGATTGACGCATAATATTTATGCTCAGTGGGACATCGCACACATTCATGATAATGGATTTGTTGTATATTGTTACTATTATTACTATTATTATGGGTGTGTCTCAGAAATATTTTTCATCACTTGTACAGCTGCTTCAATTATTGAATGTAAATATTCTGATTTTCATTGCATTATGTCTCTCAATTTACTATCAGTGCCTTTCATTGGCATTGGTCCAGAATCAAGCTTTCACATTTTTACAAAAATTGTTTTTATAGTTCCAATAATAACACAGATGTTTCTGCTCCAAATGACCTCAGTATCACAGAATCACTGACCACAAGAATGTGTCTCATGGCGCATCTGACAGTGTGATGGTGACAGACTGAGGAAAGATAGATAACTGAGACATGTCAGCTTTGTATAAATCATGGGATGTCTAATTCAATGACAAAACTAAATTCACAATGAGGGCCTTGAAGAAACTTGCTACCAGCTACTGACAGTGATCACAAACAAGCTGTTGAGGCTAAATGCTGCTGATATTCGCTACATCTGAGAATGATGTCATGCGAATGTCCTGTATATCACTAACGTTTTGGCCGGTGATTCTGCATCAATAATCTGCATATCGGGTTGTTAGTATTATGTGATCTCTCAGAGAGGCCCCATATGCTGAACATGCTGAAGGGGTCCTTGTCCCCACTTTTTCAGTTTTTGGCAGAACACTGTGGAAGATCATGAAGATGAGGATTCAAACTACAGATGTGATGGAAATACCATCATCATCATCATCATCATCATATCTTTATAAAAGACACTTGAAATTTTGTTTCATAAGATATGGTCATTGATCATGTTGATTTTGAAAAAAACCCATTCTGAATCTAAAACTAGCCAAAGATGTCCTTCATCTTCCCTTTAAATATTTTACACCTCACATAATCATGATAATGATATCTTGAATATTGGCGAAGCTTACTCATCATGGTCATGTTAGGAGAGGGGCGGTGGGTAGCCTAGTGGTTGAAACGTTTGCTTGTCACGCTAAAAGCCTGAGTTCAAATGTCCACATGGGTACAATTTATGAAACCCATTTGTGGTATCCCCACTGTGATATTGCAGGAATATGACTGAAAGTGATGTAAGACCATACTCCCTCACTCGTGTTACTAGACTGAAAGAAATTTGACCAGGTATGGCTTATATTGCAGACTGATAGTGGGCTGGAGAGAGGAAGTGTTTATCATTACAAGTTCCTTAAACTGTTGCTATGGTTTACAGGGTGTGGAAGAGGAAGAAGAGGAGTTGGATTTGGATGAGCTGAGGAAGATTGCTCTAGCTTCAGCTGGGGCTCGAGCCAACAAGACAACCAGTAAAGCAGAACCCAACAAAACACCGCCCGTAAATGGGGGTCCAGGAAAGAAGGTCAGCCCTAAGTCTTCAGGAAGTAGGAACACGAAAAGTCAGAGCTCTCGAGTCAGAGACACCCCACGGAGACAGATACAGACCCGGTCCAGTGATAGATCAGATCGGAGGCGATCTGTGTCAGGTAAAAAATGTTGGCAGAAATACTTGTTTTTATTTCTGAGACTGTGCAATTCTATAACAATTCAAACTCAAGTGAAGCGTGCCACATGTCGCAACCTGGAAACCTCATGTTCATGCTTTGGATCCCCAGGATGTTTTGCTTAGACTTATGAAGAGAAGAGTCCCCTCAACTTGAAAATAGACTCCAGTAAATCCCTGATCTCACATCAGTATTGTCTCTTGTTCTTTGGTAGAAGGTGTCAAAATCTTTTTGATTTGAATCCCCACAACCACTTGATTATGGATCCCTGCTTTTTCAGCATGTCTTTGCTTGTTGGGTAACCTACAGTGTGTCACTTTGGGCTTCCTTCCCATATAACCAATGAAGATCCGGGTTAGAATAGGTCTTCAGCAACCAATGCTTGTTGTAAGAGGCGACTAACGGGATCCGGTATGTCATCGTATCCCAATTGTGTGGGTCGATGCTCATTATATCAACCACTGGATTGTCTAGATCCAGACTCAATTACTTTCTATATGCCATCATATAGCTGGAATATAGCAGAGTGCTCTATTAAACAACAAACAAACAGATCCTTCCCACATTATACTGACAGTCAGTGATACAGCAGGTTATTGTAATATTACTCAAAGCAAGTTTCACATGTTTCACCAAACTCATGCTTTCACTCCTTGCTACAGGAAAAGATAGTCAACCTTCTAGGTCACCTAGAAAAGTTCAACAAAGGCGATCCAAAAGTAACGACAGAAAAAAGACACTGGCGAAAAAAGACAATGAGTTTGAAAAACAAGAAATTGAGCGTATACTCTCCCTGACGGATACTGATGAAAAGATTGCTCGATTCCTTCAGCTGATTAACCACAGGAGCAAGGTGAGGGGATGCGTTGATACACATTACAAAAATTTTGATTTATGTCTGGTACCTGCCAGTTAAATAACAAACTAATCTGAAGTTGATGCAAAAATTAGGTTTTAGTCTAGAACCAAGTATTTAATGCCTAAAACATGTAAAATGCTTAGTTTACCCAAAAAACATTGACAAAAAACGAACTCCAAGGGTAGAAAGGGAGGTCTGCCAGATCCCTGTATAGTGTTATTGGATTTTGAAAGTAGTTTGTTGATCCACCAGTGTGCTGTGAGTTACTGATAGAAATATATTGCTAAATCACGTTCATATTTTAACAGTCAGTTGTCATATTGGTAGAAATATAATTCCAAACCTAAAATAAAAGTTATTCGTACTTTTCAATTTAGGTTTTGTAAAAAATAAATGTATGAAAGTGTCAGAATGTAATCTTGAATGATCATTCTGGTCGGGGAGCACTGATTATTATCCCCTGCCTCGAAGTGGGGTGGGGATATTGGAACGGAGTTCGTCCTTCCGCCATCCATCCGCTTCTCAATGGGGACAAATGTTCTCAAAAAATATTCAAGTTAGAGGAATGAAATTTTGAACACTGATGTTACTGGTCACGCCCTCAAAAGAGTTTAAAAAATTGGTGTCGCACATTCATATTTTACAGCATGTTACAGAGTTATGGCCCTTGCTCCATGCTTTTCAACTTAGTGCATACTGAGTGAAATGGGGACAAGTTTTCTCAGAAACTACTGAAGCTACAAGAATGAAAGTTTGCATGCTAATCTAAAAGATACTTGTCAAGACTGAGTTAACAAATTGTTCCCATCTATTTAATTGTTTACAGAGTTACGGCCTTCGATTCATGTTATTTGTGCAATGGGGGCAAGTTTTCTCACAAACTACTGAAGCTTATCTAAGAGATACTTATCAAGACTGAATTATTTTATCAAGAGAAAGGGCCTTTTGTGTGCATTAATTTCAAGTTTAATATTTGTTTTCTGATGACAAAAAGCGGCCCAAGTGCCTATATCTTCTACTACTACTACTATGTGAACAAACAAACTTCTAATGTGCCTCATGGTGGGGGAATAGTGATAACACTGTTTTCATGTTTATGGTGAATTATCATGTTAAAGTGAATGTTTCAAAGGAATTCTATTTCTAAATTCTGCTTGCAACACTTTAGTCAGTTGTATTTCATAAGGATTGCCGGCCATATATGTTATGATTTTAAGAGTCAGGTTAGGGGTCAGCCTATATCCCAGGTCGGCCAATACACTGGTAATAAGTATTGCTGGTATAGTTCAATAAATATCTGCCTTCTGGACTTATCTGATGACACGTAGAAATTTTAGCCAATGTTATAAATATGAATTGACCAAGTTCACTCCAGTGTCTATGACAGTATGAGTTATGACAGCCAGTATGAGCATCTTGCCATTGTTGTGCAGTTGAAGGCCAAGGCTACAGGAAGCAAGTCCTTGGAGGTGAAGGCCAACAGTGTGCAGCTGCAGGACAACTACGAGGAGGTGGAGATGGAGATTGACAGCAGCGAGGAGTCCAACAGTGAGTACCACGGAGCAGTCTTATGTATTATGTACATGATTTATTGTCTTATTGCAATGAATCGCTCTGAAGAGCTGTGTCCCCTTACCATGCAGGGATCTGATGATTCTTGGTCTGTCAGCACAATATTCATGTTGATGTCATATGGGGGTTTACCTGGGGTGACCTGAGCCTTTCTGTTTATAAGCCCTGGGGTGGGTGGGTGGGGGGTAGGAGTGTCACGGGCATGAAGATGGTTGTCACTATGTGACCACTCAACCAATGACATATAAAGTGTTTAATATCCATGAAGTCATATGATACCTGCAGATGTGATTTTCCTGGTTTGAAGCAAAAAAAGTGATTGAGTGAAGAAAACTGAGCATGGAGAGCAAACGTTACAATGCATGGTACCATGGGTACAATTGAATAATTTGAATGATTCGAACAGCTATGCATCACAATGGACCCATATAATACATCTTCCCGATGCAAGGGAGACAACTGACTGTAAAAGTCATTAAAATTATTCAATTGTATCCATGGTACCATACATTTAAATTTAAATCTCCATGCACTATTTTCTTCATTCAATCACTTTGTTTTGCTTCAAACCAGGAAACTTACATCCACTGGTAGCATAAGGCTTCACAGATGTTTAACATTTTATATGTCATTGTTAGAGTGGTCACACGGGGACAGCCGTGGACACGCCAGAAACCTATGATTGTGGGTTTGAATCCCGGTTCGCCCCGATTATGTTTCTAGGTTTGTCAGCACCATACCCGTGCTCGTGGGTTTCATCAAGTGATAAATGTCTGAGACATCACTCCGGGCTTTCCTCCCACATTAAGCTGACACGCCGTGATATAACTAGAATACTGTTAAATGCGGCGTTAAACACAACTCACTCATGTCCATAACAGCCCCATCCGAAATCCCTTGCCATTGGAAGATGATATGATATAGAAATACTGTTCAAAATGGCATAAACTGATCTCTAACTGCTCTCTATGCTGCTGAGGCCTGGACTGTCATGTGTGTCCCCGTGTTTCAGTGGCCAACATGGAGGGCGGTGTGGGGCTGGAGGAGTTCCAGTCAGACCCAGACTTTCATATCGCAATGAAACCAGTGGTGAGTTTATCTAAAGCCTGGTAAACTGTATGGTAGTCTGGCAGTATGCAGACTAGTCAGGGACTTCTCAGCAATGCATGGAATTGGGACCTTCAACATCCTGTCTAAGTGTGTCATTTAACAGATCAGTCTGGAACAGGGGTCCGGAAAATTTAAAATCCCAATCGGACATTTGCATTTAGGCCATGCCCCCTTCAAATAGCGTATTTTAGTACGACTTTTCACACACATTACAAGTTTACGTATTCATAATATGATGAATTATGAATTGTTTCAATTTAAATTGTTTAATTCACCGGACAATTAATAACAAATAATATCATTTTAGATTTACATGGAAAACATACGTTTGTTTCTGTTATAATAACGATCTGTTAACGAAGTGAACGGTCTAATTAATATTCATGAGTTATATTCATGAGTCTGCTCAAGTGTACGCGTTGTAACATTTGGATCGAGACTATTATCCCATATTTGGTTATCACGTGACCTCACGGGAAATGTTTTTTTTAAACTAAAGATTTTTTTAAAAACAAACAGATAATGTAATCACAAATACTAAAATATCGTTGATAGCAATAGTTATTTGAATACTTTTTTCATCTGTACTTATTTATTGACCATAAAAAAATTGGATATCGATCGTCCGAGAAAGCAAAATGGCGGTCAATCAAGATTCAATATACGACTAGCTACTGAAAACAATAAAATCTGCAAATCCTCATTGTATGTCAACCAAGTGAAAGTCGCTCGACTGATCTGCATCGGTCGACTGGCTGTCGTCACGCTTTCGCTTCTTGTCTGAGGTTACGTATCGTAGCATCGATGATGCAAGGCATTAATGTACAGTTGTAAACACCTTTCACTCAAATTAACAAGATGTTCTCAGTAATTAATCCTCGATTAATCAGTGTCAACTCAGTTTATTGCCTATTACAGTGATTGACCGATTGGACTATCATGTAGGTACGATGTTTTTACAGCAATCAAAACAAACAAAGCTTGTCAGTGTAGTTAATCTTCATTGTGTTTGCAACTGCAGACAGAAACTGCTCAGTCCTAACTGTTGATCATGTCCGGTCAAAATTTAAGAATGTCCGGACAATACTTTTTAAAATGTCCGGTAAGCAATATTTTAAAACTGACATTTGAGATTTCCAATCGGACATGTCCGGGGCATATGACGGTTTCCGGACCCCTGGTCTGGAATGCCTTGTCAGAGGAAAGAACTCTGTTGTGGAGATAAAAAAAGTGGGCCATTTTGTCTTCGATCACCTTTGATTATTCCATGTGTATTTAGAGGTCATACAGTATCATCAGGCCAAAAAAGATGTTAAAAGTGTCATTGAAATATTGATGCTTGGGACTAGTTGTGTTCTATAGAAAATGTTGAAAGTTTTGGGAGATTGTGTGGAAATTGTCCCTGACAAAGTTTTCTAGAAACCAATAAAAAAACAAACAATAAAATATTTTGAAAGAGTAATCTATGGTAAATAAAATAGTCATGCATATATGGTGAATGTATTTGGGATGAGATAAAATTGAGCATTCCTGAAATATGTAACTGACAAAAATAATGAAAATACCCTTTACATCAGATAATAAAAGATCATGAAAGTGTTATTGAAAGAATCATGCATATTGGGAGGTCCAGGTATGGTTTACCAATACATGCCTGGGTCTAGTAATGTGCTATAGTAAATGTTGAATGTTTTTGGGATGAGATTATATTGAGCATTCCTGAAATATGTAACTGACAAAAGTGATTAAAATACCCTTTACATCAGATAATAAAAGATCATGAAAGTGTTATTGAAATTATCATGCATATTCGGAGGTCCGGGTATGGTTTACCAATACATGCCTGGGTCTAGTAATGTGCTATAGAAAATGTTGAATGTTTTTTGGGATGAAATTATATTGAGCATTCCTGAAATATATAACTGACAAAAATAATTAAAATACCCATTAAATCAGATAATAAAAGTGTTATTGAAATTATCATGCATATTCGGAGGTCCACGTATGGTTTACCAATACATGCCTGGGTCTAGTAATGTGCTATAGAAAATGTTGAATGTTTTTGGGATGAGATTATATTGAGTATTCCTGAAATATGTAACTGAAAAAAAGTGATTAAAATACCCTTTATATCAGATAATAAAAGATCATAAAAGTATTATTGAAACTATCATGCATATTCGGAGGTCCAGGTATGGTTTACCAATACATGCCTGGGTCTAGTAATGTGCTATAGAAAATGTTGAATGTTTTTGGGATGAGATTATATTGAGCATTCCTGAAATATGTAACTGACAAAAGTGATTAAAATACCCTTTACATCAGATAATAAAAGATCATGAAAGTGTTATTGAAACTATGATGCATATTCGGAGGTCCAGGTATGGTTTACCAATACATGCCTGGGTCTAGTAATGTGCTGTAGAAAATGTTGAATGTTTTTGGGATGAGATTATAATGAGCATTCCTGAAATATGTAACTTACAAAAATAATTAAAATACCCATTAAATCAGATAATAAAAGATCATGAAAGTGTTATTGAAACTATGATGCATATTCGGAGGTCCAGGTATGGTTTACCAATACATGCCTGGGTCTAGTAATGTGCTATAGAAAATGTTGAATGTTTTTAGGATGAGATTATATTGAGCATTCCTGAAATATGTAACTGACAAAAGTGATTAAAATACCCCTTAAATCAGATAATAAAAGATCATGAAAGTGTTATTGAAACTATGATGCATATCCGGAGGTCCAGGTATGGTTTACCCATACATGCCTGGGTCTAGTAATGTGCTATAGAAAATGTTGAATGTTTTTGGGATGAGATTATGTTGAGCATTCCTGAAATATGTAACTGACAAAAGTGATTAAAATACCCCTTAAATCAGATAATAAAAGATCATGAAAGTGTAATTGAAACTATGATGCATATCCGGAGGTCCGGGTATGGTTTACCCATACATGCCTGGGTCTAGTAATGTGCTATAGTAAATGTTGAATGTTTTTGGGATGAGATTATGTTGGACATTCCTGAAATATGTAACTGACAAAAATAATTAAAATACCCTTTATATCAGATAATAAAAGATCATGAAAGTGTTATTGAAACTATGATGCATATTCGGAGGTCCAGGTATGGTTTACCCATACATGCCTGGGTCTAGTAATGTGCTATAGAAAATGTTGAATGTTTTTGGGATGAGATTATGTTGAGCATTCCTGAAATATGTAACTGACAAAAATAATTAAAATACCCATTAAATCAGATAATAAAAGATCATGAAAGTATCATGCATATTCGGAGGTCCAGGTATGGTTTACCAATACATGCCTGGGTCTAGTAATGTGCTTTAGTAAATGTTGAATGTTTTTGGGATGAGATTATATTGAGCATTCCTGAAATATGTAACTGTCAAAAATAATTAAAATACCCATTAAATCAGATAATAAAAGATCATGAAAGTGTTATTGAAACTATGATGCATATTCGGAGGTCCAGGTATGGTTTACCAATACATGCCTGGGTCTAGTAATGTGCTATAGAAAATGTTGAATGTTTTTGGGATGAGATTATATTGAGCAATCCTGAAATATGTAACTGACAAAAATAATTAAAATACCCATTAAATCAGATAATAAAAGATCATGAAAGTGTTATTGAAACTATGATGCATATTCGGAGGTCCAGGTATGGTTTACCAATACATGCCTGGGTCTAGTAATGTGCTATAGTAAATGTTGAATGTTTTTGGGATGAGATTATATTGTGCATTCCTGACATATGTAACTGACAAAAGTGATAAAAATACCCTTTTCATCAGATAATAAAAGATCATGAAAGTGTTATTGAAACTATGATGCATATTCGGAGGTCCGGGTATGGTTTACCAATACATGCCTGGGTCTAGTAATGTGCTATAGAAAATGTTGAATGTTTTTGGGATGAGATTATGTTGGACATTCCTGAAATATGTAACTGACAAAAATAATTAAAATACCCATTAAATCAGATAATAAAAGATCATGAAAGTGTTATTGAAAGTATCATGCATATTCGGAGGTCCAGGTATGGTTTACCAATACATGCCTGGGTCTAGTAATGTGCTATAGTAAATGTTGAATGTTTTTGGGATGAGATTATATTGAGCATTCCTGAAATATGTAACTGACAAAAATAATTTAAATACCCCTTAAATCAGATAATAAAAGATCATGAAAGTGTTATTGAAACTATGATGCATATTCGGAGGTCCGGGTGTGGTTTACCAATACATGCCTGGGTCTAGTAATGTGCTATAGAAAATGTTGAATGTTTTTGGGATGAGATTATGTTGAGCATTCCTGAAATATGTAACTGACAAAAGTGATTAAAATACCCATTAAATCAGATAATAAAAGATCATGAAAGTGTAATTGAAACTATTATGCATATTCGGAGGTCCGGGTATGGTTTACCAATACATGCCTGGGTCTAGTAATGTGCTATAGAAAATGTTGAATGTTTTTGGGATGAGATTATGTTGGACATTCCTGAAATATGTAACTGACAAAAATAATTAAAATACCCATTAAATCAGATAATAAAAGATCATGAAAGTGTTATTGAAAGTATCATGCATATTAGGAGGTCCAGGTATGGTTTACCAATACATGCCTGGGTCTAGTAATGTGCTATAGTAAATGTTGAATGTTTTTGGGATGAGATTATATTGAGCATTCCTGAAATATATAACTGACAAAAATAATGAAAATACCCATTAAATCAGATAATAAAAGATCATGAAAGTGTTATTGAAACTATGAGGCATATTCGGAGGTCCAGGTATGGTTTACCAATACATGCCTGGGTCTAGTAATGTGCTATAGTAAATGTTGAATGTTTTTGGGATGAGATTATATTGTGCATTCCTGACATATGTAACTGACAAAAGTGATAAAAATACCCTTTTCATCAGATAATAAAAGATCATGAAAGTGTTATTGAAACTATGATGCATATTCGGAGGTCCGGGTATGGTTTACCAATACATGCCTGGGTCTAGTAATGTGCTATAGAAAATGTTGAATGTTTTTGGGATGAGATTATGTTGGACATTCCTGAAATATGTAACTGACAAAAATAATTAAAATACCCATTAAATCAGATAATAAAAGATCATGAAAGTGTTATTGAAAGTATCATGCATATTCGGAGGTCCAGGTATGGTTTACCAATACATGCCTGGGTCTAGTAATGTGCTATAGTAAATGTTGAATGTTTTTGGGATGAGATTATATTGAGCATTCCTGAAATATGTAACTGACAAAAATAATTAAAATACCCATTAAATCAGATAATAAAAGATCATGAAAGTGTTATTGAAACTATGATGCATATTCGGAGGTCCAGGTATGGTTTACCAATACATGCCTGGGTCTAGTAATGTGCTATAGAAAATGTTGAATGTTTTTGGGATGAGATTATGTTGAGCATTCCTGAAATATGTAACTGACAAAAGTGATTAAAATACCCATTAAATCAGATAATAAAAGATCATGAAAGTGTTATTGAAACTATGATGCATATTCGGAGGTCCGGGTATGGTTTACCAATACATGCCTGGGTCTAGTAATGTGCTATAGTAAATGTTGAATGTTTTTGGGATGAGATTATATTGAGCATTCCTGAAATATGTAACTGACAAAAATAATTAAAATACCCCTTAAATCAGATAATAAAAGATCATGAAAGTGTTATTGAAACTATGATGCATATTCGGAGGTCCGGGTATGGTTTACAAATACATGCCTGGGTCTAGTAATGTGCTATAGAAAATGTTGAATGTTTTTGGGATGAGATTATATTGAGCATTCCTGAAATATGTAACTGACAAAAGTGATTAAAATACCCCTTAAATCAGATAATAAAAGATCATGAAAGTGTTATTGAAACTATGATGCATATTCGGAGGTCCAGGTATGGTTTACCAATACATGCCTGGGTCTAGTAATGTGCTATAGAAAATGTTGAATGTTTTTGGGATGAAATTATATTGAGCATTCCTGAAATATGTAACTGACAAAAATAATTAAAATTCCCTTTAAATCAGATAATAAAAGATCATGAAAGTGTTATTGAAACTATGATGCATATTCGGAGGTCCGGGTGTGGTTTACCAATACATGCCTGGGTCTAGTAATGTGCTATAGAAAATGTTGAATGTTTTGGGGATGAGATTATGTTGAGCATTCCTGAAATATATAACTGACAAAAATAATTTAAATAACCATTAAATCAGACAAAGATATAGGAGAAGTGCACTGATGTTGTTTTGGGTTAATTTGAATTGGTAGAATTGTAGAGATTAGAAATGTTTGATTGCTTCTTTGATGCTCTGCCCTTTCTAGCACCTCAAATCAAACTGTCTTTTGAAAAAGCGAAATAAATCAGTTGGTCTACATGGTCTATACAACTTGAAAGAAGTTGAGGAACTCCCTATTTTTCCATCTGACTATAGTTAATCTACCATGTCCAGGAGTAGTATATGTAATTATAACTTTATTATATACGATCTCATCATGTTGATTATGATATCAAATAAAACCATTTAGCAGTAGCGAACAACTTCTTTCAAAGGGATATGTTATTTCAGACTTTAGAGCTACCGGATCCTGTCCTACTTCCGTCATTCTATGGCCAGCTTCCACAGCAGTGGCTTCCACAAGGTCAGGAGCTCCCGTTCATGGTGCCCCCACCCCCGCCCCCTCCCATCACCATGGGTCCAATCCCTCCCCCTCCCCTGCCAGCTGACCCACCCCCTCCCGTGCCCCCGCCTCCAGAAGCCCCTCCCCTCCCTGAAGGTCCTCCTCCCCCTGAAGATGGGATGGCGCCTCAACCTCCACCTCCCCCTCCACCGGTTGTTGATGCAGAGGAAGAGGGAGATGAGGCTGCGTTATTGCGAGCACAGTTGTTGAAGTCATTGGCGATGAAGAAAAAGCAAGCATCTGTTGAGCCTCAGGTATATGTTTGTTTGTTGTTTAATACCGCACTCAGCAATGTTCATGCTATATGACGGCAGTCTGTAAATAATCAAGTTTGGACCAGACAATCCAGTGATTGACATCATTAGCATCAATAAACACAATTGGGATATGACATGCACAAACCAAGTCATGGAAATTGACCACACAATCCCATTAGTTGCCTCTTACGACAAACGTAGTTGCCTTTTATGGCAAGCATGGGTTATGTTGTCATTGTATGGTGACCTGGTAGTTTTGCTTCTTATGTTCTTCATTTTAAAAATACATTTACAGAAATTTGAAATGTTTGAATGAGACTGCAGCTGAAATATTATGTTTAATTAGTTTCAATCTCTGATGTGGATAGTCCACTTCTGTTATGATGAAACAAAACGATTACTAATAATTTGTCAGGTATTGCCTTGAAAGGCTTCTCTCTATCTCAGTATCCCTGTTAAATTGTGAGTAGCATACCTTCAGCCTGTGGCTTTAGCCATTAGTTAGAAGACCTTCAATCTGAAGCCTAAGTCTAAGTAAAATTATGTTAGGTCTAGCCAGGCTTATAATTGTCCGTATGCTAACGCTAAAATTCACATATAATGATACCACGAGATTAGTTCAGGCTTGGAGACTCATGCTTTTGGCACTCTCTGTACATTGATGTACTCATTATAGTGATAGTAATTTCCACTCTTTTCCAAAAATATTTCTGTTCACCAGCTCAAATATGGATATTGGCATCATTTTCAGCAGATTTTTAGTTATCAGGATTTATGTAAGGATAGTTTTTAACTCAGCTTATTAAGCAGAAAGAAATTTTGGCTGAAGATTTAAGTCACTGACTGATTGAATATGTATGAATGTCATATGAAAACTGTTACCTCTTTTTTTCCCCGTGAAAATGTATAGCTTTTGATATACATGATATATGTAACTGATAAAAGTAAATTAAAATACCCATTAATAAAGACGATAAAAGATATTGAAAGTGTAATTGAAATATCATGCATATTCGGAGGTCCAGGTATGGTTTACCAATACATGCCTGGGTCTAGTTATGTGCTATAGAAAATGTTGAATGTTTTGGGGATGAGATTATATTGCGCATTCCTGAAATATGTAACTGACAAAATAAGTTAATATACATTAATATGTATTCTAAATGAGACAATAAAAGATCATGAAAGTGTAACTGAAATAATTATGTATATTCAGAGGTCAAATTAATGTTCACTAATACAAGTCTGGGTCTAGTTATGGTGATGCCAGTGCACATAATTGCTGTTTGTTGTAGGCACCAACTCCTCCAGTGAAGCCGGCCAGTAACGAAGCATCGCCGTCCACCTCTCGCAGCCAGTCTCCGTCTCTGCATGTCCTCACCACACACAAAACCAACAAACCAGCCAAGAAACAAGCTCCATCCATCTTCACTCCTGTAAGATTCAAGTTGTGTGTGTGGTGGGGTGGTCTAGTGGTTAAAGTGTTTGCTGCTTTTGTAATATAGTGACACTATTGTGATGAGTAATTGTAAACTTTATACACCATCTTGTGCAGTGACTGAAATTTAAGTCTAAGTAAGTCTATGTTTTCCAGTTGAATACGATACACTGTATACTGTTACCCCAATATCCGGGGGCACGGGTAGTCGTCTAAAGTGCCGCGATTCGTTGTGCAGAGTTGTGTCCCTTGGGCACGCCAGAAACCTATGATTTTGGGTTCAAATCCCGGTTCGCCTTGATTACGTTTCTAGGTTTGTCAGCACCCGTGCTCGTGGGTTTCACCGAAATGGTAAACGTCTGAGATCTGCATCACTTGGGGCTTTCCTCCCACATTAAGCTGACATGCTGTGATATAACTTGAATACTGTTAAAAGCAGCGCTAAACCCAACTCACTCACCCAATATCCTATGGTTATGATACAAGAAGTGAGGTAGAACAGTTATTTGAAATCATTTGGAGCTGAAGGAACAGACATATTGCTGATTAATATCCAGATTCATGTTATTTGCTCAAAGGACATATATTTCAGTTCAAGTCCAATAGATCACCCTGATTATGATTCCTGGTGTGTCAGTACCATTCAAGAGCTTATTGGTTTCACAACTTTAGACTTTGCTTTCAAGCTGCCATACTGTTGAAAGTGGCCTATATCTGACATTAATTCCTTACTGCTTACCTCCTTCAGCTGCCTGTACATAAACCAGTGGTGATTCCGCTAGAGAACTCGTCTGATGAAGACGAGACTCCATCACCTGTCCGCATCAACCCCATGTCCTTTCTTCTGGGAGATCTGGACAGTTTCCTCAAGGCTGCTCGCAAGTCAGTGGAGGTGAGAATCGTGTTGTGTTCTGAAAGCAGAGTGAAGGAATTAGGAAGTAAACAAAGCTATTTTTCACATGTTTTGACCAGTTTTTAGTGGCTGTTCAGTATCGACAGTATTTGGTCCTGGTTGGTGTACTGTTTGGGTTGACCGTTTCCCTGGCTGTTGGATGATTTGTCATGACAACAGTGTCTGTTGTTGAAGCGGCAGAGAAGTTGATAGTATCATTGAAGTTAAGTCTTTGTTAGCTTAATATGAGCTCAAATGTTCAATCTGTTATTGAAATTGGTTTGAAGTATTGGTTACAGTCCGTTTGACTCCAAATGAGAACGATGAATTGCAAAATAACTCGAAATCCAGAAAAGTGTATGAAACATCAGTGCGGTACTTGACCACGAATACCCTGTACCCAACAAAATCTGAATTTTGTTTATTTTAAGACCCATGACGGATGAAGTTCTTTAAGAAACTATCATGTAATTTTGTATAGAAATGTGTACATGACACATAGGGGGACAAACGTGGAAGGAACAGCGCAAGCACCGTCTGCACGTGCTACACAGTGACCGTGTTCATTCAATGACAAGATGCGCTTCTCAGCAGATGTTAAACAGTTGATGTTGAATGTGTATGATTTCTTAAGAAGTGAAGCAGAAAGAGCAAAGCCTTTTTATGCAATTAATAAATTCTTGAAACGAGCTTCAAAAGCTCTTGGTATGTCCCCTAAGAAACTTAAAAATGTTGTTAGTCGACGAGATACAAATAGTCAGGCCAAGGAGGTAGGGAACATGTCAAAACCACGCAAGGTTGATAAATTAGACAGTTTTCAGAGGGATCAAGTCAGACGTGCAATTGTTAAACTGCACTCAGAAAATAAGTACCTGTCCCTAAGAATTTTGAAGAAACACCTTGAAACTGACCATGATTTACGTGTTACAAAGTACAAACTATGGCAGCTGTTGCATACATTTGGTTACAAATACAAAAAGATAACTGGAGAAAATAGGGCTGTGTTGTGTGAACGGTCTGACATTGTTCGTCTCCGAAATCATTACCTTCGTACCATCAAGCAGAAACGTGAAGAAGGATATGAGCCCGTCTTCTTAGATGAGACATTGGTAAATGCGTCACACACAGCCAGCAGTCAGTGGATACCCAGTGGTGACTGTACGGAGTCTGGTAGAAAGTTACCAATGGGAAAGGGTGAAAGACTCATAGTTCTCCATGCTGGTTCTGCTAGTCAGGGTTTTCTCCCAGACTTTGACCTCGTCTTTAGAGCCAAGGCCAACGACAACAGGGACTACCACACAGAAATGAACGGCAATGTATTTCTGGAGTGGGTGAAAGATAAATTAGTCCCTGCTTTGCCTACCAAGTCTCTCATTGTCATGGACAATGCACCGTATCATAGTGTGCAGGATCCAGAAAGCAAGACTCCAACCTCTAATAACCGTATAGGAGACATGGTTACTTGGCTGCAACGGAGAAACATTACCTTTCCTTCTCGAGCGACGAAACCACAGCTCTATGAAATCATCAAAACAATGAAACCTGACCCAGTGTATAAAGTTGACAGTTACATCAAGGGTCAGGGTCACGCTGTCTTACGACTGCCACCTTATCACTGCGACCTGAATCCAATCGAGTTGGTATGGGGCATCGTCAAGGTTGACGTTGGACGATCGAACACAACGTTCAAATTACGAGACGTTGATCAACTCGTAAAGGAATCCCTTGGTCGGGTAACAGTAGAAACATGGAGGCGTTGTGTGGCCACAGTCGTTGACGAGATAGAGCCACGTTATTGGTCACGAGATGGACTACGGCCAGCAACAGTCCCACCTATAATAGTGGCAGTCGGTTCAGGCACCAGCAGTTCCGACGACGAGATCTATGGCATGAGCGAGTCAGATTGCAACTGAAATTATCATGAGACGGCCCCTCTAACGCTCTGTCATTTCCCCTACCACAGAACGTGCAGTGCATGCGTGCATGCGTGCATGCGTGCATGCGTGCTTGCGCTGTGCCTTCCACGTTTGTCCCCCCTACGTGTCATGTACACATTTCTATACCAAATTACATGATAGTTTCTTAAAGAACTTCATCCGTCTTGGGTCTTAAAATAAACAAAATTCAGATTTTGTTGGGTACAGGGTATTCATGGTCAAGTACCGTATTGATGTTTCATACACTTTTCTGGATTTCGAGTTATTTTGCAATTCATCGTTCTCATTTGGAGTCAAACGGACTGTAGTTGTTTGTCTTTGGTTATTTTTCCCATGAAGTATCACATGAGTCACCTATATGACCAGTTTCAGAGATGTAATGAACTTGTTTAGTTCAGCAGTATGACACAAGTTGTCTCTTGTATAATTAGTACTCCCCATGGGCCGCCTCCATTTTCTAGTGGTAGAGCGCCCGTTTGGAGAGCAGAAAGCCTGAGGTTCGTTCCCTGGCTTAGTCATACCAAAAGACGTTATATGATGGTACTTGTTGTTACCCTGCCTGGTGCTCGGCATTAAGGGGCTAAAACAAGGACTAGTCGGCTTTGAGTCCGTATACTGTGTCTAGGTTGGGTATTCATGTTAAACTGTGGCATGGAATCTCAGTGGGCTAGCACTATAAAATCGGCATTAGTCTGGACTAGTACAAGCAGCCACACACACACACACACATACACATGTATGTATGTTGCTATATAAGTGCAATGATCTTGAACGCGACTTTAAACCCCATTTCACCTCACCCAATACACCACATGGGGAAGATTGGGTCCCTAGCACTCAGTGTTAGTCATAAGACAAACGTGAGGAGTGAGTATTTAAAATGCTTGATGGTCTGGTGGTGTGTCATTGTGACCTGAAAGCTTGGTTTGTTGTTCATGTTGTCAGCCACTGGTTGGCCTGTCCTCAATTTGATGACTACAAGCCCTTGTGATATGGCTGAATGTTGCTGAATGGGGCATAAAACAGCATTCACAGCCCTCATTATGAATTATATGGTGAAGTAAGTAGTTGTCAGAGGACATTTTGTCCAATTATTCTGAATCGGCACTAACTCCTCCCTTTTTCAGGAGAATGATACCAAGGCCAGTACGGACAAGCCACGGGAGACGAAGATGCAGCAGGTGATGAAGATCCAGGAGATCCAGCAGTGCGAGGCCAATCTTACCCGTCAGAGGTACGTCATGGGGTCTCAGACACTGCTTCAGTGAACATTAGAGTTGATCCATAGCAGATTAATTACTTTATGATTTAAAGGAATGATTGACCACTGTGGTATCTTAGGAAGGGTAGTACTTTGATGGTTAACCACTTTGAAGATCTGTCAATATTAATTGAGTGAGTCATTTTAGCCCTATTGCTGTCTCTGTCCCCTGTGGTGAAGCTGGGGAAGAATAGGTCCATGAGTGTCTTCAGTAGTATGCCAGGCTTGTTGTAAGAGCTGACTAAACACCATTGGGGTCTGTCCTGTGATTATTCAAAGGAAGAATCAATCCCTAGGGGGCCATGCTTGTCATAATTGCCGACTAAAGAGCATCAAGTGGTTCATACTGCTGTGATTATTCCAGGGAGTAATATGTCCCCAGTGTGCCATGCTTGTCAAAAGAGCCAACTCAAGAGCATCGGGTGATCTGCCCCATGATTATTCCAGGGAGTAATATGTCCCCAGTATGCCATGCTTGTCAAAAGAGCCAACTCAAGAGCATCGGGTGATCTGCCCCGTGATTATTCCAGGGAGTAATATGTCCCCAGTATGCCATGGTTGTCAAAAGAGCCAACTCAAGAGCATTGGGTGATCTGCCCTGTGATTATTCCAGGGAGTAATATGTCCCCAGTATGCCATGGTTGTCAAAAGAGCCAACTCAAGAGCATTGGGTGATCTGCCCTGTGATTATTCCAGGGAGTAATATGTCCCCAGTATGCCATGCTTGTCAAAAGAGCCAACTCAAGAGCATCGGGTGATCTGCCCTGTGATTATTCCAGGGAGTAATATGTCCCCAGTATGCCATGGTTGTCAAAAGAGCCAACTCAAGAGCATCGGGTGATCTGCCCCGTGATTATTCCAGGGAGTAATATGTCCCCAGTATGCCATGGTTGTCAAAAGAGCCAACTCAAGAACTTTTGGTGTGCATCCTCATTGACTTTGCTGATTGCATGTCTAACTGCCACAATGAGTTTGATTGTGCTCATGTTTTTGTGATGTATTTGCCTGGTTCAGAGTCAATTATTAACGGTGCAATCCTAGAAGAATAGAAGAAATAATGGTCTTGAAGTTGATGCTTTCAATTTCTGCCCCAGATGGCATCAACCGGCTCCATGGTCTAGTGGTGGAGTACCCACCTGGAGAGCGGAAGGTCCAGGGTTCGATCCCTGCCAAGTGATACCAAAAGATGTTAAAAGATGGTACTTGTTACCCTGCCTTGCACTCAGCATTCAGGGGCTAAAACAAGGACTGCATGCACATCTCTGTATAAGTGCAATTATCTTGGGATGCAACGTTAAACCCCTTTTCATCTCACCTCATCCAGATGGCATCATTTCATGCTTATACTGTAACTTTCAGAGAGGTTTTCTTAAGAAGTGCTTCTATTGTCTTGCAGGCAAGCCATCATCAAAGATCAGGCCAACCTCAAGATGCTGATCACAAGGGCTTCCAAGTATTTGCGGAGTGCACGCCTTGCTGAGGTCAAAGTTGAACAGCTGAAGGAGCAGCTGACAGCTGCGGAGAAGATTGTGGTGGCAAATAAACAACAGCTGGAGAAGACGAAGTCACAGGTCGGTGTATATTTGAAAAGTAGTTAGAGAATACTAGCTGTGAAGAATTATGGTTTATATGTACTGAGTGACAGTTCAGTCTATTTTTAGAGCAGGAGTTGTCTGACAGGAGCTCTGGGTTATGTGACTTTTCAAGTTTTCATGATTAGGCAGTGGTGTCACCTTATGGTTTAAGGATTTAAGTCTGCAAATTTAGCCACAAGCCCCAAACCTGTTGAGTATAATTCTGTTCGTTCCAGAAAGCTCAGAAATATTACTCTGTATAATAACACAAAAATCAACTGAAAAATATGCCAAGAGCCAAATTCGGACTAGCAGCCTCAAAAGCTTTGGCACAGGCTGGCGTTTGCTTGTCATGCTGAAGACAAATTCCTCATATGGGTGCAATGTTTGAAGCCTATTTTTGTGTTCATTGTGATATGGTTTGAAAAGTAATGCGAAGCGTTAAAAGCAGAGAATATATCCAACTCACTCATTAGAGTGCACTGGTATGACTTGTTGCAAATGTCACTAGGGGCTACTTTGCTATCAAATGTAACAGTGTGACAATAGAGTGGATTTGACAGCATGCAGCATAGCTTATGTTTCTCAGTGGAACTGTGAAATACCATTTTCACTGTGTCCTTGCTCATGACGATTGTGTTTTCTTCGGAATAGGCTAAAAGTGTAAAGGATCGACTGTTGGATAAAAAAGAGAAGTTCAAGGAAGCTGAACAGAATGTATTTAACCTTGGAAAAGCATTTTATGGACCCAACTATAAACCAAGAGTGGTCACTGTGGAAACAGGAGACAAGAAGAAGGGAGATAATCTGTCTGTAACTGTTTTCAATGAGGTGAGTTTCTTGATAGACAGCATCAAACAGCAGTGGCCATCTCCAATAGCTGTTCAGACTATTGAACCTAGTGGTTTATTTATGTTTTAGGTGAAGTAGATTTGGAAGGCACAGTGGCTACATCTTGTGCTGATTTCAATGTTTGGTACTCAACTCTTGGTTGATAGTCAGGCACAATGTACTATTTGTGGCTCCAAAATTATTTTCAGGACGAAACATAGTCAAACATAGTCAAAGACCTCAAGAAATAAACTACTAGTTAATTTAAGGAATTTTTTTTGTATGTTTTCAAAAAAAATGTTGTCTCCAGGGACATGAAATCTATTTGTTGTGGCCTGAGGCAGTGTGACAAATTGCTTATATCCTCAAAGATGGGAATTAGGAAATTTAGGTCTCAGTCGTTTGAATTCTGTATTTGATGATTCTGTTCAGCATGTTCAGAGCTTTATGATATGAGTAGATTTATAACTACATTAACTGATTGTATCTGTTTGTCAGATGTCTGTTAAAAAGAAAAAGATCACTACAGCAACAAAAGAAAACGCACCCCCAACAAAACCACCTCCAACAAAACCACCTCAGAAGAAACCTGCCGAGTTTATTGCCAAAGAGAAAGAGAGGTTGAAAAAACTGGAAAAGGAGTATGCAGAGAAGATCCGGCGTCTGAAGGAAGCTCAGGGTATATCTGTAGTCAAGGACCAGGAACCTAAAGCTAAGTCTCCCGTGTTAAAGAAGACAAAAACGGAACATTTGACACAGGATCTTGAAAAAATTCGTCTGGATTCTGAAGATGTACCTGACATTGTTGACAATAAACCCAGGAGACGTTCACTGATTGAACTGAATCCCAGCAATAAACCAAACATACCTTTGTCTTCCACTGAGAAAGATATCAAAATTCTGAACGGAGAAAAGTGCAAAGAAGACCCACAAAGGCCAGCATTTGTTATGCCGACTGGGCAGCAGTTGGCAAACCTGAGGAAGCTGCAGGTAGGTCGTATGTTGTACCTGCTGCGTAGATTGCAGGAGTGTAGGTATCTCATAGCCTGATTATCATTCTTGTTTTGTCAGGTCCACCATGCCCATGCTTGTGGTTTTCTCCCGAGGTAAATGTCTAAGACCTGCATCGGGGGCACGAGTGGGCCAGTCGTCTAAGGCGCCGCTATTCCCTGTGCAGAGTTGCGTCCCTTGGGCACGCCAGAAACCTATGATTGTATGTTCGAATCCCGGTTGGCCCCGATTATGTTTCTAGGTTTGTCAGCACCATACCTGTGCTCGTGGGTTTCACCGAAGCAGTAAACGTCTAAGACCTACATCACTTCGAGCTTTCCTCCCACATTAAGATGACACGCTGCGATATAACTGGAAGATATGTAAGATTCAAAAAGGAATTTTTCATCCGTCAGTTGAATTATTTCCTCCAATGGTAAAGTTTCTCATTAGTCATGTTTAGGAAGGACAACTGGATAATTGGAATGATCACTGCTGTGAATATGATGGATTGTAGGAATATGTTAGATACTTGGTCTTGAAATACTTATGAGCTGATCATGCTGATGTTTGATGTACCCCAATGAATGATACACATACTGATAATGTGAAGGTACAAGCATGTACCTCATGGCCTAATTCAGTGTACCTTATATCATGGATATCATTACCCTTAATTGTCAGAATGAGAAGATGGAGAGGATATTAAAAATCCAGAAATCCACGACAACAAGTTGGTGCCGCCGTGTCGGGGCATACACAGCACTCATGGCACAGCTGAAGGAGGTATGTGAAGAACTACTTTAAATAGTAAAGTAGTGTAGTGCTGCATGATACAATGATAGTAATGTTAGAAATTAAGGCCCTTTATTTTTTTTAATAGTTTGTTTAAAATACTCAGCCAACATAAAAATCTAAAATTAGAGAATCAAAAGATGGCTTTTGTCAATTTTAAGGCCAAATTCTACTTTCAGGTGTTGTCCCAGGAAAGTTTTTTCGATATGATTTGTATTTGCTTTGGTGGTTAAAACCTTTAACAAAGTGATGGCTTCTGAAACTACTACTAAATTGATGGCTGCTGATATTGAATGTTTTATGCATGTCATTTTTGTAGTAAGAAAATGACTTTGAATTTATCTACATGATTTTTCCAGTATTCTACTTTTGAAGCTTCTGTTTCCTATGATTGCCCATTTTGGATATGGTTGTAGCATCATCGTCCTCTCCTTGCAGATACCGAAGCTGAAGATTTCTAAGAAGGGAAATGCCAAATCAAATGGTGACAAGAACAGGCAGATTGATCTCACCTACAAAAGTCCCCTACTGTCTTTCAGAGCGTATAGGTAAGAGGCAGCAGCCATAATGTAGGGTTCCCCCAGTAAGTCCCTAGTGGAATAAGTTTGTCCCCAGTACACCATCCTTGTCAGTGACAATGTAGGGTTCCCCCAGTAAGTCCCTAGTGAAATAAGTTTGTCCCCAGTACTCCATCCTCATCAGTGACAATGTAGGGTTCCCCCAGTAAGTCCCTAGTGGAATAAGTTTGTCCCCAGTACTCCATCCTCATCAGTCACAATGTAGGGTTCCCTCAGTAAGTTCCTAGTGGAATAAGTTTGTCCCCAGTACTCCATCCTCATCAGTCACAATGTAGGGTTCCCCCAGTAAGTCCCTAGTGGAATAAGTTTGTCCCCAGTACTCCATCCTCATCAGTCACAATGTAGGGTTCCCCCAGTAAGTTCCTAGTGGAATAAGTTGGTCCCCAGTACTCCATCCTCATCAGTCACAATGTAGGGTTCCCCCAGTAAGTCCCTAGTGGAATAAGTTTGTCCCCAGTACTCCATCCTCATCAGTGACAATGTAGGGTTCCCTCAGTAAGTCCCTAGTGGAATAAGTTTGTCCCCAGTACTCCATCCTCATCAGTCACAATGTAGGGTTCCCACAGTAAGTCCCTAGTGGAATAAGTTTGTCCCCAGTACTCCATCCTCATCAGTTACAATGTAGGGTTATCCCAGCAAGTCCCTAGTGGAATAAGTTGGTCCCCAGTACTCCATCCTCATCAGTCACAATGTAGGGTTCTCCCAGCAAGTCCCTAGTGGAATAAGTTGGTCCCCAGTACTCCATCCTCATCAGTCACAATGTAGGGTTCTCCCAGCAAGTCCCTAGTGGAATAAGTTTGTCCCCAGTACTCCATCCTCATCAGTCACAATGTAGGGTTCCCACAGTAAGTCCCTAGTGGAATAAGTTTGTCCCCAGTACTCCATCCTCATCAGTCACAATGTAGGGTTCCCACAGTAAGTCCCTAGTGGAATAAGTTTGTCCCCAGTACTCCATCCTCATCAGTTACAATGTAGGGTTATCCCAGCAAGTCCCTAGTGGAATAAGTTGGTCCCCAGTACTCCATCCTCATCAGTCACAATGTAGGGTTCTCCCAGCAAGTCCCTAGTGGAATAAGTTGGTCCCCAGTACTCCATCCTCATCAGTCACAATGTAGGGTTCTCCCAGCAAGTCCCTAGTGGAATAAGTTGGTCCCCAGTACTCCATCCTCATCAGTCACAATGTAGGGTTCTCCCAGCAAGTCCCTAGTGGAATAAGTTTGTCCCCAGTACTCCATCCTCATCAGTCACAATGTAGGGTTCCCACAGTAAGTTCCTAGTGGAATAAGTTTGTCCCCAGTACTCCATCCTCATCAGTCACAATGTAGGGTTCCCACAGTAAGTCCCTAGTGGAATAAGTTTGTCCCCAGTACTCCATCCTCATCAGTTACAATGTAGGGTTATCCCAGCAAGTCCCTAGTGGAATAAGTTGGTCCCCAGTACTCCATCCTCATCAGTCACAATGTAGGGTTCTCCCAGCAAGTCCCTAGTGGAATAAGTTGGTCCCCAGTACTCCATCCTCATCAGTCACAATGTAGGGTTCTCCCAGCAAGTCCCTAGTGGAATAAGTTTGTCCCCAGTACTCCATCCTCATCAGTGACAATGTAGGGTTCCCCCAGTAAGTCCCTAGTGGAATAAGTTGGTCCCCAGTACTCCATCCTCATCAGTCACAATGTAGGGTTCTCCCAGCAAGTCCCTAGTGGAATAAGTTGGTCCCCAGTACTCCATCCTCATCAGTGACAATGTAGGGTTCCCTCAGTAAGTCCCTAGTGGAATAAGTGGTAGGACTGTGATATGGTGTGTTCATCAAGTAAGGGGACAAGGCAAGACATATTCTTGGTGTGCATGTACATTGGGATAATCAGGACCAAATCCAACGAAACTATATCCCCCACCAACAAAACCATATCCTCCATCACACACTCGGAGCAGATCATTGTCTGATTGTGTGTTGTTTTGTCTCCAGGTTCAGTCCATACTACAGGACCAAATCCAACAAAACTATATCCTCCATCACACACTTGGAACAGATCATTGTCTGATTCTGTGTTGTTTTGTCTCCAGGTTCAGTCCATACTACAGGACCAAATCCAACAAAACTATATCCTCCATCACAAACTCGGAGCAGATCATTGTCTGATTGTGTGTTGTTTTGTCTCCAGGTTCAGTCCATACTACAGGACCAAATCCAACAAAACTATATCCTCCATCACACACTTGGAACAGATCATTGTCTGATTGTGTGTTGTTTTGTCTCCAGGTTCAGTCCATACTACAGGACCAAATCCAACAAAACTATATCCTCCATCACACACTTGGAACAGATCATTGTCTGATTGTGTGTTGTTTTGCCTCCAGGTTCAGTCCATACTACAGGACCAAATCCAACAAAACTATATCCTCCATCACACACTTGGAAGAGATCATTGTCTGATTGTGTGTTGTTTTGTCTTTAGGTTCAGTCCATACTACAGGACCAAATCCAACAAAACCATATCCTCCATCACATACTCCAACAAGATCAACCCAAGGAAGATCTTGTGTACCTACGACCTCCATGGCCGCTGTAACGATGACAAGTGTACTGGGTGAGTATTGGATGTGTGGTGCAATGAGCATTGGCAGGACATACTGGGTTTTGTTTTTGCGTAATAATTTGGTATATGTAGTTGGATATATTGGATGTCCTGAATCAATTATGTGTATTGTATGTCATAAAAACATCATGAGTAGACCACCTCCGTGGTCTAGTGGTAGAGCGTCCGCGTCATACCAAAAGACGTTAAAAGATGGTACTTGTTGTTACCCTGTCTGGCGCTCGGCATTAAGGGGCTAAAACAAGGACTGGTCGGCTCGGAGTCAGTATACTGTGTCTGAGTGGGATATTCATATTAAACTGAGGCATGGTATCTCAGTGGGCTAGCACTATAAATCGGCATCAGTCCGGACTAGTACAAGCAGCCACACACACACGTGCATGCACGTTGCTATATAAGTGCAATAATCTTGGACGCGACGTTAAACCTCATTTCACCTCACCTCACCTCACATGAGTATTGGCTTTCATGGATACATTCCAAGTATCGGGTGTCATTCATACATTATAAGTATTGGGTGTCATGGATACAATATGAGTATTGAATGTCATGGATACAATATGTGTATTGGGTGCCATGGATACAATATGGGTATTGGATGTCATGAATACATGATACATCTTGGACTTGATGAATACATCAAATGTATTGGGTTTCATGAATACATTATATGTATTGGGTGCCATGAATACATTATGTGTATTGGGTGTCATGGATACATTACGTATATTGGGTGTCATAAATACAATATGGGTATTGGATGTCGTGAATGCATAAAAAATACTGGACTTGATGAATACATTATCTGTATTGGGTGTCATGGATACAATATGTGCATTGGGTGTCATGGATACAATATGGGTATTGGATGTCATGGATGCATAAAAAATATTGGACTTGATGAATACTAGTTCATTATCTGTATTGGGTGTCATGGATACAATGTGGGCATTGGGTGTCATGGATACAGTATGGGTATTGGACTTGATGAAAAATTATGTTCATTGGATGTCATGGATACAATATTGTTATTGGATGCCATGAATATGTTATACATTTTGGACTTGAGGGATACATCATGTGTATTGGGTACCATGGATACATTACAGGTATTGGATGTTCTGTGTTGCTTCCGCTTTATACCATGTAAACATAAGTATTGGATGTCATGAATGATAATTAGTTATGTCATGTTCAACTATAGAGTATTGGTTGCCATGAATGATAAGTATTGAATATCAACTATGCATATTGAATGTCATGTATACAACAGGATCAGGGGTAGAATAGGTCTTCAGCAACCCATGCTTGCTGTAAAAGGTGACTATGCTTGTCGTAAGAGGCGACTAACAGGATTGGGTGGTCAGACTTGGTGACTTGGTAGATGTGTTTTTCATTGTATCCCAATTGCGTGGATTGATGCTCATGATGTCAATCATGGGATTGTCTGGTCCAGACTCGATTATTTACAGACCGCCGTCATATAGCTGGAATATTGCTGAGTGTGACATTAAACAAAAAAAAAAAGTATACAACAGTGTTCGAAATTAAGTTGGGTCCTTGGGTCTTTGAAGTTTGTGCCTGTAGTATTTGAATCTAGGGACCCTAAATCTTTACCTTACAGCATTAGTGCCATGACAAGAGTCCCTGATTTTACTTCTTATTTTCAAACAATGTACAGTTTAATGAGTAATGGGTATAATGTTTAATGTTTAATGTTTATTGCTATTAGGTGTCATGAATATTGGATATTGAACGTTTGTACAGTATAATGAATGTTGGAGGTCATGAATGAAGTGTATTGGAAGTCATGTAAGTAACTGTAGTTTCACCTCCAAGATATTCATGAGTCATCGAGGTTGGCAGAAATTTGACTTGATGCTACATATTTGAACATGGTGAAATGAACAGTTTATCAGTGTGTCTGTTTCTTCACTCAGCCAACACGAGCGAGACTTCAAGTTGTCAGAACGAGAGGTGCTTGTGGATTTGTTGTCCTACTGTCCCAAACTGGCCGGGGTCAAGGACACTTCTTCACAAGACTGTGCCAAGTCTATAGGTAAATTCATGTTACGGAAACGGATTCTAGTTGAGCACAAATAACTTTCTCTGTCTAAGTCTTTGACATTTTGACTCCATAATGTTAAGACCCCCTCTGTGGTCTAGTGTGTGGAGCATCTGCCTGCAGGGTATAATGTTGGTGGCTTGATCTAGGTCCGGAGGAAAAAAACAAAAACTCACTCATTCAATCATTCATTCACTCACTCATGCATGCACACCTCTCTCTTTCTCTTTCTGTCTCTGTGTGTGTTTGTCTGTCTCTTTCTCTCTCGATCAATTTACAAGCCTCCATACAGCATTAAACAACATTCATTCACTCACTTGCCTGCCTGACTCACTCATTGAGGCATGTAGAAAACACTGTAATTAGCTATTATTATATTATTATTATGTGAGTAAACATGATGTTATTGAACTGAATTATGGATTATAAGACTGAAACACCACCTGTTCTGTTTACCCTCAGGTACTTACATAGATAATCTAGTCCGTCAACACGAGGGTCAGATGACCTCTGATCAGTTGTGTCTCCTGCTTGCATCCAGAGTCACAGAAGAAGCCAACAAAAGTAGGTGTCTCCTACAACCTTCTCCCCCAACTCTCCACCCAGTCCTGCCTTGTGGGTCTTTTGTTGGTTCCTTGCTCACTTGTAGCCATCGTGTTTAATAAGGCAGAGGGATTAAAATAACCATGCATATCCGATGGTGCTTTGGTCTGAGGGGCTGTAATCTATTGTTAAGAGTTGCTACTTTCTCTGAACACACAGATTGTGGGACCCAAATTTTGATTTATCATGTTTGCAATCCCAGGGACCCGTTCCACAAAGTAATCCTAGCACTAAGGTGATAGTATCTCCCACACCCTAACATAGACTTATGACTGTTCTAGTGGTATCATTGCATTGTGGACAAGTTCCTGGTCTGTCAGTACTATCCTATCGTCACATGTTTTACCAAAGTAGAAAATGTCCTGAGCCTTATATAATGCTGATTTGTTGTGTTAAAACAAAATGTATGTTCAAAACGTCATTCCACCCAACTCATTCACTATGACTATAAGATCTAATAAATGGTACAGTTTTACTCCAGAATAGCATGAAACTTTTCACTTCCTTATGATGGTAATAACACTTTGCTTATGGATAATTGTGTGACTTTTTCTGCCGGTCGGGTAGCCTAGTGGTTAAAGCATTCGCTCGTCACGCTGAAGACCCGGGTTCAATTCCCGACATGGGTACTATGTGTGAAGCCCATTTCTGGTGTCCCCCGCCGTGATATTGCTGTAATATTGCTAAAAGTGGCATAAAACCATACTCACTCACTCACTAGCTATTGTCTCTTTTACAGACCGTCCACATACCATGTTCTTTGATCCTCGGATATGGAAACCTGCCCAGGACCAACCAGAGAGACAGGAAACAGTGTCAGAGTTCAAGGGCAAAGGGTCAAGGTCGTTAGGTAAATTGGATAAGAGTATTCCTTGAACAAATTGTTTCTTGAGTAACAGATAAATCATCGTTATCAAATCCTTGTTTCAATTTTACTAACATAATATATAATTTTCAGAATTTCTGAACAATCCAAGTCCACCTGACCGAGACAACATCTTGTGTGACGAGGATGTACGCTACTATGGTGGCAATAACACTGAAATCCAAACAATGGAGACGGCTGTGATGGAGAACCCTCAGGATGTTCCGTTGTGGCTGAAACTGGCCCAGAGGAAGCTGGGAGCAGACAAGTGAGTACCTTGTATGGCACATGTGTTTGTTTGTTTGTTTGTTTGTTTGTTTAACACCGCACTCAGCAATATTCCAGCTATATGATGGCAGTCAGTAAAAAAGAGTTGAGTCAGGACACGGCAATCCAGTGATTGACATCTGAGCGTCGATCTATGTAGTTGGGAGATGATGACATGCATCAACCAAGTCACCTAGCTAGATGACCTTGTATTGCACTTGTCAACAGCATTTCTATTAGTTGATGTTTGTTTATTGCTTGGTGTTAAGATTTGCCACATCCCCATTTCACAAATATTGAATAAAATAAAAATACACTAAAAAAAGTATTGTTTCTTCCTTGAGAGTCTAACACCTTATGTTTAGTAATAACAAGAGGAATTTGCAAAAGGAATAAATTCTTTGATTTGATGGTCAAGACAAATCCGGAGGCACGGGGGACCCAGTCATCTAAGGCACGACCATTTGTTTTCAGTCAGTTTGTGGGATTTCGCTTTCAAAATATGAGTAGTAGACTTGAATTAAGTCCCTGACTGTGAGAAAAGCCTGAGAGTGATTATGTATCTCGATCACATTAAATTAAGTAAGGGAGCCAAGATTACAAAGCAAATTTGTTGGTTTGAGTTTCAAATTATTCTGGTTGTTTCTAGGTATGGTTGGCACCATACCTGTGCTTGTTTGTTTCATCAAAGAAAATTATGACAAGTGCCTTTTGTTTCATCAACATATGAAAGGAGGTAATGTATAATTCACTAAATTGAAATGTGCCTTACTTTGTGCAAAAAACCTTTTGGTAAACTCTACCATTGCCTGACATTAAGCAGTTTGTGGAGAAGATGGTTGCAAGGCTATTACCAATGTTGAGAATCTTGTCAAGCTAGAAACATTGCTGTTTGTGCGATGTAATCGATATCATTGGTCAGAGCACTTGCTGGCATAGCTCTCCCTGGAGGCAGGCCATGGTTCGATATTTGGTTGAGAATGGAACAACAATTCACACTAGTCGTATGTATTCATGTATTCAGATTAGTCTTGTTTGATTGTTGTTTAACAAGACACTCAGCAATATTACAGCTATTTGATATCGGCCTGTAAATATTTGAGTCTGGACCAGATAATCCAGTGACTGATATTGTGAGCTACACTCCAAGTGGACAGGCTCTGGTTGATTGTGTGTTGTCAAGCAGCTTTGTCTATACAAGCCATGTGAAATAAATATGAGTAATACATGTACAAGAAAGGAATTGTGTGCATCAGTCTTAACACTTGTGTGTGAGATCACAACTTTGTAACAAGGATTTAAGAGTGTCATGTGAGGAAGGTATGGTTAAAGCCTTAAAGGGAGACTTTTGTCCATGGTCTGTTTGCACATGTCCAGTGTAGGTCTAGACTTTGTGAATAGTGCCTTGACATGCGTGAGTGGAGCTAAACCTGGGACTACCCAGTTAACATGAAAGGGATATATCTAGACTGCTCAGAGTTGATATTCAGCCCAAATGGGAATTAAATACTTTCTAATTCATGTATTAAATATAGTTGAGACTAATGGGATGACTTTTGATAGCAGGACCAAAAATGAAGAGAGGCTTGTTGTATATTATTGAATGCAATGTTAAAATGCTATTTTATGCTAATCCCATTGAAAATAAGAACTTAAATAAATCCAATGTTGGACATACACTAAACTACGTTTATAACAAACATGCTTATAATGAACTGACCGATATAACGAACTTATTTTTTAGCCCTGGACGTGTGTTGCATATATGCCGTATAGATGCTTATAACAAACTACGGTTATGACAAACTAAAAATAGTGGTCCCTTTGAGTTTGTTATAGCCGTAGTTTACTGTAATAACCAATAACCCAAGGGCACTTTGTTTGGTATCCTAGCTAAATCACTGCATCTCCAGAGTTTCTGGGTCAGGATAGGTCTCCAGTCCCAAATATTTTTGTTGATTGATCGGTTTCAGTTTCTTACCAAGGATTTGACCCTGAATTCTGTAATTTCTTCTTATGACTGGTTGATTTGTTCATTTATATGAAATTATGTGTGAGGACCAAATTGAGGATAACAGGTATTAAAACACTGAACTCTGATAAGGGACCAGTTCATGGTAATGTAGGGTAAAAAGCCTAATACCAAGTTGATATGTTTGTGTTGCAGATTATAGTAAAATATCATTTAAGACTGTTGATATTTATTGTTATTTTCATGATGGATACAGAATAATAATGCTCCAGATTTCTGTTCCTGTTCTCATACATCCTGTTCTCAATGGTTGCGTTTCCAAATCATTGATCAATCTTGAAACCATAACAGTTGTTGATTGTAAGAGCCCACAAAAATTAGGATCAGTTTCAGTGATTTGGCTGATTGTGTGTCATCATACCCCAACAGTGTGGGATGGTGGTCATGCTATCAACCACTGGTTTGTTTGACCCAGACTATTATTTTCAGGCTGCCGAGATATAGCTGAAATATTGATGATTGCAGCTTAATACAAACGAACGAAACAAACACCTCTCATACTATTACAAACAACTTTGTTGCCCTTTTGGTAATTACATTTTGTATCTTCTAATTCATGTCACATACCCATGACATTGAATATTTGTCGTAGGAAAATATAGCTTTAAATGCATATTGCCTGCAATTGAAATTGTATGATTTGTACATGTAAGGTTTTCAAAAGACTGAAGAACCATTTGAAGAAGAATTTCTTTTTTTTAACAACTCAATAATAGCACCCTTTTGAAAAGACTTGTTTCCACCCACACCTGCTTATATGATCCAATCTATATGAGACATAGATGTCGTCATCCCACTCTTGTAGAGAAAGACCGTCTGCTTTTAAACCATTGTTCTCACCATCTTGGTTGTGTTCTTGGTGGGTGTGTAGCATTGCTCTTTTATTTTACATATGCATAGAAACACAACTAGAATTTTCTATGTCTGCTCCAGCTCCCATGACATGGCAAACAATGCAACAATTGACTTATTCCTGTCTTCAAGTTAATTGTTTTAATCCCCTGTGCATATGTGCCATAGCGGCTTCATTTTGTATCAGCACAGAAATGCAACCCAAGATTCATCTGCCTGCTTGAGATTTTAACATCAGGAAAAAATCCCCAGCTTGTGGGTTCTTCCTGTTTTTTGGCTTAACTGTTATCATTCATATCCTTAACTAAACACAGAAAAGTGGCAAGGTCAGGGTCTTGCGTCTAAATAAAACACCTCGGTTGTGTTAGGTCGATGACAGCTAGTCGTGTGATGTGTGTGGATCGACCATCATTTGCATGGTATTTTTACCTAACAGGATCACAGTAGGAACTGTGTTTGATCCTGAGACCAGAATGTTGTCCGTCTTGCTCTGGGTTTACTGACTTATGTTAGCAGCTGAAAAAGATTTGTTGATGTGGTAACTTATCAGATGCAGTGACAGGATGGATAAATTCCTATTGTATAATGTATTGTTGTTTGACATCGTGTTTATGGCATGTTTTCCTGATCACTGGAAGATATGTCTTCAATGCTATTGTGTTGAAGATGGCTTTTCCTGTTTTCAATGGGAAGCGTATGTTTGTTTTCCCAATACGCAGTGCACACGCCTCATTGCATTAGAACTCAAACACGATCACACCTTCCTGTCTGCATACTGCATAGTGGAGAAAAATGGAAATCATAACCAGTGTTCGAAATAAATATTGTCGAGTTGTCCTTGACATTGTAACATTCATGGTCGAGTGAGTGAGGCAATATTCCAGCAAATATCATGGTAGGGGACACCAGAAATGGGCTTTACTCATTGTACTCATCTCGGGAATAGAACCTTGGTCTTTGGTGTGACAAGCAAATGCTTTGGTCGCTTGGCTGTCACACCAACCCCTTTATGTTAGAAGTTAAATTTTGGGACCCCTATTCAAATACTATAACAGCAAAATGCTAGTATCCCTGATCCCTGTAATTTCTGACACTGATAATAATTTACGAGTGATGAAAACATAAAACTTCTTAAAGGTTTGAAGACTGTAGAAAACTGAAGGGTGTACAAAGAGCTTAGATGAGACTAACTGATATTTGTGAAATGTCACGGTATTAGGTGCAGCCATGTTGGAAACATGTTTCAGTTACATGTATTATCATTCTGCCTGGCTGAAAGAAGTTCTTGTTTGACTCTCTGCAACCATTTTTTCTGTTTGGTAGTGAAAACAAATTCATGTTAAGAAAGTAACTTTCATCAGCTTTTTAGTTTTCATAAATGTATGGTCTAGTTCCCATTTGTCTTGTCTTGGGGAGGAGATTGCAATACGGGAGGTTGATAATAGAGCTGGTACCACTTTAAATTCTTCCCTCCTCATGCTGTGGTGGAAGGAAATTCAACAAAAACAATGAAAATGCTGATGAAACTGGTGTCAGTGTTGTCTCTGTGTTTATAATACATCTGATACCTTGTGCTCCATCACCTAACGTGGGAAGTCGTGTACAAACAACAATAGTTGCGATGATTCACCCTCACGCTGTTCCTTGACAGACTCCATGAAGGCTATCGGAAGGCTCCAGGAGTTGTTGCTGTTAAATTCCATGTCGTCTGGGAATCCTGTTATACTTCTTGAGATGTTTAAAGTTCACCGAGATCTTTCTGTGGTCTTGTTTTTATTCCTGTTTTCAACAATGGACCATCTTGACTTTAAAAAATAAGTTGAATTAACAATGGCGGAAAGCATGAAGTCATTTCAGGGGGAACAACTCCTGTTTGACACAGATTTCTTTTGGCAGTGATGTGGAATTAATGGTCTGCAGCTGTAGAGAAACTCTATATGTGTATCTTTCTTTTTCATCAGACTATCCCAATACCATTTTTTTCTTCTCATTGATATTCTTTCCTATCCAATGTACATTAACAAAGGAAATGCAGAAGACTGACGTTAGAAGACGAATGTAAATATCTCAGGTTAACTTTAGAACTGTTAGATAGAACTTGGTCGTTTAAATAGTTGTTTTTCAGTTCATTCTATTTAGCCTTCCTTGATGCTTACTAAACACGCTAGAGAGACGTCTCAAGTTATTTTAGACAGAATCTAATTTCTAAGAAAATTTCAGTTGTGTGTCTTGTCTGTCAATTAAAACAAAAAGCTGCCTAAACCCATCATTCTTGTCAAAGATTGACATGGTCCACACATGCAGTAAATCAATTCCTCCACAAACCTGTTTAATTGTTTTTGTCATTTCAGCCAAGGCAATTAAAAACCTTTTTCATGGGAAATATATCTTGTTGAGAATAAATCTGAGTTCTATTTTCCCCCCTAATGAAAATGTTATAGCTTGTGAATCTTTTGATGATATGTAAGCTTTTTTCCCTTCCTTGTCTGTTGCTCTCAATCTAGTGGTTCATTAGCTTCCTCATCAGGCACGACTAGCCGCTAGATACTTATTTTTTTATTCGAGGGAATTATTGCCCTAATAATTGCTGTTTGCTAAGTTGGTCATGCTATAAGTAGATCATATGTTCATAATTCATTATATATTAATCTTCAAGCATGTCAAGCCAGACATGCTTTTCTTGTTTTATAGATGAGCTAGCCTATCCTTCATTTTAAGTAAATGAGATAAACAAATTTAAAGTATATCTGTTTAATTATCTGGTTGTTTTTTTTATATATATTTGTTTTTCTTCTTCTTCTCAGGAAATTAACCTTAAATCAACAGTAAGATTTTTAATATTTACTTTTTCCCCACCTGGATACAGGATATTGACCATTAAAATATGCACCAAATAAAAAAAATGACAAATAAGAAAAATATAAATATTTGGAACAAGAAAGTAATTTGTTCGGACTTAATTTGGGAAAACAAAATGTTTAGGAAGCTGCCTAATTAATGTCAAAATCTTGCTATGCCAGAAAGGAAACAAGTATGGAGTTTGAAGGACGTATGCTGTTTTAGATCTGTTGATGATCACTGAGTAGTGTCATAGAAATTAAGGGGGATCCTGTTGTCCATGAGGTTTTTAGCTGAAGTATTTGAATCTAAAGACCCCTTAAATCTCACATTTTTATCCCCGCCACAAAGTGTTCTTCCATCTGTCCGTCTTTCCTTCCATCCATCCGGTTCTCAAAGGATACAAATTTTCGCAAAAACTATTTAAGTCGGAGAAATGAAATTTTGCACACTGGTGTTACTGGTCATGATCTCAAATGAGTTTGAAAATTGATGTTGTAAATTCAATTTTTACAGAGTTATGGCCCTTGCTTGTGATTTTCAACTTACTGCATACTACCAGAAATGGGGACAAGTTTTCTAACCAACTACTGGAGTTACATGGATGAAAGTTGTCATGCTTATCTAAGACATACTTGTCAACACTTTGTTTGAAAATTGGTCAATTATTTGTTAACAGAGTTATGGCCCTTAACCCATGTTAGTTTACTTTGTTCATAGTGTGTGCAATGGGGACAAGTTTTCTCAGAAACTGCTGATGCTACATGAATGAAAGTTGTCATGCTTATCTAAGAGATACTTGTCAAGACTGAGTTCCAAAATTGGTCCCGTCAGTTAATTGTTTACAGAGTTACGGCCTTCGATCCAAGTTGTTGGTGCAATGGGGGCAAGTTTTCTCAGAAACAACTGAAATTAGCTTATCTAAGAGATACGTATCAAGAGTTATTTTGTCCAGAGAAAGGGCATTTTGCTTGTATTAATTTCACATTAAATACTTTTTTCTCTTAAAAAAAAAGCTGCCCAAGAGGCTATCTCTTCTTAAGGCTTTATGGGGCTCTTTTTTTATAGTTCATGTTCACTACTTTGTGAACAAACAAACATCTTATGTCCCTCATGGCAGGGGTAATGCTGTTTTCTTGTTTATAATTGGGTTATGACAAGGACTTGAATTCACTGTGCAGAGTTGCGTCCCTTGGGCACGCCAGAAACCTCCCACATAAAGCTGACTTGCCGCGATATAACTGGAATACTGTTAAAAGCGGCGTTCAACCCAACTCACTCACTCTTTCACTCACTCGATTCCCGGCTGCGTCATACCAAAAGATGTTAAAAAGGAGTAAAATGAGGAGGACTGGTCGGCTCAGTCAGTATAGTGTGTCTGAATGGGGTATTCATGTTAAACTGCGGCATGGTATCTCAGTCGTCTAGCAATCGGTATTAGTCAGGACGAGTACAAGCAGCCACGTTGCTATACAAGTGCAATAATCTTGAATGTGATGTTCATACCAATTTTACCTTCATCTCGTTGCTCACTACTGACTGCAGTGTTAAACAACATACACTCACTAACTCACTCAGCTGTGGGGATGAGGTTGTAAAGATGCTGTGGATCTCTTGACTGAATACATGAAACATATCTGATTGAAACACCCTGTGAATCCTGGGTTAGAATAGTTCCCCAGCAAGAAACCTGTGTGGGTTGTGAGACTTAATGGATCAGGTGGTCAGTCTTGGTGAATTGGTTCATTGCATGTTATGGGTTTCCCAAGGCCTGGAGCTCATAAAATCAAGCACTGGTTTGTCTGGTCCAAACTTAATTATTTTCAAATGGCCATCATTTATTTGGAATATTGCAGAGGGTAGCACTAAACAATAAATAAACAAAATAACAGGACCCAATATCCAATGTTACTTCTTTCTAAAGCAGTTTTATTTTGTGTTGCAGCTCTTCAGAAGCCAACTTGGACCAGGCCCTGAACGTGTTGGCACGTGGACTGGAGTCAAACAAGGACAGTGCGGTCTTGTGGCACCGATATCTGTCTCTGTATCAGTACCATCGGGATGCTGGAGACCTCCCTCAACTCTGCCAGATGGCTCTGCAGCATGCTCCCTCATACCAAATATGGCAATTGGTAAGTACTTGAGGAAAACTTCATGTCATATGTTTTATTTAACCTTGTGAATATGAATGTTGTGTACCTTAGAACGGTATGTCTTCCTACTTGTCTGGTAGGGTAGTGAAGTGGCTGAAGCGTTGGCTCACCCTGTCAATGACTTGGAGTTTGATTTCCTCAAGGTACAGTGTCTGGGAGATGTTGGAATATTTCTGAGCTCACTTGCTGATGGCCCTTACTTGCTACAAGCCATTTGGGGTTTTCTAATACTGTGACAGGTGTTTGGATGGGGAGCACTAATAGCAGGACTTGACTCTCCATGGGATAGCTGTTAATCCCAGTACCTCCTAACTGTCCTGAGAACTAACTGCAGTTGCTGTTAAGTGGCTGCAGTGTGTGGCTTGGCCCTGATCAACAACTATCCAAGACTGTGACTGTAACATAGATTTATGGTAGTCATTGCACTAAGATGCACAGATTGGGCCAGGATCCTTTGGTCGTGGGTTTAATCCCAAATTGGCACTGATTATGTTTCCAGGTTTGTCAGCACTGACCTTTCTCGTGGTTTCTATTGCATCACTTTTGGCTCTCCTTGCACATCATTCTGATATGCCATCACATAAATGAAAAGCTACTTACTCAACCACTCAACCACCCACTCACTCACTCACCCATTTTACAACACAACGGCCCACTCACTCACTCACTCACTTTACCACCAACCAACTCACTCGTTCACTCACCGACCCACTCACTCACTGACCTACTGACTCAACCACTCACTCAACCACCTACTTTACCACACACTGACCCACTCACTCACTCACTGACCCACTACTCATTCAACCACACACTTAACCACACACTGACCCACTCACTCACTCACTGACCCACTACTCACTCAACCACACACTTAACCACACACTTACCCACTCACTCACTGACCCACTCACTCACTGACCCACTTTCACTCACTCACTCTCACTCACCCACTCTCTCACTCACCCACTCACTGACCTACTCAACCACTCACTCAACCCCTCAACCACCCACTTTACCACCCACTTTACCACCCACTTTACCACCCACCGACCCACTCACTCACTCACTCCCTCACTCACCCACCCACTCACTGACTCAACCATTCACTTAACCATTCACTCACTCACCCACAGACCCACTCACTGACCCACTCTCTCTCACCTTTCTCTCACTCTCACTCACTATGCCCACTAGTCACATGTCAGTCGTTGCCATCAGCTCCCAGTCAGGATGATTTGCCGACCCCTGACTACCTAACTCTTCTGCTAATTTCCTCCACTGATGAGATGCCATGCTCCCACTTTGCTTTGACTTGACAGGTGGTCTGTTCAACATAAATAAACCAATAATACAAAAACACCTTTTGGAAGAACTGATCTGTTGTTTTGTAATCATGAACAGGGAGATTTGCCAATGATAAACATAGTTAATTGGCATGTTTTATTTTGTTATTTATTTTGGGAGCATTTGCCATTCATTTATTACATTACTTATTGCATAGTTGGCTGTTGGCTCAATCTTGTTTCACATAACAAAACAAAGTTTATCTTTATGTTGGTGTTGCATCGCTGTTGTGAAATTTCAGGATTTATGTGGAACCAACAGACCACCAAATTAATGCTTGTTTATATATTGTCCAATCAGATAACAATTCAAAACACATATATCATCGCTGGTAAAGAGGAACACTTTGAAATAACTTTCACCTCTTCAAAGAGTCTTGAAAAAAGTCAGCAGTGTGAATGTAAATCCAATGGTGACGGACAGAGCACATGGCCATGCCATGAAAACTAATTGGTGTGTAAATAGTGGATGAGAAGTTACATAGGAGCACTGGGAACTTCAGCCATGGCTATCAGCTGCAGTGTCAGATCGGGTTGTTCCGATAAACTGTCTTGTGCTCCTTTGTCGGGCTCCACACGCTAAAACAACATGCCAGGGAGTGCTTCACTTCCCAGACGCTTCCATATGGGGAGATAACTCACTGATTATGCTTGCATCTTTCATCTTCATCTGGTGATGACAGTACCTACATTGGATCTTCCTGCCCTGATACCATGTATCAAGTTCATATTTATTTATCTTGTCACCACTTTGATGTAATAAATCAGGTTACAACATAAATCATATTTTCTCAGTACTTCCTGTTTTCTATCTTTTTCCTCTTGCTTTGAAAAAAACCCAACAGAAAATAAAGATGATGCTGTCACTTGAAGTTCATTAGATTTTATATTTTTTTGGGTAAAAATTGGCTTTTAGGAAATTTGGTTATAATGCTATTCAGTGGATGTAATATGTGCTTGAGTTTTTATGTCAGAGCTGTGTAACTTTTACATTGTTGATCTACCGGAGTAGTATGCTTACATAAGCCAACAAATAGTGTTGATGTGTATGTTATTATCATGATGGTGATGCAGTAGACATTGCAGTTGCTCTTCAGGTCAGATTGGAGTTGTCTCCCCTTGGCCACTATCTTCACTGACCATCTTAGTTCATTCAAATAGAGAGGCCATTAGATTAATGTTTGTTTGCTGCCTCAGGGCCTTAACAGTTGCAATTCTTCAACTGATACAATCAGCTGATACCAAACATAAATAAATAGACAATAAACTGAAGGTGAGGACATCACTTTTAAAGGTGATAATTTGTCATATTGTACCCCTGAGGCTAGAGGTCCTATTTCCTTCACAGTTTTATTCCCAGTAATCTTTAACTTGTCATTTTTTTGTGCAACATTTGATTTGATCTGTGATACTGGGTTTATTTTATTTCAACAAATCCTTGTGTGTTGTTTACTTGGGTTGTCGTGGTCGATGAGGCTTGGAAGTTTTGCTGATTAATATGACACTCAATACACTGGTGCTGCCAGAGATTGTCATATCACGCCAATTAATATGATTAATCTTTCCTTTACCCCTGTTAAACTGATGCCAAAAAAGATAGTGGAAAATTGAGTTTTTTGTTCCTTTTTGAGATAAAGGCCCTATGTAAACTGCCAACAGTAACATTATCTCAAATCATGAAATTTTATCTGCAACCAGAAGAAGCGTGTTGTTCTAATTGAAGTTCTTTTAAGACATATTAAGCCAACGTTTATCCTATTATGTCAGTTTCTTTGAAAGCACATACCCAAAAAAATCTTTTAAATGATTTTTTTCTTTTTCTTGAAAACCCAACTGGGCTAAAAGGAGTGCATCCAGAATCATTCATGATTTTCTGAATCAAGTCTTGAAGTAGTTTCTGGAAACAGGAGTTAGCCTAATGGTTACTGCACTCGCTTGTCACCCAGAAGGTTGGGTTTGATTCTCTATATGAATACAGTTTCAATAGTTGGTCAACTGGTGTCATGGGGCAGTGGGGTAGCTGAGACCCAGGTTCTATTCTCTTCTATGGTTAAATGTGTAAAGCCTGTTCACAATATGGCCAAAGTATTGCCAAAAGTAACTTTAAACCTTTTTCTATAACTCACACTTACTTTGTTGTGTTGGTGGCCTCTGCAATGGTTTCTGTAAAATTTGCTTTTCTCCTGTTTGTGGCATGAACTTATAAGCACTTTTCAGGATTTTACAGGACACTAGCTATTGAGAATGGACACGGATAATGTGAATTATGAGTTCCATGAGACTATAAAAGCTTGTCTGTTTGAATCATTAAAACTTAACATAAAAAATTATTTTGAAACATGTACCGGTAGGTTAAATTTAACTGATATTTCTTTTCTGTTAAAAAACAGTTCAGTCCAATTCAAACTAGGAAGCCACCAAACTATTCAGCTTGAACAGATCATGCTTTTGATTAAAATTAAAATTATTGAAAGTCGTCAGTCGTGTGCCACGTGGGGTCAGTCTGAAGACATCAACAAGGTTGCAGTAATCACCCTCGGACCTTTTTTCTTGCCTGAGACCCCCAAAGTTATTCCAGAGAGTCCCCAGGCCTCATACATGGCTAGACCCAGGTAAAGCCCTGCTCGTTCACTCCATGTCAAACAATGACAGTCTCCTGGTGGTTTGTAATGGAATTGTAAATAAAGAGCTGTCTGTGGTGGAATCCTCCTAGGACTTTCTCCCCATGCTGACATCCCCTCGTCTGTACATCAACAGTTTGTCAAGACCGCCCCCTACACCACATATGTCCAGCCCTGTAAAAAAGTTAAATCCGGAGTATAAAGTTTTCATTGAGTGTTGTCCCGGACCTCACAGCCAGTATTTGAAAATAATCTGCAGCAGCATGCAGTCAGCAATATGGCAGCCATATGCTGACAGTGATGACTGGAAAGTGAGCTGTTCCTTTGTGATGGAACATTTACCTCGTAATGCTGTTTCGAGTAGGGATCAGTAAGTGAGTGAAAAGTTAACGTTGCATTGGCATTATTTCAACCATGTAGCAACGAGAGCAAATTTATGGGAGTACTGAATAAACAGTTGTTTACAAACACTCAATAATATGAGTGGGGTAGCCTAGTGGTTAAAGCGTTCGCTCATCATGTCGAAGGGCGGTCGGGTAGCCTAGTGGTTAAAGCGTTCGTAAAACCATACTCACTCACTCACTCACTCACTCACTCACTCACTCACTCACTCACTCACTCACTCACTCACTCACTCACTCACTCACTCACTCACTCATGTCGAAGCCCATTTCTGGTGTCCCCCGCACTGATATTACTGGAACTTTTGCTAAAAGTGGTAAAAAAATCATACTCACTCACTCATTAAAGTGTGAACTGGGGTGGTCGGGTAGCCTAGTGGTTAAAACGTTAGCTTGTCACGCCGAAGACCTGGGTTCGATTCTTGACATGTGTAAAATGTGTCAAGCCCATTTCTGGTGTCCCCTGCAGTTATAATACTGGAATATTGCTTAAAGTGGCGTACAAACCATACTCACTCACTCACTCACTCACTCACTCACTCACTCACTCACTCACTCACTCACTCACTCACTCACTCACTCACTCACTCACTCACTCACTCACTCACTCA